TCCATCTTTAGTCTCCCCGTGACCACGGCTGCTGCAAAGCATCCGAAAGTCGGGCCGAAGTTAAAAATCATTTTCAAATAGTTTAACTAATATATCGCGTTTTAAACGGTGTTTTATTTAAATATAATAATTCTTTCATATACAGTTTTATAAATCGTTTCCGAAGCGCACGCAACGGAAGCCCACAATGATGAGAAATTTCCCCCATTTTCCACTGTACCTTCGCAATTCAAACCAGTTCTTCTGGAGATTAGCGTGTTTAAACAAACTCTTTAGATTTGGACACGTAACAAAGGTGATTTTTATGCGAATGTTTGACTATATAAACTTACCCCCCAGCCTAAAACCGATCTCTCAAGGGTTCCCCCCCCCCCTTTTTATTGTGTTGCAAGTTTATAGAAGTGCTACTGTTGCTATCGTAGTAATGCCATTTTAGCTATCTGTACGTGACGTCAGCTCAGAGACTCTTGGGCGTGGTGACCGTCCTGTTCCGCTCTGATTTATCGTGGCCAACTGCCATTGGGCCATGATTCACTGCTCAACTGCCTAATCTATACGATTCCAACATTTGCAAAACCCTTGTATCGAATTCTTTATTAACTGTTTTGCTAACTTTTTATAGCAAGCCGGTTCGTTATGTAACGCGTAACGGTATCTGTGTCGTTTACGTTATCGCTTATTTCGGACGTAATACGTAAGATGCCTTAAAATTATGTATGTTACTCATTCACGCCCAAATGAATTCACCGATGTGGGAAATGGGGTGATAGTGTTTCGTCACTTACGCTACAACTTTTAGATGGCTTTGTATGTTTGTATGTTATTTTGTGGTATCATCAAATTTTATAGTTATAAACGGTTTTATAAATATCTTGGACTATATGAGACTGCTAGAACCAGAGCGGCCTAATAACAAAAAACACGATACTGTACGTTAAAATATTTTTCAAATAAGTTTAACTAATATATCGCGTTTTAAACTGGTAAAGTGTTTTATTTTAAAAAAAACATGATTTTCAATAAGGCGGAAAATAAAAATGTGCACAAATTTGCTAAAATGTACTTATTTATGTAAGAATTGTGTTAACAATTTTCGATGGCTGTGCTCTCATAGATTAACATTTTTAGACTATAAAAATCAGTCAAGTAATAAAATTGCAGTTAGGCTACTCTCGCTCTAGCGGCCTTATAGAAGTCAAACGTCACAATGACGTGGAACAACAAGGGATATTAAAAAAACATTTGTTAATATTAGTGGAATATCTCGCCATGGCGTACAATGAAAGAAAACGCACTTAAATGTGTCATTTAACAGAAATTAACAATTGAGAGAGAAAAAGGGAAGCCAAACAAAGGGCTGACAAGATTACGTTGTCGCGGGTGGGTCGGCGGCCTGTGTCGCACAGATTACATCGACACTTGTTACAGTTTTACAATTTTGTATCACTAACTACTTCCTTTAAAAGTTTTACAAATAGGGCGTAAGATATAGTACAGTTTATTATTACTGTATTAATAGTACAATAGTTTGGTTGTTTTTCTAGGATAGTTTGGTACTTAATCTTACAATCAATTTGAATTTTGAAAATATTGTGACAGAGACTTGTTGTAAGCTTGGGACTAACCACGTTAACAGTCGTTTTATTTATTGCTATACATTTTTAACTTGTAACGATGCTAAGCTTACACACGAATCGATAAGTGCTTCAAAATTACCACACACACACGCGCGCACACGCACACACCCTTATCCTAAACCACCCTTTATTATCCCGCGGAAAACATAGCGATGTACATATATCCTACGTGTTTGGAGAACCTGGTCGTGAATCAGGAATTCATTGGGCGATTGTCGTAATGGCCTCGCTACATTACGATAATTTGACGTTTTTGTCGGGTCACGGCGTCGCGTTGTTTCCGCTTTATCCGATGCCAAAAAAGCCTATATCAGACATTGCAAATCCGTCCTTCATTGGCAGTACAAACAAGTTGAAAAGTAAGCACGCGAGTAGTATATATTTAAATAAAACACTTTTAACTGGTAAAAACGAGGAATATTTAGTTTAAATTGTAAATATAACAAAAAATACATTATACAATCGGAGAACACGGGGAAAGTTAAAAAGTTTGAGAATTAAATATAACACTTTAACGGTTTAAAACGCGATATATGTAAGTGAAACTTATTTGAAAATTATTTTAACTACCCGACGTTTCGGATGCTTTGCTGTATCTTTCGCGTAATTATCAAATTACATACACAATAATACGTCAGGAGAATACGCGGTACAACGTGTGCCGTATGAGATGCCTGTAATATCCGGCGTTGTCAGAGGGTAGGCTGGTGTTGAGAAGAATGTTTTGTGTACCCTCAGTTTGTCGCCGCCGCTGCGACACTCGCTCAAGTGTCACTGGCTTTTAATTTCCCTCGGGAACTCTTCTCATTCGTTGTGGACTTGGCTTAGGACTTGTGGCTAGACAAGCTTAGAATTCAATTACATTTTTTTTGGATTTAGATTTTTCAAGTCAAGTCTCGCGGTTCGGTTTCAATCTGGATTTCCGATTATCCAAAGCTGCAATTATTATATAGCTGAATATTTCACTTTTAATGCTTGTATGTCCTAAATAATAAATACACTACTACCCTAAATTCTAAAGTAGTTTTTTTTGCAAAATATCAATTCTGTTTATTACTCGACAGGAAGATATTAAAGCAATGAAATGACGTATATTGACGTAATAACTATAAAATTAACTTTGTAGGCACTTATATTTCCTGTTTAAAAGTGATTGGTTACTTGCAGAACTAAATTTATTTATGGCCGGTTTGTAGTTTAAGGAAATTTTAAATACATTTTTGATTAATAATAAGACCTTAAATGATATGGTGAAAACTTTAATTTTTTTTACATTGTACATGATGGTGCTGTAATGACTTCACATTTTTTATGGAAAGAGGTAGGACGAACCACTTTTGAACATAAATATTTTCCCAAACATTTGTAGCTATTTTAAAATAACATCGGGGTAACATGCTTGTTTCCCGTTCCCATGGATCAGGTAGGACTGGGGCCCCGTAAGTCACTGTAACCTAATCGAAATAACGCTATCGATGCCGGTTCAAGTTCCGTCCTCGTCGTAACTGTTTCAACCTTCTTAGATTTTAATTTAGTATTGCTCTGAAAACTTTGCACATGAATGCACTATATAATTTAGAAATCGAAAGCAAAAGCAGCGTTGCGTGCTGTTGCTTCTGACGGAACGCTGACGATGCCGGTTCAAGTCCTGCCCGAGTCGAAAATTTTTTCAATTTCTTTTCGTTTTTTAAATTATATAGTATTGTTCTTTTAAATGCGATTGATTGCTAGCGGGAGGTGACACTGAATGACATCGTGGAGTCATTCGTTTTATGATACAATGGGTTATTTCAATTAGATTACAGTGTCTTACGGGGCCCCAGTCCTACCTCATCCATGGGAACGGAAAACAAGCACATTACCCCGATGTTATTTTAAAATAGCTATAAGTAAATGTTTGGGAAAATATTTATGTTCAAAAGTGGTTCGTATCAATAAGTGACGGAAGCTATCTTTATGGTTCTACTGTGGCGATCAGCTATATGGATGCTAATCCAGATATGGTTTTATCTCATAGATAACGCGTAACGCGCCCTTTAGTTTTCTAGTGTCAGTGCACCATGTTGTTTTGGAGTTTATACACACGTCCATCCAGGTCCGTCCAGGTATACCTGAATTTCAAGTAATCCATAACGAGCTGTGTCAGCGATTTCGTCCGCGAGAAACGTTATTTAGGGTATCCAAATTCGTTTTTGCAAGCCACTTCATCTTTATATACTCAAGCTGTTATCCACGACGTCGGTTGCGTCCCTTCCCTTCGTTCTTGCAAGTTAATCTTAAAAGATAGACATATAGCGTCACGGACTTTTTTTAGATCATTTAAAGAGAAATCATTCATTTACATATTTTGAGTATTTTGAACCGTTTTTGCAGCGTACGCCTCGGAAACCCATAATGATGAATAATTTTTCCAAATTTTTCACATTTCTTGCTGTATCGTCGCTTGTATTAGTCACAGGGCGATGTTTTATAGTTTATAGCCTTCCTCGACAAATGTTCTAAGCAACACAAAATACGAATAACCAATAATTTTACAATTCGAACCCGTAGTTCCTGAGATTAGCGCGTTCCAACATACAAACAAACAATCTCTTCGGCTTTATACATTAGTATAGATTTAAATGTACTCGAGATCTGGACCAGACCAAACGGTCTGTATATATTAGACATCGGGATGAGAGAGTGCTCTGATGAGAATGTATTACTTTGCTCTAATAGCAAAATCGAACCCCATCGTCCGGACGACATTCTTCGACCGGTTACAGCTTGAAAAACACTACGGCCAGTGTTGCATTCCATCGTCGTGTTCCCAGGTGCTCTTTTAGGAAGCTTGAAGTCAAGTGATTTCTATTGCAAGCTGTTGCTTACGGTATCACATTTTCATTCGTTAATCTCTAGTCGTTATAAGCTCGCAGTGAAAAAATCCTCAATCGTCAGGTCCCCGATAATACAAAATCGTTGTTTTAAACTTGTTATGTTGATATTGTTTATTTTCTTATTATTGGAAAATTAACATTTTCTCATTAAAAATATATATATATATATATAAAAATATATAGGTATTTTTCAAAATTAAAAATTGACTTTAGATCGAAAACTTTTTGCCGGTATTAATAGCGTTCCGTGCCGTCGCTCTAACCAACTTGCTTGACACGATATCTCATTTGGTAAGAGGTATAGTACGAAACACTGTGGGCGCCGGTTCAAGACCTGCCCTTGTCCTAAAATGTTTTTAAACATCAAAACCGTTAGCGTTTAAAATCGCCTTTCTACTAAGTAGCTAAGTGTGTCATCTTTAAATTAGTTAGTAATTTCTTTGTACTTGAAAGGGGATTCCATTTACGAAATCATTTTCTTCGTTAGGCGGGTGAAGCCGGCGTGGTAGTCCTCAGGCCCGAGGCGCTGGAGAACTCGTCGGAGGACGAAGAGAGCGAGGAGGACCGCAGACCACCTTCGCCCTGCTCCGTTCGCTTCCTTAACGACAACGTGCTTATCAACGGACGGTCGTCGATGCTCTCGCGCACACCGCACCACCGCGTACGCGCAGCCAAGGTGAGTTGTCAAAACAAAGACTAGATTTGACATTACAGAGGTAGACAGATAAGCTTCAGGTTCTCTTAATGGAAGATGAACTATCGCAGCCATATAACATATTGACTTCGGTTATTTAGAACGACACTGAAACGTAGATAAACAGTTCTCGTCTTTTGTAATATTTATATTTCTAAATAAAACACTTTAATGGTTTAATTCGCGATATATATTATTTAAACTGAATTTAACAGTAGACATTATTTAAACTTATAGTTATTTTTAACAACAGTTTTATTTAAATGTGTACTACTCGCGTAAACAACAGACAGTTTATTTATATTTTTAAAGTCATACATGAAAACCGTTGAACCAGCACATCAACAATCTACTGTATGATTGCAAATTATAGAAGTAGAAAAAGAAAAAGACGTGGGCCAAACTTAACAACAATGGCTTGGCCAAAAATCCATCCGAAGTTAATTGTTTTCTACTGAAATTTCAGCTAAAGCTACAATTCGATGACTCCCTGACGCGCACATTCGAATACCCCTCGGAGACTTCCCTCTGCGAGGACTCGCCGCAGATCGGGCATCCCGTCTCCCCACTCACTGCCCCGGCGCAGCCCCCGCAGCCCCCACAGCCCCCACAGCCCGCGCAACCCACGCAACCCACGCTAGCCTCCAACACCCATTTAGGTAAGAAACTATAACAACTTGAACTCTTATTTAAGCTTGCAACGAATATTCGGATATTTCGAATATGATATATTTTTATACGACACGGTCAATTCGACCGTATCGTAATTTTTTAAAATTACGACACGATAGTTTTAGCCTTTACTATATGTTATTAATGAGGCATCTTGTCTGTTGTATGCAATGGTGGATTAAGTCCGTCGATTGGCGATGTTGCCCCCCGAGCTGCCCCCCGACGAGATCTTCATCTAGGTTCTAACCCCTACTCAGTGTGTCTAGTAGGCTATGGCTCTCTTGTACATACAATACATTGTAATTATTCATACATGTATTAAATTTTAATTCAGTGAAGGGCAAATACTAATTTGAATATAGAAGTAATTACTGACCACCTACTGAGGCAGAAAAACATTTTCTTAGTTTAATTGTGCTAGTTAAAAAAAAAGGTTGCCCGTCCCTGAATTAATGTAGTAAATATAAGCGAAAACGTGGCAGCTTGGGTACAAATTAACATATCTTTAAGCAAAACTTAACGTAAGCTAAGCTAGAATATTTCAATAAAACACTTACGGTTTAAAACGCGATATATGAAGAAAGAAATTTTGAACCAGTTTCTGAGATTACCGCGGTTAAACAAACAAACTCTTCAGCTTTATATATTACTATAGATATAATAATGGTGCAAAATCATTACACAAGTATTAATTATTATATTCGACGTTATCGTAATAGTTGTGTCACGACCAGAAGGAGTTATATATTTGAACTTCCTCCCATTTGTGCTATTTACCTGATACTATCATTGCATTACTCACTTGTTTGTCTTACCACCAGAATTATTATTCAATTAGTCTTTATTGTCCTCAAATAAGAATCTTTTGCTATACGTCAACAAACAAAAAAGAAAAAAAAAGATTAAGACCACGTCCAAACACATTTTCGACATTCGACTCTCTCCGCGTAGAATAGTTTATTATTGTCATCAAAATTAGTTTTAAATAAAACGGTTTAAAACGCGATGTATATTAGTTAAACTTATTTGAAAATCTCCTCGTGCCCATCAGGTACTTCAGACGGTAGTTTAAAAAAAATTAAAAATAAGGTTAACCAATATACATCGCGTTTTAAACTGTTGAAGTGTTTTATTTAAATGTGTACAATTTGTGTAAACTACAGACAGTATTTTAAATTAGTTTTTTGAACCTTATCCTCATATTTATAGCAGTTACGCACGACCATCGGTCGGTTGCGTGCCGTCTTTCTTCCAAGTTAACCTTAAAAGATAGACATATAACGTCGCAGACATTTCTTTATATCATTAAAAAAGGAATAATTATTTATTACATATTTTTTGTGTAAGCCGTTTTCGCAGCGCACATTACCTTCGAAAACGAATTTTCCCCGTTTTTTCCACATTTCCCACTGTTACTTCGCTTTTACTTGTCACAGCATGATGGTTTTATAGCTAATCCTGCCTCAATAAATGATCTAACCAACACAAAAAAAAATCAATTCGCACTGGCACGAACAAACTCGGTAGCTTTATAATATTAGTATAGATTTACATAACCCATTTTATTAAATAACCATCCATGACATAGATACGCTTCTTTATTCATATTTGTTGTGACGTGACTTAGGCCCATTAGACCAATTTAAAATAAGAATATTTCGATATCTGGTTCCAGACGGATGCGGTGGGCTCGCGCGCTACACACCCAGCAAAACCCTCGCCGATGCCTTCCAACTGGGACTCACGCGCACGCACCAACAGGAAGATCCAGGTTAATATGTCATGTATATATATATTTAAATATAATGCTTTTAACGGTTTAAAACGCGAATTTTTGTAGTTAACTTATTTACTATTATTACTTAACTATGTTTTCAGCGTCAGAACAGTCTGAACAAAGCGAGAACAGTTGTAAAGCGGAGGCGGGGGCGGAAGCGGAAGCGGACGTGGGTGACGTGCGGCCGTGCGCCGCTGAGAGCGCGCGCTCTTGGTCCGAGTCGAGGACACACGACACCGACTTGCTCTTCTAAATTTGAAATTTCCTATTTGATTATACTGCCATCTGTTAAGTGATTTATGAACTAAATTGCGCTGGCGCTGCGTTGAAAGTGGCCGATAGTCCTCTTTAATTGCTCCTTAAAATGAAATTCTCCCCAAGCTCTTTAGAACGCCATATTGTCTTGCTACGTTAATTGGAAGTTTTATTATCGATTTTTTTATGCTGCGCCAGCCAATATTTACTGAGCGGGATTCCAGACACTAAGTGATAAAATATAGTATAGAACGTGTATGTGTGTAGTATTAAACATATATTTTGCTATTGATATAACCGGTGTATGCGCCAATGTGATATATGTGGACGCGGCGCCACCTGGTATTTTGTATTTGCATTCATTTTTATCTCTTCAACGTATGAGTGTGAAGGAGACAAAATATATCTAAACTTTTTATTTAGTACAGCGAGGAGGCTGCTTTGAAAACTTTATACTTGACCAATTTATAGTCGACGACCGCCATCTTTTATCCTATTTATGGGACTTTGGGTCTATCAAAATTGGCATTTTTTAAGCGGCCTTCCCATGACCTCTGTACTTTGTCAATAAGTATTTTAGAAATGTACTGAATATCAAATAATTTGCTCAATCGTGTAGAGGTATCGAATTAAACTGACTAGTTCTAGTGGAGGCTACCTCTTCATCAAATTTAGTTGTAATTCGCGGGACGAAATTTTGAGAGCCAAGTTAGTGCCTAACGAGATGCTAGGTACGACGATCCTGGCTTCGAATCCTCGGGAAAGAAATAAGACAAAACTTTATATGTTTTTTTCATCTATGAGATCAATTTTGCGCTGCGACTTATGTACATGTATAATTAGAACGTGGTTTTAACAAATTATGGATTTTTGAAGTAATTTACATTATTATCTCTATTATGATATTGTAACCATATTGTACTGGTCCTTATATGAGGTTTGGAATAATCGGTTTTTAAAATATAGTCTTAGGGTTATAAATTCTACACTATCTCCAAATATTGACGTGATTAATATCATTCCGAGGAAGTATTTTTTAAGATTTACAGGTACAAACATTGTTTATTCCTAATCGAAATGTAACCTGCCAATTCAAAGAGTTTAGCATTTGAAGCTTCTATTGTATAAGTATGAGGAAGCATTTATATTTTGTATATATTTATACAGGATGATTTCACTGTTTTCCAATTTAGTCAAAATATTCCGATTAAAAAAATCATTCTATTTTGAAAGCCCGTTTCGATAAATTTACAACAATTGGATCTATAGAGAACACCAATAATTCTGTGTACACATAAATGTTTGTTTGCGCTTAATTTATATATTAGTTTAACGAATATCGCCATTATCCCTAAAGTATCTGAAAATAATATTCGTTATTGATATAAAACTCGAACATTGACCATGCAAGTGTAAACCAGCAAATTATTGGGCATTTTTACTCTAATGTGATCATAATGGGCATATTCTGCGAGGTGTTTCCGTTTCGTTCAATTAAACTTAGTACTAAAAATATACGCTTTATAAGTTAGATTATATTATTAGCTATATATCGACAAATATGTTTAATCCCAAAGTTTGTGAAACGGTCATGTGTGACTTATAGACTTAAGCGGGTAAAGATTTGAGATTTTGTACGTGTGGGATAGAGGGCGCTTTAGTTTATATTAGTTTTAGTTTAGGAGCTGAAGACACGCTCTAAGAGTGTCATATTTGTTCGTTATATGCCTCGCCCGCGCGCGCCGAGTGGGGCTTACTTGCCAATGCCTAGTTGTATCTTATGCGTGTATGACATTTATATTAATGCATTTAGTATTCTATAGTTTGGGTTGAAAATAAGCTCGTGAGCAACGAGTAGTGGCGGACGAAGGAGCCGTTTACTCACGGCTCTAAATATGTGTAGGCTTTGCGCTACATGACTTGAACGTCAATAAAATGAATTGGATACAAAAAGCGTGTTTTAATTTCTGTCCAACAACCTATTCAATATTGTAATCTTGTTCATAGAAGTAAAATCCTAGCTAATAAAGCATTGTTAGCTTACACGAATAGAAACGAAGATTCTACGATGTAAGTTCCAAATTTAATACATTTAGAGATTCCGGTGCTTAACAGGTTCAATTGATATCATGTAAGTATGGTGGAAACAGTTCCCCTCAAGATTTTAGAAGTACATGACCGTATATGTGAAACTGGCTAAAACGTTGTCAATAGGTTGATGACCTCACAAACATGGGTAACCGCAATTATAATTATTATAAAGTAGACACCACCACAAGATGGCGCTAAAATATTTTTTTATTATAAATTTTACTCAAATATTAGGATTTTTCCGGCCTATTTTAGCTACAAACACTCAAAACTATTTATTTTTCTCTGACTTAAACAATAATTTTATCTTTATTTTTCACTCTTCCGTAAATGTTGAGAAACAAAAAAGTCTGTTGAAGAATATAGTCTATAGTTGTCTTTGAATCGACCAAAATCAAAACTGAATTCAACTCCATTCCCCGATATCCCAATATTTTCATATGGTTGCAAAAGAGCGATTTAATATACGTAAATGGTACCCCGATGCGACCTGAATATTTTAATCGATAACTCTCAAACCTTAAGTATCATATTATCAGAGTGATTTCGTTTCGCTGAAAATATTTCACTCAGTTATATTTTGGCGTTTATGTATTGTGATTTGTTTTTGACAAAATGTGAATACGTGAAGGGCATCTCTGCACTGTCGCCGTCGGTCGTTGCCAATTAGGTTTTTTTCCGTAACAAATCTATTACTCGCGTTCACACGTAGCCCCGCTGCGGCCGTGCTTTACGTAACACCGAAAATTGTCACGAGTTTCCGCCCGAATCTCGAACGATACGAAAGAAAACTATCTTATTGGATTTTTGAACATCGATAAAATGATGTCTACGATGTTCACGAGAGGCGTACTTCGAGCGGGCTCGCTGGAAAGGTACGCTTCGAGCGTCGTCGAGCTGCCTAAGTTCCAGGACTTTGGCGTCGCCAATGAGCCCGTCCTGGGGTACCGAGCCGGAAGCCGCGAACGGAACGAGCTTACGAGTGAGCTTAAGCGCACGGCTGCCGTTACGGAAGAGGTGCCTATTGTCATCGGTGATGAGTACATTAAGGAAGGCGAGCCCCGCCTTCAGGTAATGCCGCACGATCATTCCCGCGCCATTGCCCGTTTCTACTACGCGAGCGAACGCACCATCGAGAAGGCCATTCGGGTTTCCGCCGAAGCGCAGCGTAAATGGGACCGCACACCGCTAGACGAACGAGTGCGCATCTGGCAAAAAGCAGCTGATATGATGGCTGGAGAACACCGCCAACGCCTTAACGCCGCCACCGTGCTCGGCCAGTCCAAGTCCGCTGTGCAGGCGGAGATTGATTCCGCGGCTGAACTTATCGACTTCTTCCGTTTCAACGTCTTCTTCCTGAAGGAGAACGCAAAGTACCAACCGATCTCAGAGGACCCGTCAGTGACTCGCAACTCGCTCCGATTTAGAGGATTGGACGGCTTTATCGCTGCCATCAGTCCATTCAACTTTACTGCTATCGGAGGAAACTTGGCCTACACGCCAGCCTTAATGGGCAATGGAGTGTTGTGGAAGCCGTCGGACACAGCTCTTCTGTCGAACTGGCGCATCTTCAATATAATGAGGGAAGCTGGATTACCCTCTGGTATTGTTAACTTTGTTCCTGCAGATGGTCCCACATTTGGACGCACGATCACATCGTCTCCGCAGCTAGCTGGTATTAACTTTACAGGGTCTGTGCCGACTTTTAACTGGCTGTGGAATGAGGTAGGTAAGAACTTAGGGGTCTACAAAAACTATCCTCGTCTGATTGGTGAATGCGGAGGCAAGAACTATCACTTTATTCATCCAACTGCAGACATACAATCTGTTGTAAATGGCACTATTAGGTCAGCCTTTGAGTTCAATGGACAGAAATGTTCAGCTTGTTCTAGAATGTATGTTCCTAAATCATTATATGAGCCAATCAAGGAAGGTCTGCTCCAAGAGAGATCCAAACTCAAAATTGGTGATCCAACCGATTTTTCTGTATTCACTGGAGCTGTGATAGATGACAAAGCCTTTGCAAGGATTACTGGCTACATCAAAAATGCTAAAAATAACCCTAAGAACAAGATTCTCGGTGGAGGAGAATTCGATGATAGCAAAGGATATTTTGTGCAGCCAACCATAATAGAGACTATTGACCCTCATGACAAACTTATGACTGAAGAAATCTTTGGACCTGTTTTGACCATGTATGTGTATGATGACAAAGATGTCATGAAAACTTTGTCACTCGTAGGCTCATCGACTAAGTTTGCTCTGACTGGTGCGGTGTTCGCTAAGGACCAAGGCTTCTTACAGACAGCATTGGAAGAACTCAAAATGACCGCAGGTAACTTCTACATTAATGATAAATCAACAGGCTCTGTGGTCGGACAACAACCCTTCGGTGGTGGTCGCATGTCTGGAACTAATGACAAGGCTGGTGGACCCAATTATGTCATGAGGTGGACAACTCCACAGTCCATTAAAGAAACATTTGTACCCCTGCGAGAGATTGACTATCCATACATGAGGGACTAGGTCCATTTCCTGAAGTAAAAAATGTAACAGTACAATAATGATATATCAATAATTTTATTACTTAGTAATATGCTTTCTCGAAAACCAACTGTAGGTAATAGTATTAATGTTTGAAAAAGTATTTATTCTTATCGCTACTAGGTTAGTAGCTGCTGAAGAGTGATATATGTATATCTGGTTTATTTATTGTAGTTATCTAATGAAGAATGGCCACCGGTCATCTCTGGTACAATTATTATAATATAGTGAGATGTTACAAATTGTTACCTGCTAAGTCATAATGAGAAGAGCACTTGACAATGTGAGACTTTCAAATGTAATTCAAAACAGATTTGACAGGAACATGCCCTGATAATTTCTCAGACACTACTGCTCTTATCAAATTACTATTTGCTTGTTATCATTTGTTTAATGTATTTAATTATCTTGTTGGCCTCCGCTCTCTTCAGATAATGCATTTAAGCTCGAAAAATACAATAAAACATAATTTTTTTCTATTCAGAATAGCTTCAAGATGTTTTAATTTCTTAAGAGATTTTAAATATATTTGTGTTGTGTACCTATTTATATTCCTAGTTGTGATTAACGTCACTGTTAACTGCTCGTTAAATAAATTGAATTATTATGACAATGTTTTTATTGCACCTCAGTGCTAATATGTTCTAAATTATGTGTGTCCAGTCACAAGATTATTATGAGACATGAGTTTTCGCTCATAATGCCAAGGTCATATTACAATAAAAATATAACATTCGTTAAGTCTCATTTATTCCAAATCTCTAAATGGAAATTTACAATTCAAATGAGCATTATTTTTGTTACTTCCAATTTACAATCTAGATTTGCTTTACATAAACCCGCTGGAGGTAGTTTTTTTAGGGTCGTATTAACTTATAATTATTACATCTTGTTATCATATATTCGATTGAGTTTAGTAATAGTTTAAATGAACGTATTATAAACGCAAGCGCGCAACCACTGCGCCAACAGTCGATCAATACCAGGTCGAGGCCAGATAGACACCGAACAAGTACCTATAATAAAAAAAAAAATGCTAGGCTCTCTTATACATAATCACAAAATCTAGCATCTCGGATTTATACCTTAGACCTTATTAATGTCTCCAAGGTCTCCAGTGGTTTAAATTCACAAATTTTTGTTTATTAAAATATTACTATGCAGTTTTTAATTTATTCCTATTTACTATAACAATCTATAGATCTAAAATAAAAAAAAAACATGAAGTACCTACGAAAGCAACAGTGTGTAAGTGTGAATAAGGATATTGTTTTAATTTTCCAAGGACGAAGATTTTACCAATAACTAACCTAACCTAACACAATGTTTCGGTAGATCATTATATGCTTGTTCGTGTACATTAGATAAGGTAGGTGGATTTTTTGCTTTATCAATTATCTTCCGTCGTAACCTTGTGATTGTAGCCAAAAATAAAAATCGCAAAAATATAATTTATCAATGTTGTCAAAAAAACTTATTTGTGACATAGGTATTTAGTGCTTATTATAAGACAAATTCCGTGGTGATTCTTCTGCAGCGAGATAGAACAAATAATAGATTCAAAGAATTTTTATTCAGTTACGTCAGTGGTATTTTTCTACAAAATAAATCATTGTATAAGAAAGTATTTTAATATTAGTTTTTGTTAGCAGCCGACCAGCCCGTAGTCGTAGTCCCAATCACTGATAAATTGTATAATTCTATCTATAGTTTACGCGAGTAGTACACATTTAAATGAAACATTTTAACGGTTTAAAACGGGATATATTAGTTACACTTATTTGAAACGTCGGGCCGAAGTTAAAAATAATTTTCAAATAAGTTTAACTAATATATCGCGTTTTAAACCGTTAAAGTGTTTCATTTCAATATTATTCTATCAATTTGTATTTCACTCTGTCATATTAGACATTGACGTATGACATTTCGGATTTAAAATTGACAGCTCCTTGTCCGTGATACATGACATTAACACAATACTATCAAAACAGCTCAAACGCTACTTATGTCATTTGGGGATAGAATTTGGAGTTCTTTCTAGAAAAATGTACGAAAGATTATTTTTATTTAGTTCGCTGACTTGTAACTGAGAAGCAAAAAGTCGTGAATTAAACGATGTCAAATGTGTTCGGGTTGATCGTCTCCGGGCGTTTGGTATGTTATTTAATGCAAGGTTTGTGCAGTATTGACATATCGCTTTGTGTGGTGTTTAGATTGTTTTCTTCTGCTTCAGGTGCAGACTGACTTCACGCCGCTTTCTGAAACCAGCCTAGTGACAACAATTCTTGATGTGGACTCCATTAATCATGCGGTGGTGTTTTTGACCGGCGCCACGCCTCTGCCGGCCGGCTCCGTGGCAATTGTTTACTGGAGTTGGCCGGACCCTAACGCTCCACCTAATTGGCAGCCTTTAGGGCACATATCTAATGTTAAACCGTCCGCTATATTTAAAATTCAAAATTTAAAGAAGCTACATGAATTATCAGGTAACATTGCACATTGAAACTGAATGTAGGGGAATTGAGCCCAATTTTAAATGATTTTTTTATTTTAGGTGAGAACAAATTTATAAATGCGTTTGGTCAACAACAAATTTGTCATAATGCTCAAATCGGGATCTCAATTGAACCAGAAGCTAATGCGCAACTTTTTGAGCCTATGCTTGTGAGTACCAACATTTAAAAAAAAGACAAGCAACATTATGAAATCACCATTGTTTATGGATTCATGTAATATTAACATTGTAATTTTTCAGGCCCAACAGACTACTAACAATTACGTAACATTTGCCCAAAAGATGCTGGAGAACCTAGTCAATTTTGTTGCCTCATTCTCTGTGACACAGGATCAAATGACACCCACACCAGGTGTCTCTTACATCCCCCTCAATACGCTGCACACTTGGTATCAAAACTTTGAGAGACGTTTACAACAGAACCCAAATTTCTGGAAAACCTAGCTAAAGACACTTTATTATTAAGCATTAGTAAATAAAATCATAATAATCTAGCAGTGCTAGTTGTGATAAATGTCAGTAGACCCTATTTGCTTGCGTGAGTGTGTGAAAAGATAATTATATTTTAAGAATTCTAATTCTGAGGTTGTTAACAAAAGGGCTCTTAACAATATTTTTACCCATTAATGTATTCTATGCTATGTCAATACAATGACAATAGAAGCAATAATTTTGGTTTTTAAGTTTGCCTGTGCAAGAAGTAGGATTATAGTATGTTATTTTTTTTGCATGATGGGGAAAATTGTATTAATAGCTTTTCAGCCATGTAAAATTGATTTTAATGAATGATGGAAATGTAACATATCCTATAATTATTGTTGCCAGAGTAAACAGTTAATTGTATAATTCGGTGTCTCGGGTAAATTTATTTAAAATAACTGTTGCTAAGCCTACACAAAGAAAATAATGTTTTATTCACACTAACCTTAATGCTCTGGATTTTGATACAATAAAACTGAAAATAATAAATGATATTTAGTTTTATATGGTGTAATAAATAAATACTACTAGTGGGATGCTTTTAAATAAAAAAAAGACATTCATTAATATAAAAAGTTTATTGCATACAAAGGATAACAGCCCGTTTCTGAGTACAAAGATGATGAAATGTCTTTGAAGCCTATTGTAATTAAACAAAAAAAATGTGCAACTACTGTATTTTAAACATAAGACATCAAAAATGTGTCACCGATGTTATATAACTTTGTTAAGCAGGAATAATAATTTCATTGATAGGGTGTGTTTAATTTAAGGAATAAATATCTTATTTTAATTATAGGGATCACATCAATAGTACCTTAAAAATTAAAAAAAAAAAAACAACAGCACCTGGCCTTTACTATGAAATGCATACAAAATTACTAAGGATAAACTAAATTGTGAGATTTGTCTAGTTTAGTTGATATTGAGATAGTAATTACTTAGAAGCACCAGTTTTGAGCGATAACATTAAATTAACTTATATTTGGCATTCCGGTAACTTAGGTAACTATGTATCACTGGACTCTGATAAGAGCCCTACAGAAATAAACCTAGCAAAATGTTTAATGCTAAATCGAAGCACCATAATAAGTTTTCCATTGTTTTAGAGATGACAAAACAGAAGCAAAGATGCTATAAATATATTTCCCCACAAAAAACGGAGCCAACACCAAAAGACTGGAGTTTAACTGAATTAAAATAGTTCATAGTCTTTTTAACATTAAAATCACAATGCATTGATGTATGTATATACATGGAAGAATTAAAAAGCTTCAAGCAATCAAAAATGTGCCTTTAGGATTAAACAAGTGATCTTGTTTTTACGTAAAGTAGAATATAACATTTTTGGGAATTCATTTTTGAATAAAATTTGAACTAATTGTTGTCTAGAATCATATTCTGGAACATAAATTTGTTAAGAATGGATGTTTTAGAGCCTCTTCTGCGGAAAGACGGGTCCGGGGGTTCGGTTCCAGGAGTTGGGTCGCTAAAGAGAAGGCGCTCTCAGGGAAACCAGCTACAACCTCTGTGTCATCTGGAATATGCTCTTTCTAAAAAAATAACACGATAATATTATTATGATATGTAGTAATAATAAAACCTTTTTTTTAGGACTAAATGACTGCATACTACACTGATATTGAAAAATTTGCGTTTTACCTGAGGTCTGAGACAGAGGCAATGGGGCTGAGGCAAGGTACAACGGGGGCAGATGGGCGTATCACGGGGCGCGGGGATCGGCGGCCTTCTAAGTCGTTTGGCCAGCTTTCGCAGACAGATTCCACCGCGGCTTCCGGACAGCACTACACGACGACCTTTTAAAAACATACTTTCCTTATCAAAGGTTCATATCCGGCACGAAAGAAGTAAAATGTATTCATTTGTCGCCTTTCACAGCTCTAGCGTTGATAATTTTGTAGCGATATTTCATGTAAGAATTTAAAGGAATATTCTTTCCCAGTTCACAAATAATCAGATCACAAGAGATTTTTATACATAACAATAAAGGACTGTTTAAAAAAATCTAATTACCAAGGCTAGCGGCTGTACGCTGTATGGCAGCGGAGCCAAGCAAGTCAGCCAGCTCAGCCAGCGCTGACACGTCATCCGCCGCTCGGAAGAACGGGTATCTGAAAATTTATCGCGACATATTTTAAGGATAGAACTATGTTATCGTGTTTCTTATTTATTAGAAATATAGAATTTTAAGTGGGGTAAGGAATTTTAGACAACTTTAGAGGCTATATAAAAAAAATCTATCAATATGTAGCACCACATGAAAAGTTATCATACAAGTTTTGAAAATACAGGATATGTTTATAAAAAGCGTGGTAGGAAATTCTATAACAATCTTTTTGTGCCAAATTTTCATTTTCTCAAAAAATTTAATAATTAATTTAAAAAATTAGAAACACTTTAGCAATAAAGTAAAGTAAATTAATTGGTATACCTAGCAGTGAGTAGTGAAGCCAGCATCACTCCAGCCGCCCACGTATCAACAGCCGTGCCCTGCACAGGGCTCTTAAGCAGCACCTCCGGTGGCCGAAAGCCCTGGGTTCCTGCTCGGGGGGCACGCGCTCCGGGTCTGCGCATGCACCACGCGCACACGCCACCTATGTTGGAGCACGCGCATGATGTGAGCACCGATGCGCCGTTCTGTAATATGGTATGATTTACAATTATAGAACTCATACAAACTCAATATTTGAGCACCAAGTATAACAATAATATGATATTTAAAATTTAATAAACAAAGTAATACTCACTTGACTAATTATAAGTGATGGTCCAAGTTATAAGAGTTAGACATGTAAAAAAATACAAAATAGAAAATCCGGAAACACGTTACTAATACACTTACTTTTTAATATTGATATTTCCTAAAAAAAGACATTTTGGCTTAGAGATATTGTTACCTGGCCTGGTGCATATTGTTATTATCTCTCACTGAAAACCACTGCAATGCATACTTCTATATATTTAATTAATAAAATTATTATACCTTTGGCATATTCCGCTTGAGTGTGGTATTAATTTTGAGAGTATCTATTTGCTTTGACACGGGCATGCTGAGACAAGTGTGCGGGCGCAGAGACAGGTCCAGCGCAACGCGCTTCGCTCCTGGAGGAGATTCTGTGTCCTATCATGGTATTATAATAATTTCCATCAATAAGAGTAGTCAGTTTCTACAATTGTGAAATATTTTAGGTGTATATTTCAGGAAATTAGTTGTCTAGTAATATAATACTGACCTCTTCCCTAGGTCTTTTGGCTGAGCTGTTGATATGTGCAGGAGGCGGTTCAGGGAGTGCTGGAACCACTCGCTGGGCCAGCCCAAAGTCAACCAATAGATATCTGGCACAAGTTGAGAAAAAATATTATAAATATTAACATCTAATGCAACCAAAATGAATACTTATTTCAATAATGATACTGAAGCATTCAAATGGGCTCCTTGATGTAAGCAATGTATGGCTAATAATCAACGGGTCGTGAATTCGATCCTAATCGGGCTCAGCATATATCTAATCTATTTATAATTTTTTTTAAGATTTCTAGACTTTGTCTGAAAATCTCTATCTTAAATGGTTGATTTTAATATCGAAAATTCGTACGAATTTGTATGGATACGAACCACAGATGAAAAAACCGTCAATTTAATCTTATTTCGGTCTCAGTCTGTGGATTTCAGAGTTTTCAATACCAGAATAGATCAACAGGACATCTTGTTTAGATGTTATATGGCTGGCGTATTTCACCTATCATCAAGTGAATTCCATGCTTGTCTGTTCTCCTCCATCTGTGCATTAAAATCTTACCTTTTATTTTCTCGATCATATAGAAAATTACTCGGTTTCACATCCCTGTGTATGACACCAAATGAATGAACATGCTTTAAAGCCACTAATAAAGCTTGCATGTATAAAGCGACCTCATGACTGTCCATGTCACCAACATACTCCTGAAATTTTCAGAATGTACAGTTTGTATTATCAAAGTCTTATTTATTATTATCTACATATATTTAATATATGCACTGCCGAAGCAAATACATTGACTGCCTCTGTAGCCAAATGGTTAACGTGATTGCTAGCCTTACATTAATTCCTTCTGCTAAAGGGTTCGAATTCAGGGCATAACAATAGATTGTTCCAATTGGGCAGGACACAGATGACTGCTAAACACTCTATACCCTAAGAGGGGAAGAGGGATTACACAATAAGCTAATTATTAAATTATATAGCCAATAAGTTGAAAGCGTGTATTGTCAAAGACTGGGTGATTAGTCTACAATATTAGCTAACCATTTCATCTATTTCTTCTTTATGGAGGATTTCAAGTTATTTAACTTGCACTGTGACCTCTTCAAACCTTTTTTTTTTCTTTTGGCAATCTCTTATTATTTATTCTACCTTTGCAACTACAGCTTAAAATATTTAACTTTCAGGAATTCTTATTTAATTGAAGACTTACCGCAAATTTTCTATGAGGTATGTATGGCATAACAAAAACTATAGTGTCTAGTTGGCGCAGACATAACTCAACACCAATGACATTATGTCTTCCACTGAAAATAATAAATATTCATATGTAAACTTCAAGTCATAAGTTGTAGCATGTATAAAAATAGAGAGGCATCTATTAAGGCATTGGTTCATACACTTATGAAATAATAAATAAACCCAAGGCTTAGCTTTTTTGCAACTCAACAACATCTCTTTATCACTTTGACACACTGTATTCACTTTATCTCTTTGAAATTTCTTTTAATTCAATTCATTTTAATTTAAGAATGTATATAAAAACTTCAATGCATACATATATAGTTACCCCTTTTGGTAATAATATACAGCTGTTGTTTTAAGTACAGTAGAAAATTACCCCATGTCATGCAGACATTTAAGTTCATGTTCCACCCTGGCCGGATGGGCAGTGGGCACTAGGTGCTTTATAGCAAACCATCGCTTCTGACTCTCTGCTAGTCCAGATTGCTTTCGGAGCGAAGCCAAGTATACAGAACTGAATGTTCCTTCACCTATCTTGCGGTGCACTTCAAATATATTATTCAACTTGGGCAACTTTACTAAAAGTTCACCAATTTGTTCCTCTAAAATGAAATAGGAAATGTTAGGTGAAGAAGAGACAAATGGGAGTTTTTTTTAAATTTACTAACTTTCTGGATCATCTGAATAAGAAGACTGATCTCCTCGAGCCTTCTCAACACTGTTTCCATTTCGTGTTTTCTGCTTAGTTTGAACATCAGCTAGAATTTTTAATGCTTTATTTTTAACACTCAAATTGTTGGACATCAGAGCAGATAAATATCAACGAAACTGAATTAGAGCAGGAACAATTATTGTATGAATTATTAGGAATGTATAGCATTCAAGAATACATTGCTTCGACGTTTTGGAAAAATAAAAAAAGAAAGTACCAAAATTGTGATTAAAAACTCATATTTCTGTTTGCCAATTTATCATAATCTATGGTAAATAGTCAATGTTTTTGACAATAGCTGAAGCCTGTAGTAATTGATTCCACAGATGGTGATATCATATTACAGATTAATAAAAGGTATTGTCACACTTCATAGAAAAGTATTGTCGAAGCTCTATCTTGTAATGTTTTACGTTTTTGTAAAAATAAATTTTGAAATTAATAAGCTATTTGAGAACAAAAATCCTTTATAGTATTTCTGTTTAGGAAATCTAACCTTCATTTCTAACGTATGAAGAAGGAGAAACCAACAGTGTTATAGTGTTGGTAACCACAAATCGTTCTATTTATAATATAATACCTACTACAAATTAACAAATATTAAAATGCTGTGTCGAATTATTTCTAGCAGAACTACAAGTTGTAGTGCTTATAAATGTGTGAGTACCTTTATTCAACAGCAAGGGATAACCTTAAGTATGGCATGTTTTCGAGTTTCGTATGTTTTGCTTACAGGCTACGTTTGCTACAAAAGCTTCAAAACCAGAAATTCCCAAGAACCCATTAGCGTCAGTGTACTCTGCTAATAACCAGACCACTAACGGCACTGTTTATGATAGGAAGCCTTTTAAATTAACACTTCAGGCAGGAAAGACATACTCATGGTGTCTCTGCGGCAAGTCAAAGTCCCAACCACTGTGTGATGGAACACACAAAGATATTTATCTTAAAATATCTCAAAAGTGAGTATATACTTGGGCATTTGGCAGTATTTAAAAATGTCAGAATATTTTTAACTACATATTGTGATAAAATGATTCCCTTAATTTTGATTTGTTTTAAGTAGTGCTTTGATTCTTTTAGACCTATCAGATTCACCGTGGAGGAAACCAAAGAGTACTGGCTTTGCAATTGTAAGCAAACTAAAAATCGGCCATTCTGTGATGGAACACATAAACAGAAGCAAATACAAGAGTCTACTACTGTGAGAGTTTAAAAATGTATATTGAAATACAATTTTGAAAATATTGTATGTGTTAGATAGGTAATTGTTATTTAGAATAAAACAATAATAATGTGTGTAGTTGTATATTGTTAATATGTTCATTAAATTTAGCATTATTAATTTATGTAATTTCACTGCTTTTGAAAGGTAATGTGAAGTCGTTAAGCATTTCTATTGAAACCCACACAGGTGAAAATATATAAAATATACTAAATGGATTGATTTCACTTTTACATATTTTATTACAAAACAACGATATAGATTTTGAACGTTGAACCTATTATTGAAGATGACAGCTCTTAGCATAGAGTAGGATAATATATAGTAAGGCTCTTAGTAAATATTATGTTTTTTGGATGGCTCATAAAATTGAACACACACAAATTCTACACATTGTTCCCCCTAAATTTATTAATCTAAACTTGTCGCACACTTGGTATACTCGATACATTTTATCCTCTAGCTCTTTGGCGGGTTATTTGACTGGACTTATCCCGAAGTAATGTAAATAAGAGTAGGTAGTTCCGCAAGTGACTATCATCATCTCCATCATATATATTATACTTGTTGGAGGTTATATATATTGGCTGGCAACAGTTGAGTTAGGTTTTTAAAATGTTCTATTCTATGTTTATTTGAATTCCCAGGATATTGTTTTATGAAAAGAAAACAAGGACTTCTCTTCTCAACACGTCGGGGTTTTTGTACGTTTATTATACAAAATTATATTAACAGTGCAAATATATATATATATGTGAAAGTTTGAAGTGGGTGTGTTTTCATAAATATATTATATAAATATCCCTGCTCTGCCCTCCCACGAGCCGAAGCTTCCACGCGGAACTATAGTTAATAGTAATACTGAGTACTCCAACAATACTCTATATATAATCTATACTCTTTGAATCTATTTTTGACAGTGATAATTCTTAAATGTTACCAGACGTTATTTTGTACTTGCTTAAACAACTTTAATTTTTTTTAAACATATTTATTTATAATTTAAGTATTTAAATATTAATAAGACTAATATCCCTTTTTTATTATATATGTTGTCATTAGGTTATTGGTAATTTGAATAACTTTTGATCTGACAACTCTATACTTGACCAATCGGCAGTGAACAATCATGACAACATGGCAAGTTGAAGATGTGTGGATAGTGCTTAGTAATATTTTTTAAATTTTCATTCAGTATATATATATTTCATATTTGTCATTGAGCGCTGATAAGATTGGTTGCTCGCGTAATAGATTTAATTCAAACAGTCGCAGTCAGACGTAGTCGTCCCACGGCACACGTTGGTGATACTTTACGTCTCTACTACAAGTGTGAATTAGTTTTAAATTGTAATTTGTTAAAATGGAAAAGCAAGAGGTGAAACTTTTTACGCGTGAAGAGCTTAAGAACCGTAGTTCGCGGGAAGAATGCATACTGATCATCCACAACGAAGTCTACGACGTCACCAAGTTTTTGGAGGAGGTAATTATATTCCATTATTATAATGTTGTCCTCAATAGATTTCAGAAGTTAGAACCTTACACTTAAAGTATTCTAAAAGGAAGATAAATAAAATCTATGTATCATAAGTATATTGCATTATTGTGGGGCATATTTAATTGCACTATAATTTTAGTAATAAGCTTAATGTTTTGGTTTATACTATATATCTGGGTCTATTTATTCAAGGTTTGCTATTGTTAACTAAATAATGAATTGGTAAATAATAATGTGTCCTATGAGATATTCTAAGTTATTACTTGGATTTCAGTTAAAAGTTTTCTTAGTTGTTTTTTGTATTTTGTGTTACTGTCTCTAGTTTATGCTAATAGTAACATTTAATTAAAACAGAATTAATGGTTTAAAGCACGAAATCTACTAGTTAACTTATTTACAATATATTTTAACTACCTACCATGTTTCAGATGCTTTACAATAAGAAGTATTGTTTTTTATTTCAATTTCTTCATCTTCGTACTAGAGCCATAGATAATATTTACAATGTACATAAAGACATGATTGGGTATTCTACATCCATATATAATATGGCCTTTCAATGGAAGGTAAAGCCAATGCTTGCATGTTCTCAAGTCGACAAGAAAATAATAATATAAGTTATTTAAGCTGTGTTAACAAAAATATTAACATAAAGTATGTTTAAAGATTGCAAAGTATTGTAAAATACAACATAAGATGCTTTAAAGTGGAATTTTCCAATATATGTATACAAGTTAAACTACCTAATTAAAATGTGTATGTATTATATGTATAATAGATTTAAAGGGGAAATAATAAATTTGTTAAAATCAATACATCAACTCTTCAAAGCTGTTGGTTATGTTAGTGGTTCCTTAAATATTGAATTAAACTCATTTTACAAAAACATACAATGAATGATATTTAACAGTTACTCATGCACCTTTACAAGCCTTATTTTTAATAAAACTAAGCTATAATAGGAAGAAGGAAAAAGGCCAATGAATTAATTGTACAATGAAGTATTGTATTTATTTTTAATGTCTAAGCTGATAGTAGCAGTGGATTGAATAGGATAACATAAATTTAATGTAAGGCTGTGGAATTTATATTCTGAGTATTGTAGTACGTAAATTGGATATGCGCGCGGCAAAGTATGTCGGGAGACGGGAATTTCATTAAACTGGGTCTTAGTAAAGGAATCCGATTATTTATTGCGTGCCAGCATCATCGGGAATGTCAATGCACAGAGTATTAGATATACACACATAAAAAAGCGTAAGCAGGCTTTACTTCTCGAACTTACATCTGTAGTCTTTTTTTAATTTAATACACGACTTTTTCTTCAAGAAATAAAAATATATTAGAACTAGCGGCCCTGTCCCGGCTTCGCACAGGTAGACATAAATAATTACAGATATTAAAATTAAAAGCATGCTAACTAAAACGACCATGAATCACTAAATTAGAAAAAAAATGTATTTCGCGTCCTAGCTGTTAACGACCTTTGTCTATCACGCTGTGTCAGGAGCCGCGTTCAGTGTTAGAGTCTCGTGCACGCGTTCGCGAATTCCTAGCTCTATTTCCTTCAAGTCGCTGAGACGAACTTGCATTTTGTTCTGCAAAACGAACCTGAACATTCGATGATAGATTCTCTGGCTTGCGCTTGGGGCGCGTACACTATAATGCTTTCCAGATGATCATTTTAGGAAGAAGACTCTCCAATCCGACAAACTTTGCTAATCTCGCTTGGGAACTATTCTTAGATAGCTGCAACCTTCTTCTTCTAGGCATATTGCTATGAAGGATATTTATTTTAAATCAGAGAAATTAAGAATAAACTAATAATAATACAAAAGAAAATATTCAATTCCAATGCGATAATTCTGAAAAGAACTTTGACAAATATTATGCAAAGTGAAAAAAAATCCTAATACTAAACTAAGTAGCTTTGAAAAGAACTTTTTAAGTGAAGCATAAAAATCGAAATATTCAATGTCGTTCGCGAACACTGCGTAAGGAGCCCACTGCCGCTCTATCGTCGAATTAGATACTCGGTGCGCGGCGTGGCGGCCACCGCCGGCATGCATATTTATTTTAACTTCGTGATGTCTTTTAAATGGAATGTCCGATTTCAATAATTAAAAAAGTAATCATCAGGTATTGAGACAGTCTTGCATATTAAATTATTTATTCGGATATAAATGTATAAATGGTACGGATTTTGATCGGCATTTCTATCAATTTGTTAAATGTGAAAAAATAGTTATAGCGACGTAACTACAATAGTTAGACATATGCTCTCGCGATGTTTTATGTAGATATTAATATTATATTCTATAATATTGTCGATTATTTTTTGTCCTATCATTAATACTTTTCGCAGCGTATGCGAAGAAAAACATTTTATGGCTAATTTTTTTACGCCTTCCTTTGGTTTTAGTAAGAATTTTTATAGATGCCTATAGTAATCAAGTACTAAATATAGCCTATGTTACTCAGTGATAATGTAGCTTTCTAATGAAAAAATAATTATTAAAATCGGTCCAGTACTTTTTGAGTTTATCCGTTACATACAAAAATACCAATCTTTCCTCTTTATAATATTAGTTTAGATATATACAATAACTGATTTCAAGAATAGAATCAGAACAGAACAGAAGAGTTTATTTATAAAAAAGTTATAAGTATAAATAATTTTCCCGCTTTTATGTGTTTTCTTTGCTTATATAAAGTAATTATATCATGTAACAATTCTGTTACAATTGTTTTTTTTTCTGATATTTTTCTATAGTCTTCATTTGATTGCTTGTGATTGAGGTTTTGAAATGATAGAAACAAGTTGACTTATATATTTTGCATTTTTAAATCGTTATTGAAAATAATTTTATTGAAATGTCTTCTGCTACTGGACAAGATTTTTAGTATGCTTGGTGGTTTTTCGGCAATTATTATATATATGCTTTATTAACGTTAATAAAGCACGAAACGTAGCCATCTTTTATTCAGTTAAGTATTATTAAACATTAACTGTAGTCTATGGGCACTATAATTAATCTTAGGACATTTCATATGTTATCTAGGGCTCTGTTTCATTTGGATTGTATTGTTTATTATTGAGAATATTTGGGTGTATTATGAGGTTTCAACGCCAATCTGATATACCTATATTTCGTCTTCCCGTGCCTGGCTTAGTCGTCTGTACGTCATACAATAAAGGTTACTTATGGACTCCAAGTATAAGATATTTTTAATCGAAGGAATTATAAAAGTCCTTGATTTTACAATCATTCTTTCATAAGAAACTTTATTTGCATTATGAAATATTAAGGTCGAGACATGATGTGCTAAAGTAATTACGAAATGTAAGACGCACGTCTCTACTAAAATATATTATTTGCTTAATTTACGTAGGTAACTCAACTAATTCACAATAAGTATTTAACAACTTCACTTAATATGTCCCATTTTCATATACCTATATGATAATAATATAGTAATCATATAGGTAGTACATAAGTTTTTTGAGCTTGGAGATTTATAGTAAAACCTTTTTCTATAAATATCCAAGATTATATTTTTAAGTTACCTCACTGTAGATTGGAGTATGAGTTGAAATTCTGGTGGATAACCTGTAGCTATGGAATAATAAACAGGCGCCGTAACGCGTTACATAACGAAGCTGTTGACTAAGTTCAATAGGTTTAAGTATAATAAGTTACCTCGACTTCAACTGAGCACAGAATGAGCACAGGAAGTGAGTAGTTTTTTAATGTTAACGGACCTTATCACATTTTGTGCATTGTAACAAGTACCAGCTCGTACTTGCTGCGATAAAACACGAGAGGTTAAAAATCATCGTGAACCTGACCTTAGGCATAATTATTAAACACTCGTCAAGGTCGTTGCGAGAAGTATTATGTATTATGCTCGCCGCGAGTTCGCTGATAGAATCGAAATTAAAAAATCAAATCCTATTTCCCATACGCTTAGGTAAAGCACATTTCTGTGTCTGTGGATTTTAATCATAGGCAAGGCTCTAAAAATGAATAGACGAGTGGCGGCGAGTTTCTTGCAATTTCATCTCGTTCGTTTTACGCTCTTGATTTGAGAACTGGTAGTAAATATTTTTTGATATCGGTGGACCGCAAGCATCGGGTTTACTTAGGTGAGATAGTAGGTCACGTACCTGAAATATCCCAACCATATATCATTCTTCACATAATGCGCCGTCAACCTACCTATGTTCGGCTCGAGATATTCGGAAAAACTTAAACCTGACGTCTTTTCCATATGTGGGCGGTGATTCGTGACTTGGACGAAATATTAATTCCTACCGTCCATTAAATATCCAGATTTCCAGACTAAGTCCAACATGTTTCTGAAACATTATAATTTAATTATAAAAATGTTGGACCCGGTGATTGTTTGCTTGTTTTGCTACCGTTACACGAATGAGCTCGCCTTTAGTTTCAACTGGTGTGACGACCATTAGCGTACCTAATTACCTACGTGAATAAATGATTTTTGACTTATGAAATTTATTTCCGAATGAAAATAAGATGGCACAGTGACATACTATTTCTAGAAAGTAATTTGTCAGGCTCTTGCGCCTTACGCTTATGCTCTCCCCAAAGACCCTCGAGCTTAAACCATAGCTACACAGCGAACCCACTACCCGTTGATTATTATTCTTACTCTCTCTACCGGACCAACGAACCCTTTGAATTAATCTTATCCAAATATGTAAGAAAAATTTCGTTAAGCATGGGCGAATGGGGGAACATATTTCTATGTCCTTTTCACCGCTCAGTTTTTTTACAGTCAAATAGTATAAGCATTCTGTGCCCTGCCCGACCGAAATAATCTGTCATATCTCCAAGAATTCAAATTTAGAACCTTTCGTGATTAACGTAATACTGCTAGGCAACACGTTTAGCCATTTAGCTGCTGAATCAAAATCTTTCAAATAGGGCCTATTTGCTTTATTATTTAAAATCTATTCAGTATTTTTCAAGGTTTTTTGAAAATCCGGTTTAGATATAATAATCCCTACTTACGCTTTTTGTTACGTAAATATTTCGAATGAACAGTTGAAAATTTTTCGAAACTCATTTTGTACCCTTTAATTACTTCAATATTATATTTACTCAATACTGAGTGTATAATGATTATAATTAATTACTAAATGTATTATAATATTTGAAATGTGAAAGGACCTTGGCTGAATATTATTACTTCAAGGTATTATCATTTTGATATTAGCGTCGTAAATACGAGGAGATATTATATTTTCCTTTAAATAATTACAAAAGAACAGCACTTCGTTGTCTACGCTCTAAACCATCTATCATGAGAGAATGTTATTGTGCTACTTAGTTGAAACATTCAAAACTCTAAGGTCCTCGATGACTAGACTTACTAACCGAACGTCGTCATCAATCATGTTAGGCCACGTAGGATTGGAACCCACGACACTTTATAACAATAGTATGCTATAGACAAACCAACCTTAACAATGCGCGATAGGTACACGTTGAAAAAACTCGCCAATGTCGTAGGACCCGGTAGCTCAATTGGTTAGAGCACGGAACGCTGAGGACGCCGGTTCAAGTCCTGCCCAAATCGATAATATTTACATTTTCAATTATCGATTTTTAATTCAAACCTTCAATAAGTTTTCGCGTCTATTTTAAGAGTCTATAAATTCTGAACTAAACAGAGTTGTATAAATTAAAATATCACGGTCAGAACTTGACCCGGCGTTCTGTATTGCTCTAACCAATTGAGCTACCGTGCCCTACACGTCTTCGTCGATTTTTTTTATATATGCACCTCGCGCAATGTAAGTCTAACCTTATTTCGTAAACATTAAGGTTATTTATCATTTCCAGCACCCTGGCGGCCTTGAGGTTCTGATGGAGTTAGCTGGTATGGACGCCTCAGAGCCATTCGAAGATGTCAGTCATAGCTCAGACGCAAGGTATTATAATTATTACGCAATTGTGTTGTATACATTTATTATATAAGTGCCAAGTCAAAGTGATTCTAGTCGTGTAAGATCAATAGTCTTAGTTAATTTATACAGTAATTAAAACATTAATTAGATGTTAATAAGATGGGATTGTATAAAAAGCACTTTATCTTGTAAAATATATTGAGTCTAACGTGTTAGCTGCTTTGTTCGCATAAAGTAGCTATTTTGGGCGTAAATGTGTTGTTTTTGCAAACCCACCTTTTCCTCCAGATTAATACCCACGACGTCGTCTGCGTCCCGTCGTTCTCGCAAGTTTATCGTAAATGATAGACATACTGTTTCGGACATTTTTTTAAACACAAAAGAGAAACCATTTTTTGATACATATTTTTGGGTATCTCGAACCGTTTTCGTAGCGTAGGCAACCCACAAGGATTAATATTTTTTCCCGTTTTCTTTACATTTCCCGTTGTTTTTTCGCTCCTATAAGTCGCATCGCAATATTTTATATTTATAGACTTCCTCGATAAATACTCCAACCAACGCAAAAATACTTTTTCTATTCGAACCGTCCAAGTCGAAAGTCGAAGTCGAGGAACCAGTCGTTTCTAAGAGTAGCGGTTAAACAAACAAACTCTTCAGCTTTATATATTAGTAGTATAGATTTAAATAACTAAGTAATTGTTTAAAAGGGAAACCGGTTTGATACCTAGTACTTTAAAATGTAACTTTATTTAATTAAAAGCCGGAAAGGAGCCGTGTCTCCCCGTCACGGGGAGACAAGGCTGCTGCAAAGCATCCGAAACGTCGGGCCGAGGGTAAAAATCATTTTCAAATAAGTTTAACTAATATATCGCGTTTTAAACCGTTAAAGTGTTTTTTTTTTAATGTGTACTACTCGCGTAAACTATAGACATGTAATTTTATTATTATTTAAGGCCTAACTATTGTTATTTGTTTTGACAAGGGTTGGCAATGATACCATCAGCATTTATTATTAATACTAAAATTTTGGACCCATCAACATGACAATGCATTTTGCTATCCACAGATAAGTGACAAAGCAAATGTTAAATTATTAATATGTTTATGTCTTGTCAAAAATAACTTTATCTGTTTAATCTACAAGTCATGGTGGTCATACTATTTTTGTCCACAGACTACAGAATTAATTAATTTATAGATTAACAATGTAAGTTAAGCAAAACAGCAGTCCACCAAATAATTATGACACCGTCTATAATATGAAATACATATAAATTTTTTGCTTGTGTTTAGATGCAACTTTAAGCGCCAGGCATAACGTTGAGCAATGCGTCTATTACTTGTAATATCTGTGATGCAGACGGGACTACCCGAACTAAAGATAACAATGTGGGCTTTATTAATTTACTAGCTATACCAGCGACTTCGTCTGCGTAGAATAGTTATTATGGGAATCAAAATTCCTCCTCATTAGTATAAATAATGGCTGTTACCCACGACGTTGTTGCAAGTTAATCTTAAAAGATAAGTCGCTTTTTAGATCATTTAAGGAGGAATCATTATTTCATACATATTTTTTGATTTTTCCACATTTCGCTTTATTCGCTCCGAAGCCTTTTTCGATCTCGTGCACAGTGACCGAAAATTGTTAAGATAATTCGTACACAAATAATAGTACAAATTCATTTTCGCCTAAGTAATTGCGCATGTTTATTATCCTCCTTATTGAGAATCATGCCTATTGTTGTTAGGCCACCCTGCTTCTAGCAGCCTCATTTTATCTATGAATGTTGTATTTGACAGATCGCTCATGAAAAAGTACAAGATCGGCGAGCTAGTGGAGGCCGATCGCACGCAGGGTAAGGCCGCGTACGCCCCGCAGTGGAACAACGACCAACCCCAGGAGCAGGGCAAGTGCGTAATCGCCTAATTCCCCACTCACACCTCACGACACACGATCTTCATCACGTCACAAATATACTATTTCATAGGTTAAGGAGCTTTTTAAGGGGCTTAACGCATGGGCATTTATCGATAAACGAATTGTATCTATCATATGGTATTGTCTTCCGTTGTCTGTTTCTAAATTTAAATTACAAACCTTTGGAAGTTGTCTATGTCTAAACATTCTGGAGGTAGGTATTGAGTCTCTGGTCACAACTACCGTCCACAGATGAAAAAACCGTCAAGCTTTTGATTTCTGTGGATTTCCGAATAGCCAAAGCCAAATAGATCGATAGCGCATCTCGTTTAGGTGTTATATCGATGGGGTATTTCAAATACCATCAAGCGAACCCCACGCTTATCTGTCTCCGTCTATCATAAAGAAACCAATATAGAATTCCACTTCTTCAGTCTGTGGATTTCCGAATAGCGAAATTCATATCAGGTCGATAGAATCTTGTTTTGAGGTTATATGGGTGGTTTTATTTTCCATCACTTGAATCCCATGCTTGTTATTTCTCTATCTTAAATAATAAATCTCATTCAGATTTGAAGACAAAACACTAAGTTGCTTGCAATGCGTTTATAAATAAAAGTCGTCTAAAGATCGTTGAAGGGGAGAATCTTGCGCTTGACCGGAAGTGACTGCGATAACTTGGTCAAGGGTTGCCGGAAATGTCTTGCGTAGATAATTTTTCGCAGCTCATTTTGATTAATTTTAAATATTAGTTAGGAAGATGGTACTAATTTGTTTTCAACCTGTGTTGCCAATTCAACAATAGAACAACATTTTGTAATAATTTTTACCTAAGTAAATAGCGATAATGAAATTAAAAGTTATCATTTTATTATGCTAATTAATTTTAACGGTTAAATTACACTTTCAACGGTTTAAAACACGAAATTTATTAAATCTTTATCCCAATATATTACGTGTTTTGTACTAATAAGGTTTTTATTAATGTGTACTACTAGCGTAAACTACAATACCTGAATCGAACCATTTGATACATATAGTCAGGAGGTTGGCAACACTATAATCGTATGATTGTGATCATTCTTATCATTCCAAATGTACATCACTCGGCACACGCATGGCTCTGTGTAATATTTTAATAGCATGTACTATATTATACCGTACTTAAGCGAGACCAAAAATACAATGTGATTTTAGATCTGCAATATATTTTATATTCTGTAACTTTAACATATTTTGAGAGTATTTTTTTTCATTTTAACTATTTACATTTGTAATTTGTAAGTGTATTTATTTAGTGCTGATCGGCTTTTGCGGGGGAATCGAAAGAGTTACTCTATATCCTTTAGTATTTTCACGTCTTTTTTTATCCTATATAAGTTTGCTACAAGGAAATATTTAGATCAAGCGTAAAGTTTCAATAAGATGAAAACCTATTTTTTTAGTTTCATTAATCATCTCAGTGTCGCGGAAGTTACAGCAGGAAAATCACTGTAATTTTAAATAAAACTCATTTAATGGTTTAAAACTTGAAGTATATTAGTTAATTTGTTTTAAACTACGACCCAACGACAGAGGTGCCTTGCCCCGTAACCACGGCACAGCCAAGCAAAGCTACGGTTAGTATACTTTGCGTTTTAAACCTTTAAAAGAATTATACATATTTGTTACAATTTACAATATTAATCACGCATAATTGGTAAATTTACCCTAATTTTACGCGCTATGCAAACAAGGAAAATAATTTCTGATATTAGATGTAAACTCGATCAGTACTCCCCACTCTGACTTCCATATTCAGTATTTAGCGAGTAGCGTAAATATATGTATTATATTCCTATATGATTGTATGTTTTGTAATAAATATACGCATCTGTTAGTATGTCTTCTCATTTATACTAACGCTCCCTATACACAGAACCATGGCGTGCCTTTTATATCATCAGCATGATTATTGATTGAGGCCCCTAGAGGCAGAGTGGCCTAACTGCAATTTTATGATGTGACTTATTTGTGTTTTTAGTCTAAAAATGTTAATCTACAAGAGAACATAATTCTTACACAAATAGTAGTAGAAAATCATTTAAAATCATGTTTTTGTTATTAGGCCACTCTGCCTCTAGCAGCCTCAATTAGAATTCTAGTCGTCAAGATATATGGACTAAGGGGTCCAACAACTATAAGCTGTCCACTAACATACAATACTATATTTTGCTTCCTGTGTTCCATTTTTAAATTATCATCCCTAACTGTTACTACTGTCTATGTTTATTTAAATAACAAGCTATTCTCAATACACATACTCTTAGAGAAATATTTTTTTTCTCTGTTCAGAAAATCAACGCATGATATTAAGGGGGGTTGTTCACGGAGAAAGCTGATGTTAAAAGGAATAATAAGGTTTCATTTAAACACCAAACAAATACAGGCTATATTAAAAAATCATAAATCTAAAATTAATGATACGTTTGTAATAACGATTTAATTTAATGACGAAGTTTGGGCTTCCTCAATCTATCGGGATTTGAACCGTCTATATATGGGCAGTCGCTTATGATAAAAAAAGATTTTTTTCTAACATAAGAAATACCCTAGTCATATCTTAACAAAATGCAAAATCTATTTCGGCTTTATATTCGGCAATGACTGAAACCGACACGTGATTAAACTTGACAGGAGAATGTTGGACCCCGATGGGGAGCGAACCCACGATCAGCTGATTACTATACATTGTCATACTTATAACGTTGCACTGACTTGCCTGTGGAGAACGTGCTGTGAGAACACATTTCTATGGCCAAACAAACAATAAGTCGATCATAAATCTGTGGCCTGCCTGCCTGCCCGTAATTTATTGGTTCCTCTGTGTGAACCCAGGACTGGCAACACTTTAACCGTTTACCTTCACAGGCGGTCAAAGTTATGATGTATTAACGTTGTAGAGTTGATTGGTTGAATGCGCAAGTTAAGATATTGATTCTTACCCAAAGTTTAATCTTTAATTATAAGAGAAATAGGGTTACAAAAACAAGGTGGCACGTGTAATCTATGAAATACAATTAGTAGCAAGGCTTGTATGACCGTGGGACATATGAGATTACAAGACTTAACAAGAAAAATGTAATTCCTACTTAGATTTGTGTCATTGATGCAGACTACCGCGGTGCGCACGAGGGCCGATAGAACTAGATCATTTATCGCAACGACACATAAACTCAAACCATTCTTATCAGAAACTAAGTTATTCTAATTCTTTCGTGTCTTTGTACATAGTCCACTAAACGTACCTACTTATGTATTCACAAAAAATATTTATAAATTTAATACAAAAATTGGGGATCTGGAGTTTGGTGGAAATTGATTAGACAAAAAGATATTATGTCTTCCTCGGCCAGTGTTTCCGTATACTATGGAGGCATTATGTGGCTTGACTGGACCGTCAATCATTAAACATTTTTGTGTAGATTTAATAATTTTAAAAACAAAAGTTAAAGAAAGTGTTTTTCCAGCTATCGACATAAGTTGCTGATCGTACCAACACTAAGAAAATATAGTTTAGACTACTTTAGTAAAAACGAGAATATTTTTACCTTCCAGTTTTCGCCTCGGGTCTTTCCTGAAGAGTTTATTCAAAAAGAATTAATAATTAACAATAAGAAAAGGACAGCATTCGCTCACACTGTAGATAATGAGAAGGTATATTGTACATAGAGTTATGTGAGATACGAAGAAATATGATATATTCAGGTCTTGACTCATCTGGCATAGATTTTTTATTTTACATTTCCCAAAGAACTGAGGGCCCAAGCGGGGATTTTCGAAGTTGCCTGTCAGAAAATGATTTAGGAAGAACTTAGTCCCTATGATGCTCGAGTAACTCCAAATTTAATACCCCCCCCTCCCCCCCTCTACTATGTTTGTCACCATATTTTTTAAAGTTGTTTGCGTGAAGTCAAGTCAAGTCAAGATTTGATCTAATCAGAAACGAATAAAAACACCTATTATATTTAGACGTTTTAGTTTACTAACAAGCTTCTTTTTTGAATTACTAAAAACGCTACTGAATTAATCTTTCCTCTTCGAACTGAGTATAAAAACTAGGTAGGAGTAGTTTCGCAATTCTACTCAACGCTTTAGTTTCTAGCACAGCAAAAAAAAATTATTCGGAGGTAACTTGAATCCATGATTTTACCACCGTTATATTATTACAATTAGGATAGGTACATAAATGTCAATGTTTTGTAGTCGAATTGATAACCTGCAAAATCTACAGCTGTTAATCCATGTTTCAGTTGGAGTTCGTGGGCCCTACCGCTCCTGCTGGGAATCGCGGCGACAGTGCTGTACAGGGTCCTATTCTTGTAGGCTTCTTCTATATATAGTGAAATAAACAATGGGTGACACCCCCGACGCTCGTCCATTCCCTCTGTACTCATAAATATATTTTTAATACGGTTTTCTATGAAACATGTTCACAGAATAGTTTTACAGGGTATAAGAGAAACGTTATAATTTCAGAGTACTCCATAACAGCCGCTTTTAGCTTCATAGCTCGGGTGTAATGGTACTTTAGTTTTGTTTGAATTCCGAGCATCAGACATACACATGGGATGTAGTATTATTCGATATTTACATGCTATTGTGTTAGTTAATTTTATTAAATACGTGCCTCAAGAAAACCTCAACATTCTTATACCCTGTGATTCAGCCTTAACGCAACAAAGTTCTTACGTTTATCGCATTTTTATTGTTATCTCTTGTAAAGTACCTTGCGTAACGACCAATAAACATTTTCATTATCCGGTAATGGTATTGTAGTTATGAGATATAAGTCGCATTGTAACTTACACTTGTTGAAGTACGTCTATACTACTAGGAGTGTTTGTCATTTCCCAGAACGTTTTAAGTAGGACATATAATTCCGTTTTTCATCAAAAGGTGGCGCTTTTACAAATCAAAGCTTAGTTAATAGTTGGTGCTTGGTGATTGTCGAGATTTTAATTAAATAAGAAGTGCTTGAATCTTTGTAACGTGTATAAATAAGAGGTGCCTTGCGTTTGCTGGTTGTTGCTACCTAATTTAGCATATAAGCGATATGATGCCCCAATAAAGTATATTTTTCACCATTTCAAATGTACAAACTTGCTTTAAGGACCTATTGTAATAATATGTCAATATGCTATATCTTAATGGCAAACATAATGTTATCTGAATCTATGTTATTTTCTTTAAAGAGAATTTTTGTTAAAATTTTTTAAGTCAGGACTCAAAGAGGTATATTGTTTTTTGTGTAGTAATTTTTTATATTATGTAGTTGTACAGCAAGTAAAATGTCTTATTTATTATGGTTATGGAGTCGTCATTATGAATGCAATTGGGTTTGTTTGGATTTTGATAAATAAATGTTTTATTTATAAGAGATTTTTATTTTACATTAGTTTATTATAACCTATATTGAATAAGAAATTAGAATATTAAACAACATTTGGTTTTAAAAAATTGATGATTATACATTTGGTAACTATGCAATTGAATAAATATTTCACATTTGAGACATACAAATAATTGAAACTAATTTTTTAATTAAATTTATATTTTATAATGTAAGGTATACTCAAACTATTTAAATTCAGTCTTATTAGTATATGTACAAATGGACTTTGTCCTTACTCTTTATAAATACTTATCTATTACTTCAATTAAGTTCATCTATAACAAGAGAAGCAGATGGAACCCTCGCATCTGAAAAAAAGAAAGATTTCCCTCATTATAATTATTAAATGAATAAAACATATGAAGCAAGGATGGTCTGTTTAGGCGAATAGTTCATATATCAAAAAATATTCTTAACCGTTTACAGCATAAAATATATTAAGATAATAAAAAAATAGAATTGACACGTCCACAGGAGCTGTAAAACTAACACATAGAAACCATTAAGTGTTTCATTTAAAAACATTTTCAAATATTTTAATAGAGGCCTCTACAGGCAGAGTAGCCAAACTGCAATTTTATGACTTGAGTTTCATATTTTATCGTCTAGAAGTGTTAATCTACAAGAGCACACTGACTGAAAATTGTTACCATTATTCTCACACAAGTAATAGTACAAATTCATTTTCGCCTACATTCATTGCACATTTTTATTTTCCTCGTTGTTGAAAATATTTTTTTTTGTTATTAGGCCACTCTGCCTCTAGGAGAATATTGATCTACCTTCATATTTAAATTTTATTGCAACTTACCCATAAACTGAGCATTCAGTGCAGAAATATTGGTAACACAGTATACAGGAATATTCACAAGACACACATAGCCCCTTTTCACAATATGCACACCTTTCCACCATTGTGTTGCCACACTTGCAAGTGTTCTGTATTGGCTTTTCTTTTAACTAAAATTTAAGTTAAGTTTCAGAAACAACACAAACATTGTACTAATTGTATATTCATTCAATGTTCTATTTAATTATATATATATGTTTAATATAACAACTGAATTGAACATGTGGAAAGACCTGCAACCCTTACCATTTTACCAGAATGCGTCAGTAAACCGTTGTTGCCAATAAAGAGCTGTTTTAATCCATCTTCTTTTACGATGCCTACCACATCACTCTTAATGGAATCTTGCTGAGACCTTTTTGCCCCTTTAAATAATTTCTCTAGAGTTTTTTCTGCAAAGAATAGGTAAAATGAAATCGTAACTATAAAACATCTAATACAGACTCATCGAGGAAAACTATGTTAGAATATCTTACCATAAACTGTATCCAATCTTTCTTTGTTATTATTAAACTGTTTCAGTCCTACATGCACTTTACTCTGTTGCACGTAGTCCTCGGTATATGGGTTTGCTCTTTTTGCCATTGCTATTAAATGACTTAGAAAAATATCTCCATTAGTTTTTAAGCCTCAGTAATATATAATACTCTAATGAGAAATGGTTTTACTATTCTCATTACGTACAAACAATTACAGAAAGTTTTATTTAATAATAAAGAAATAACGAGATACGTAATCGCAACGATAACTTTATACTCAATATTAGTAAATAAATAATTACTAAAAGGTCATTCATTCGGCTTTATTTTTTAAAGGATTTTAAATGTTTTTGTAATTAACACAAACCGTGCGGGGTAAAAAAAACTGATATATAGGTGACAACTGACAACTGTCAACTATATTATTTGGTATGGTAACATTTTATTTTAAGTATCTTCTTGCACTATGTAATAATATTATATCTGTGGAGTCAAAAATTGACAGTCATACGACGTATATTTTGGCAATTGGCAACATCGTCAGCCAACAGGGCACCTCCGATCGATGGTTTGCTGTCAATAGTTTATAAAAATATTTCTACAATTTAATAAATAATTCTGATTTGTTTCCTCGTTTGTGATAAGATACCATTGATCTTTTAAGCCAGGATCATAATTCGTCAGTGATCCAACCGCTCGTGGCTTACATTGTAAATGGTGAAAGTGTATTTATAATTATTTAGTTATATGCTAGTGACGAAGCTGCTTTGTAGCGAATGTAGCATATGTGAAGAGGCTCGGTCGTAAATGTTACGTAAGCGGCGATAGTGCGGAATGTCTTGGATGAAGCGGGCGCAGGGTGGGCCTCCCTCGACGCCTCGCCCGGGGCCCGAGCAGCTGCAGTACAATTCGGGCCAGGTAAGCCAAACATTTGTCTCAGGTTATGTCTATGAAGACGTAAACAATGACGTGGACCAACCAAATGTATTATAACACAACATTCATTAATTTTTAATGTCATATTTTTTGTAAATAATGCACGGTAATAATGAGGGTTTAATTTTTAATTAATTTCTTTACTTTCCAGCCATATGGTACCCAACAAAATGTGTACCAGAACTATCAACCTGGCCAAACTGTACAACAACAACAAACCTGGCCAGTGCAGAACCAACAGCAGCAATATAACCAACAATATGGCCAAGTATATCAACAACAAGCATTTGGCAACAATCCTAACGAGTTTTACCAACAATATAACCAGAATTATACCAATCAAAATTATGATCAAATGCAACAGGCTACAGGGTATCAACAAAATTATTACCAGAACACTCAACCTCCACAACCTATTTATTCACAAAATGTTCCAAAAAACGATGCCTGGGAAGACAATTGGGGCTGGGGTTGGGATGAAGCATCTAAGCAAAACCAAAATAATGTTAGCCAGGCACAGCCTCCCGTGCAAGCTGCACAAGAACCTGTGTTAAATCAAAATGCTAATATTATTGAAGAAAGTTTTTCAGCTACTGATAACTGGAATTGGACTATGGACAATAGAAGTGATATCAAAGAACAGAACACTTCAACAGTGCCTTCAGGTTCCAGTAGGGAGAAAATTGCTGCTGTTTTTGCCAGTTCAAATCAGACAGGTGCAAATGTAATCTCAAATAGAAGCCAAGAGAATTTAAATGATGTGCGACCCCAGTCCAATGCTGAAGAAGTAAAAACACTGAATGATAGAGAAGTAATTAAAGAGGAAATGCCTAACTTGGCATTGGGGAAAAGACTTCACTTAGAGAACTTGACTCCCCAATGGTCTATTGAGTCACAAATGTCTCAGGATTCAAGTGATGGACCACTTACTCACTCTGAAGATACACATAGTGCTCAAACCAGTGAAAATCCCTCTAGAAATTCTGGCAAAAGCAGTCCAGGTCCTAATACAGAAACCAAAAGCTTTAATTATTCACAAACTCTTAGCGAGGTTACAAATCAAATTAGTGAATTTACAAAGTCTATAGAACAACAATCACTGTCTTTAAATGATGTCAAACCAGAAATTAATAATGACCTTTCTCAATCTATGAGTGCAATGAATATAAGTAGACATGATCCTTACGAAGAAAATATTGACAGTGGAGCTAGTGATACTTTCCATTTCATGCCACCAACTCAGATGCCCTCCCAGAGTGTCAATCAGACTCACTCACCCATACCCCCAAATACAAATTCTAACTCGAGGCAGTCCCCAATGCCTGCTTCGTCGAACTTGAAACAGAGACAATCACCCATGCCTCCTCCACCTCCAGTAACAGCTACTATTCAAACTCCAGTACCTCCTGTATCAATTCAATCTGTTAACCAACCCCCTCGGAGCACTAATCCATCTTTACCATTAACTTCCCAAACTTCATCCTTACCTCATCCAAATACTTCTATGGCACCACCTATAAATTTTCCACCATCTACATCTAATCCCTTCAAACATGCTGGACCATTTTCACACAAAAGTAATGTAAAACTGCCCCACAATAATTCATTGTCAACTGCCCAGGCTCCAATTGCTAATGCAGCTGGTCTAGTGTCCCCTGCCGTTGTTAACAAGGTGTCTCATGAAAGAATATCTGTTGGATATGGGGCTAATTTGGAAACTACGCCAGATAACTCAGAAAGACCTGATCAACCCCATACTGGGTTATATAGACCAACTTCTGTCCCCCAACAAGTGCCTGAAAATCTAGAAGTGGCTCCACAGAATGATAGGAATGAGTATTTACAAACAGCTCATCTGTCAGGGAGTGATTATGGAGAGAATACTGATTTTAGTCGACCACCACCTCCTGGTCCACGCAGGATGGGCGTTGGCCAACAGGAAGTCGAATATAACCAAGGTCTTAATATATCTGGCGAAGAGCCGCCTCCTGGTCTCGCTCGCATGGTTCCTGGCCAACAGACAGAATCAGAGAGCATTTACAATCAGTCAAGCGAAGCATATATGGATCGGCACATCGATGGACAACCTACAGATAACATTGTCAGACCATATCGACGCGTAGACGGTCAAGTGACGTCCGACGATTACGCTCAACTTTCGGCGGGCAGAGGTGGAGAGAGGAGGCCAGTTGGACTTGACAGAATGGTGCCAGGAGAGCCTAGCAACGACGAATATTCACAATTCCAAAACACGAACTATAGCGGCAGTAACGATCAACGCGTGGTGACGGGTGTGGACAACGACTTCCCCGTAATATCTGGAGGAGGAATGTCCGAAGTCCGCGAACAGAACGTCGACGGCTCAGATTACACTGAACAGAACCCAAGGACCAACGCCCGGAATTTGATAGGAGCACATGAAGCTAGCAACAATACTTCCCCAGAGTTCAATGTATCCCTTGATGATCACCAGAGGGAGATAACAATGGAGGGGGAAAATTTACAGGACCTAAGCGTAATCTCCTCGGCCGACTTGTCTTTTAGGGAGCATGCTTACGATAACGCTAACGTCAATCTCGATTCCGGGATTGAAAGGCACGAAGCTGTGTCTGAATACCAGGCGAACGATTCCGGTAGACAGTCGCAGAATCGAAGCTCCGGGGAAGATTCTGACGGTGGAAGAGGATACAAAGCATCGCCGCGGAAAGATCTCGATAAACATAAAACGTCGAGAGAACGCGATAGAGACTCGCGGTATTCGAGAGACGACCGAAAATACGAACGAGATTTGGAACGACGGCCGGCTGACGAGAGGCGTTCGGAGAGAGGAGAGAGAGACAGGCGGGACCAGAAAAGAGATGGTGACAAGCCGCGACGCGACAGAGACGAAAGCCCGGACACGCGCAGACATAGGCGCAGTGTGCGCAGTCGACGCTACGAGACAGAGGACACGGACTATTACAGCGATAGAGACAGGGATCGTAGGTGAGAATGTGTTTTTTATGATAAACGTTTAATTCATGGCAGGTGAAACACCCCAGCCATATAACATCTTAACAAGGTACGCTGTCGACAATTTTTTTCTTGTGGATTCGGTAATCCACAGACTAAACGCGAATAAACTTGACGGCTTTTTCATCTGGATGCTGATGAAATGAAAATGAAAAATAACAAAAGGGCATATTGATTTCTATTTTTAAGCCCTGTATACATTGGGGCAAAAAAATCCTGACTATAATTAAATTCAGATTTTTCTTAGCTTACCCAACTGAGTTTTTCTTATGTAAAATCTTTATTTCTAATTTGGCTTTATAATATTGACATTTCGAGCTATATTTGTTATAATTGGGTAATGTTCACAGACGATACCGCGAAGGTTCATACACTTCTTCAAAGCCACCGCGTGCGGACGACAAGGACAGGAGATACGATGAGAGGCGGCGCTACAACACGATAGAGCGAGAGAGGAGGCACGAGGAAGACCGAGAGCGGAGGCGGCATCGAGACCGCTACGAACGTCGCTACAGGGACATCGACCCTGCTAGAAAGGGAGGTACTTTGCGCCGAGAGAGACACGACGACGAGAAAAGGAGAGGTGAATATATCTTTTAACTAGTCAAATATCTAAGAATCGTCCGCTAAACCGCGTCTTGCCTTAATCATAGGAGGTACTGGGTTCAAAGAGAAACATGATGAACTGCTTAACTACTGTAAATACAAATGCCAATAAGAAAATTTGCCTTCCCCATGCTCACCAAGAAGAAATAAACACAAAATACTCCTATAACAAAAGAATTCGAATTTATTACTAATAATTTTAGTACTTAATGAATTATTGACACGCAGTGAAAGCTAATAATGATTTATGTTTATTTATTCATCACGTTACCAAGTCATGAACAATTACCATATGTTATTTGTTAGGACAAATAATATAGTGGAAAATCTGTATAGTTACAGTAAAACACAAAAACAGCTTTCTAAATTAAACGTAACAAACAAAACAGTAACGCCAATAAACCGTACAGTTTTTGATAAAACGTACAGAAAAATATAAGCTACTTTTCGTTACAGCATTATGAGGGACAGATACTAAAAATACTAAACTTATTTCACTGCTCCTGCGCAGTTATAAACGAATTGGTTATAAATTATTTCATAATCAGACAATAGTGTAGCTTTAGCCATAAACACCTACTGTTCGGTAGCCCACTCATAATATGTATGAGTGGGCTACCGAACAGCGAAAGGTTTGTATCATACCGCCTTTGACCAGTGCAATAAACTCTTTAGCCTCAGTACGATATGATATCAATAACGCATTGAGTCATTCTTTCTGCTTCCTTCCAGTCGTGACGTTCTCGAGCGACGCTAAGTTTGAATCGAGTAAAGGTAGTCGTGTGACCATTTCATGCTTTAACTTTCATAATTGACCAAAATTGACCACAATATGGCTATTTGACAAAACAATTCTGTTGCATATTACCTTGAATATTCTATTTGGTTATTTTAGAAAGTTGTTCTATGTCATTTAGTGCTTAAAAGTCTAGGTTTCTTTGTAACTTGTAATGCTCAAATTAGAATATTAATTATTATGGGGTGTTAGTATTATTTTATTCCAAAATGTTGAATGTTCAAGGCCAAAATAGGACGACAGCACGTCTTGTTTAGATATTATATGTTTTATATGCTTTGTTTTATAGAAACCACCACGATGGTGCTCCTCTGTCAATTAAAACACTAGTTTTTGTAAAATTTCAATAAGTCGTATTTTTTTTTATCTATACCAATATTATAAATGAGAAAGTAACTCTGTTTGTCTGTCCGGCTTTAACTCCGAAACTACTGAACAGATTTAAATGAAATTTGGCACACAGATATTTTAGAGCCTGAGAAAGGTAGGAAAAAGTTGATAGGGATTGAAAAAGGGGATGAAAGTTTGTATGGCAACCCGTGGTTTTTGAAGCTAGAGCAATGAAACTATCTTCTTTGGCTTTTTGGGAGTAGGGGTTAGAGTAGGAGTGATTTGAGGTGAGAGTGTTGCGGCAAAGTAGCTTACATAAATTAATAAACAGTCTACATAATTATAAATTCTATCCCAAGTCACTATTCCACGCGGACGACCGGCACACACACACGCCCGCTACACACACAACTAGTGTAAAATATAGAAAGCTACACCTTCCAGATGCGCCGTAGACTAGTTTTTCTGGGATATTAGTTATGTATAAAGCTAATGAAATCTGGATATTAAATGGATGGTAGGAATATCGAATTCCGTCCGGGTCACGACCACCGTCCACAGTTGGAAAAGCCGCGAAGCTTAATCTCGTTTCGGTTTCAGTGTGTGAATTTCCGAATATCCAATACCTATATAGTTCGACAGAGCGTCTTCTTTAGATGCTATAGGCTGGTGGTATATCAACTACCATCAAAGAACCCCGAGCTTGTCTGTCCCCTCTATCATTAAAAAAATATAATATTTATTAATATGTCAAATAGCCTATTCGTTTCATTCGCATATTAAAATTTAGCTCTAAGCATGTCTTTGAATATTAAAATTCACCTATTCTCGATTTAAGAATGACATCAGCGTATTTTTCGCTCTAAACCAAACAAGTTATTGCATACGCAACTAGTTGCTGAAGCATTTCGTCTGTGAGATGTTTTTATTAACAAAAGAGATGTGAAACCTGTTGGCTTGCGTTTAATGTAATGCATGATGTATTTTAATATGGGACTCACTCGAATTCTCTCACGTATTATCAGAACCTGTCCAAAGAGATCTTACTGACTCAACTGCTAATGTTTGAAAGCCTAAACAAAATAGTAAAAGCGAAACAGTAGAATATTTTACAAAAGTTCTAATTAGTAATAAAGATTTGTTATCGCATTTTGAAAATGCTACAAAACATCGATATCTGTCTATGTATGAGTTATTTGTCATTTTTGGATTTTTAGAAAAATTCAACTGAAACTATTAAAGAACAACACCACATATATGGAGAATGAATTCAGAATAAATACTTTTTACGAATTACAACTAAAGACATAATCGTAAAATACTTGCAATAACCAATAACAATAAAACTACATTTATTTTGTGGAAAAAACAAAACACTAAGCTAAATCTATTTTTGCCCTGAGAGATAGAAAGGGGAAGTTTTAAATCGAAGTCACCTATTAGATTATATATTGGGATTATCTTCGTTCGTTTTCCCAGGCGATACATATTCGTCGGGGTCTCGAGCTGGTTCTCGTGAGGCCACCGCCACTGATGAAGACCCGGATGAGCCCAGGCGCCCTAGAGAAGAGAGGAGAAGGCACCGAACGAGGCCAGACCCGGCTTATGATGGTTAGTGTTGAACAAAAGGTTTCACTTAATACGCAAGTGTTAAAATTAAATGTAGAGAGAGAACACATGTAGATATATATGTTTACATACACGTTCGTTTAAGTTGATAAATATTAACCTAAGTGCCGTTTCTCTTTTCAAGCGATACAAATTAATTAATGGTGTTTCAGAATATGCCGGCGATCCATACGCGATGCAGCGTCAACAGTACGAGTATTATGAGAGACTGCGGCGTAGTGACCCGGCAGCCTATATGCGAATCTACAAACAGATTATGGCCGGAGCCCTCCATCAGCCGGCTTATGCCCCTCATCATCGTTATCCAGGTAATTAGAAAAAATAAATTATAATTTCCACTGTCAACACTAAAAAGACAAACTTTGCTACAATTTATGACTATCATAAATTTTTGTAACTTAATTAATTTTCAAGTAAGCTATTTTTATGTAAAACACGTGACTATTCTTTACGCAAGTAGTACACATTTAAATAAAATACTTTAACGGTTTAAAACGCAATGTATATAAGTTAGATCTCTCCGTGCTGCAAAGCATCCGAAACGTCGGGCTGTAGTTAAAATTATTTTAACTAATATAAATCGCGTTTTAAACCGTTTAAGTGTTTTATTTAGACTTTTATGTAATATTAGAGAAATTATAAATCTTAAATTCTGTAACTGTAACTTAGCTATAATAGGTCAATTCAACTCGCACGTAAGCCATGAAAATCATTTGATAACCAATACAAAACTGTTTGGAGTTATCAAATTTTATTTTATTTTATTCTAATGATCTAGAGTTAAGGGAAAATTTTGGTCTTTAGTAATTCCAGTTATCTTTTTTAGGTTACGAGTTACTGGGCGAGGAAAGGGGTAGCGTGCATTCTGGACACTCCAGTGCAAACGGCTTAAAAGGACATGACGCGTATGTATGCGCACACGCACACTACCGTATAAACTCCATTAACTGGGCTTCAATTTTTCATGATTTTAGTATTTCTGATTACATTTAATCTTTATTCAGTAGTGTTCATATTAAGCACTGATTAGTTAACCCAACGTTAACTCACGACAAAGTGTAAATCTATCATTTTAGTTGTATCAGAATTCTTTTCTACAAATCTGAATAACAAATGTTTTTTTTCTGGCGCGACCATAATTGCGATTATTGCGACCATTCTGTCAATGTCAATTTCCACTTATAAGAAAGGCGGTTGTAAGGTATAAAAACTTTATCACTTGACAAGTTTGATTAGTCAAATATTTGCTAATGTCACAATGACATTGACACTTTCAAAATCTCAGCGCTGTTATTATCAAGGACTGGTTACCATCTCATTATTTAAAACATCCTAGACATGACATTTACACCATAATATAACATTAATCATTGCTTCAGAAGATTAACATTTTGGATCGGGTGTTACAATACTATAATTAATATCATGAGAACAATTAGTAGAATCATTGATTGGTTAGCTTAAAGACTAATGAATCATTTAAGTTGTATCAGAATTGTTTTCTTAACATACAAACACTTGAAAAGTTTGATTGACTTTGACAGTATCAAGACCTCAGCACTGTTACTGTCAAGGGCTGATTCTGATACAATTGATTTGGTTACTATCTGAATAGTTAAAAAAACCCAACAGATTACATTTACAGCATAATTTAACACAAATCATTGCTTCAAAAGATTAACGCTGAATGGGTATTTTTATAATATACAATATCAAAGGAATAATGAGTTATTTACTAACGTTTTGGATTCATCGTCCAATTAATAAATTTAATAAAAAATACCACCAATTTATTTATTGTGATAAATATAATATATTTGCTTTCGGAAAGAACGTTAGTAAGTAGCCTATTTTTTGATGTTTCGTCAATGACTGTTTAATATAATTCTGCGCCACCTAGCGGCGATTTTGTTGAACCTTACTTTGTTTCATAAAAGTCAAATAACGACACAACTTTTACTTTCATAATACAGTGATTTTCGATGTTTTAATCGCACCTTAGCACGCAGAAACCATTTTGGGATGTTCATTCACATGGGTTTGTGCGTGTTAGTGTAAATTGGTCGATGTGGTGTAGGTACTACGGATCAGCGGGTGGCCTATTGCGCGCGCCGCCGTCATTCCGCACTGGTTTCTCAGACAGGTACCCGTCATACGTCGCCTAGTGAATGTCACGTTTATACTTTCATCCAAATGAGTTAATAATGATGAAAAATAGACTAATTTTAATTATATAGGCGTTTTGTGTCCTTGTTCTTTGTGGCGGATTGCGGGAAAGAGACAACACATTATTATCTCGTTTGGGTGAACATACTACTGTGCCATAAGAGATGAATGTTGACGCCTTTTTAATGGCATTTATTATTAAGAGTGTAAATACATACAAATACCTATGACTTAATTAAGCACGTTTAACGGTTTAAAACGCGAAATGTAATTAGTTATATTCATTAATTCAAAGCGTTCGATGCGTCGGGCTTAAGTAAAATATTTTCTAAATAAATGTTACCAAATACATACATATTTCACGTTTTAAACCGTCAAAAATGTTTTATTATTTAAATAATACTCGCGCGAGTATAAAAAAACACTTATTCGTCTTGCAACTGCCATCTTTTATGACACAAATTGTAAAGTATTAATTTCTGAATTAAATTTTTTTGTCATATAGCAATGGAGGTTTGTGCCCGTTCAATGCCTAACTAATAATACTAACAAGTCATCATTGTTTTCATCATAAGAAACGTGGTAGATCTGTATATGTTTCCGCCGTATAATAGTTAGCCGATGGTTGCTTGTTCTTTCTCCTAAACTATGTGGTACACATTATAAAAATAATATTAATAATTAATACTACTTCCCCACCATTGTAGAGAAGTGACGACAGACGCCTCTCTCAACCTTCAACTGGAAGAGTCAACAATTCGATCGGAGCGAATGACCCCCTTCAAGTACTCGACTGCTCATATTAAGGTACGAAATTGTGGGAGTCACTGTGGGTCCCGGTCATCTATAACTAAGAAAGAGAAATTAACATAGAAACAATACCTAGTCAAATAAAAGTACGGACAACCATCTATAAATAAATGGTTAATATTTTCTAGTTAAAAAAAAGCGCCTCTGTTGCCTAAATGGTTAAGCGTGTTTGCGTTAAGCGCGAGAGGCTCCTGATTCGAATCCCGGGGAAACGGTAAATTGTTTCGGTCGGGCAGGGCACAGAAGTCTGATCAACTACTTGCCTGTAAATAAAACCGATCAGTGAAACGGACACAGAAATGTGTTCGCCCCATGCCCCACGAGGGGAAACGGGATTTCACTAATCACTACTAAGAAAAGACAAATAGAACATATTTAATTTTCCAGAATGTATCAATTTTTTTGTACTACTTGTTATCTGATAAGGGATAACAGAAAATCAGCGCTTAGCAAGCTTTTCTGAGCACAAGCTAAGAAAAAAAACAGTTTCAAATAAGTGTAACTAATAAATCGCGTTTTAAACCGTTAAAGTGTTTTATTTAAATGTGTACTACTCGCGTAAACTATAGACAGTATTTAAGTCTGATGCCTTTTAGCACAAAGTTATTTTTGTTTATTATATTAATTGTAAGGTTTTTTCATTACTACTTATTTTAGTTGTAAGAGATTAACTTTGTGTTAATAAATAGATATCATATTATATATTAAGTAAATTCTGTTAATAACCTACAACGTATTATTATATTATATAATAGGGTTCGCTCGGTGCTGGAGCCCTAGTGGTGGTCCGCGCCGCTTACCCTGCTGATGGAAGACCAGCTCCAGTGCGTCTCTTACCGTTGGCTTCGCTACTGGCTGCCGATCCTTTTACCCAAGAGCTGAACTCGCTACCAGGGCCTCTGGTTACAGGTAGATTATAGATTATCTATGGATACTTAATGACATCTTACATAAAATAAATTGAAATAACAGTTTCATGTAGTTGCTGTATGTGACCAACAAACAATAGCTTTTATAATACAAAACTTTGAGAAACAGTAAATAAAACAAAATGTAACGATTTAAAACGAAATATATTTAGTAGTTTATTGATTACTTGACTATGACTATGACTATTTATCTATATCTTATAAAAATTAATATTTGAATGGAACTACAAAAGTGATATTTGTAGATGACAGTTTTTTTTTTAAATTTTCTTACAATGTTTTTAGTAAGACTTGTTAAGAAACGGTTTTTGTTTGTATAAAAAAGTTTACCAGTGTGTCATGTGCCAGCCTTTTAATTAAAATCTAAATATGTTTATATTTTTTGATATTTAACGTTTTTTTTCACTAGGTGTAACTCACAAGAAGAGTGTGATAGAGTATTGCAAAGCGCGCATCAAGTCCGCCGAGGGGCGGGGCGAAGCGCAACGTGACGTCACCGGGTACGTCCTTGTCTGGGAGCTACTGGCATTGCTGTTGCGACAAAATGGGGTAAGACGACTTAAATTTTTGTAGTTTAACAATTTTAATGAATAATATTAGATGGGACAAAAAAGTATTGCTTTGTTGAATATCTATACTAATATATAAAGCTGAAGAGTTTGTTTTGTTTGTATGATGGAACGCGCTAATCTCAGGAACTACGGGTTCAAAATAAAAAAAAATCCCTGACATACAAGAAGAATGGTAGCATGCGAAATTATTAATTTTTTATTTATCAATTGATAAAACATTAGTATGTTAATTAAAATCGATTATAGATGTTAAAAATCGTGTGCAATAAATGTGAAAAATATTAAAGTTTTTCAAACATTATTATGTTTTCAGGTGGTAATGGGTTCGGATATTGCTGAGCTGCTGATGAAGAACACGAAGGAGTACGAGCACAGAGTCCCCTCAGTTGATAGTGGACCTTCTGGTAATTTTGTTATTCAATGATAGAGGACGACAGACAAGTATAGGGCTCACTTAATATGTGAAATACACCAGACTATAGCTTCTAAATAAGATGAGATTGACCTATTTTGGCTTTGAATATTCGGGAATCCACAGACTAGAACCGAAACATGATTAAACAAGGATTTTTCATTAGTGGAGGGCGGTTCGTAAACTGGATGGGATTCAGATATTTCTACCAACTATTCGATATCCAGATGTTCAGACGAAGTCCAACATCTTTTAGAAGAATTATAAATTAGAAACTGACCGAATTAGAAAACGACCCGTGGATTATCATTAGCTATACATTGCTACTAGTACACCATCGAGTCCGTAGTAAATAGGCAATAGCTTTTTTTTCGTCCACAGGATCCTTAGCCGCGTCCTCAGCAAGTCTGAATTACGAGGAGGAAGCCGCTGATGTCCAGATCACTCCACCTCCACCACCACCATGTTAGTGATTTTAACAATGATAATAATTTAATTTTTAATTAGAAACCCTCAATAATTGGTACATACGTCTTGGTCCCTTAAGATCCCACTTAACCAGGTTTTACTGTACCGAAATGATTCAATACCCCTTGCATCTGTACTTCGGCAAGCCCGAACGTTATTATACGTTTATTTTCAGGTCCTGCTGAAATGGAAAGTGTCGTAGATGAAAAGCAGGCCGTGGAAAAGCTTCGTGAACTCCTCGTGTGTGGAAGCCAACAAGAGGCGCTCGGTAATTATCATTTGATTAAAGAATTGAAAACCTAATTATAGTAGTAGTTATATATAAATTTTTAATATTTATGTATTATTTGGTAGTTGTTAAACAATTCCAGAAAGTAGTATTTTTGAATTCTGATCAATTTTTGCTGAAATACATCGAATTAAAAATCTAGCATTTAAATTGCGCGCCTCAACGCTAAGTTTGCGAAGTAACTCTACTATTGCAGTTAGTCGTATTCGGCTAGTGACGTCACGAACTTATATTGGCCATTGATGTATGTCGATCGTGTATTCTAAAATCTACATTTGTACCAAATATTTACATTTTAACAGAGATTGAAGTAAGAAATATACTCATTTCTTTTTTTATTAATGCAAAGAATAGAACAGTTAAAACTAGGACGCACGGTAGTTTGTAGCACTGTTTATAAGCATGTGACGTCATAAACACGACCAATCAAGAGCGTTTTGTGTCGCGTGATCTGACTGTGTTTCTATTTCTAAACTTACACTTTTCGCATTGTCGAGTAGCCATTTGGGAATGAAAATAGATTTCTTTGGTGAGATATTATTTTTAATTAAGTTAATATTTAACAGAATGGGCAATGAACTCGGGCTTGTGGGGCCACGCCCTCCAGCTGGCGGCTTACAGCGAGCGTCGTGTCCGTGCTAGCGTTTGCGCACGATTTGTGTCGTCGCTGGCTCCCGCTGACCCATTACACACTCTCTACGCTACTAGAGCTGCACGTGCGCCACCTGCTGCTACTGTAAATATACTTTCTATATTTTATAAGGGTGCCTCAGTTATAATTTTTTAGTATAATTTTGAAGTAAAACGCTGCCTATGTTTCCCTCATTTTTTTATATCCGTCATCAATAAAGACAATATGTACCATTTCAGTGTGTCTCGGAGCCCCGATGGGGTGACTGGAGGCCCCACGTGGCCATATTACTCGCGAACCCGTCGAGCAAACCCGATCAGGACAGAAAAACCATTACACAGTTTGGTAAGAAATATTTGAACAATAGTTAAAGCAAGAATTATCGTTTTGTCTCATTTTAATAACTTAATACCAAAATTACAGGCGATACTCTAGCGGCGCGCGGTCTACTCTACTCTGCGCAGTTTTGCTATCTGACAGCTGGTGTACCCTTCTCCCCTCACCCTCTTGCACCTTATTCGGCGCCGACTCAAGCCACGCCCACTCTGCCACGCCTCTCGTTGCTATTAGCAGATGGCAAAGCAAGTTTCCTATCGCACTTCGCCACAAACCAGGCGATATTTGCGACAGAGATATACGAGTACGCTATCTCGCTCAGTCAGGAATATATCATCAACGAGTTGCAGGTATATTGTTTTATATCAGTAAGTAATATTATAGAAATTGAGATTACAATTTGTATAATACAAAAATGGTTCAATATACCGCACGCGATTTCTGAAACTGTGTAATTCGGTAATAATGACCTCATAACTTATGAATCGTATTATATATCATGTGTTTTATATGGCAAGATAGTACTTTCACAGTACAAGACAAATAATAATAATCTAGTTGATAATAACAGTAGCATTAAAGATAAGTTGCAAACATATATAAATAATAATGTTCTATCGCATAAGGACCAAGTCGTGTAAGAATGTGTATAGAAATAAATATATATTTTTTTTAATTATAGGTATACAAGTTCCTCTTAGCAACGCGGCTAGCGGAATGCGGGGAATGCGAACGCGCTTTGCGTTACACCGAGCAAATCGGCCGAGCGGTTATAGCGAACGCGAACCACTTCCCGAATAAGTTCGTCACTGCGCTCGCAGAACTCGCTGAAAGGTATTTAACATGTCTTTTATTATTTTCAACAGATTTTACTCAGTACGCATCATATTTTTAAAGTCTCATGATAGCTTTATATTTTAAAATGCCGACTACATATAATTTTATTATTATATTACAATAATACATTCAACAAACAAAATATAAGAGAAAAATCTTACGTACTAACTTATAAAGAAAGGTGGTCTTATCGCTAAGCAGCTAAATAAAAAAAGGATTATGTGGGTAGGAATATAAAATAAGGAATAATAATCAATATATGTACTTCACACCTGTTTTTCACCATTTAACTGCCTCTTTTTATAGGTTAAAATATCACGATCCGTCGTTCGGCGCTGATGTGGCCAGCGAAGAGGGTCCCGGTGGAGAAGACAGTGGTCAACCATCGCCACGACACCATCTTTGGATTCAAGATGTGCGCAACATCGCTATGGTAGGTTTTATCCTTTGTGTGTCTTTGGCTATTGTATATTGTAGTAGCTTAAAAGATTCTTACAGTATCCTTTATTACAAAAGTACCCTTTTAAATAGTATAACTCAAAATATGTGTAATGAGATATGTGAATGACAGGCCGAGGCTTCGCAACAGGTGACGCCACAACACCAACCGCAACCGGAGCCCTACCATCATGAACATAACTGGGCAGAGCAGGTATGTTATTTATTTAGTTTGTAAAATATGCGCAGGTATCCGGCTTGAAGGACCATTTATTTTTAAGCCGTAAATTCTTTGAATTATATCAAATTACTGTCTATAGTTTACGCGAGTAGTACACATTTAAATAAAACACTTTAACGGTTTAAAACGCGATATATTAGTTAAACTTATTTGAAAATGATTTTTAACTTCGGTGACCACGGCTGCTGCAAAGCATCCGAAACGTCGGGCCGAAGTTAAAAATCATTTTCAAATAAGTTTAACTAATATATCGCGTTTTAAACCGTTAAAGTGTTTTATTTAAATCAAATTACTTCTTAAAAATAATATATCCATTTGTGTTCTTAAATAATATTGTTAAACTCTTTAGAATCGCTTTGCTTCGTTTCATTTAATTTATAATCAGTTAAGTAATGCGATATAAGATCTTTTATTAGTATTATTAACTTAAAAATTATTTGCGTTTCATGTAACGTTTCATTTAGAATCGCGAATTTTTCATGTGTACAAAGTCAGGCAAAGATGATATAATTCTCTTATCTCGATTGCAGACACTTCAAGCGCAACCCGATTACCCGGAACTGCAACAACCACATTCACAGGAGACCACACAACTTCCACAACAGCAACAAGACTACAGCCAGTACTACCAACAAACTGACCCTGCTGCCGTACCCGCGTCTGCACCAGACAATGACTACACCTATGGGGGTGGGGCCGAAGACTACACTTACGGTGGTGGAGATTGGGTGCGCAGTGACGGTACTCAGTACGCCGATCCTTACTGGAAGGGGGATTCCACTTACCAATATGGAGAGGTAAGCTGAATTCATGTGCTGCGAACGAATATACCACATTATACATAATTTGTCGTTACCATATGATAAAAAAATTCAGGTCCTTCGAGCCAGGTTGGTATTTAACTACAAAAAACATTAAATAATTATTAGTTACACCGGTTTTACCCCCTGTGTTTTAGTTATGACTCTTTTTAATGGTATGTTCTTTCGTGATTTATGTCGCATTGAAATCGTTCGCTTAGAAATTGCACTTTAATAAGTCAGGGTGTCTTAATCAAAGAATACTTAGAATTAGTTCACGCATTGCAAATTGTAGTTTATCCTAGAATACATTGATTTTCTTTGAACTTGAACCACTGAATAGAGACGCGCGCGTAGTGTTTTAAGTGTTGTGTGTGAGTGTATGGTGGTACCTAACGCGTGTTATGGGCAGCGCGCGCGCGGGTTGCGGCGCCGCGGCCCTCCCGCACCTCGCGCCGCCCGTCCATCGCCGCGCCCCGCCCTCAGTGCGGGTGATTCGCCGCTCTTCCGGCCGCTCGTCTTTGGCGGGACGTATCCGATTGACGAGCCCTGTGACCCGCCCACTTCTGAAGAAGACGACGCCGCAGCGGAGGGTCCTGACGAAACGGAGCGTCTACGGGACACGATGCGCATATTTGAGACAATGCTCGCCCGCCGCGCAAACATGTACCGCCGTGGGTACCGGAGGGGTGGTGCTCGATCCCCCCAGACGTTTGATATAGATGAACCCCTTGACCCGACGGACACGCCCTCCCAAGCCTATTTCAGAGAGAGAGATGCGAGGTACTACGTCGCCGGGCCCAAGACCTTTGATATAGACGAACCGTTCATCATCGATTAAGCGATTACTATGTTGCCAGTCTTAAGCTTTTTTAAATTGAGCGTTGACATTGCTCATTGGTAACTTAATTTTTAGTAAATGTAACAGAAATAATAAGCCCTAATATTTTATCGGTCAACGCGTTCGTTTCCAAAATTTTGCACTATAATATTTGTTACGGCCCGAGTGAAAGAACGTACGTAGTTTTAACTACAGTTGCAGTATTTATATATTTATTAAATTTAAATCAAACTTACTACACAAAGAATATTGATTTTAAATATATTTGTAGCAATATTCTTGTTTACTGATTTAAATAATTTTATAATAACATTAGGTGCCATAATTCGTTTCTTTATAGTTATATAATTATATTTAAAGTGGTACAAAAAGAGACAAATAAAAAATTATTGTTTTTATTGTATGTTGTATACAAATATAACATATTTATATATTTGCATTTAGTAGTTTCATCTTTTACTTATAATGACCATGAGAAAATATGTAAAACTTATTCGCTCTCATATATTTTATAATGATTTGATATGAGTTTGTCTGTGATAAATAATCTACATGAATGCAATTGTTTATTATCTGTTTTATTAATTCGTTTACTAATCAACGCTGTCTATATTTGTCTATGAACAAAGTTATAGAAAAAGTATAGATAAACATTTATATCATTAAATGATTATCTGTAGAATGATTTAAAAAAATATATTGTTGTTCTATATTATTTATTTGCATCGTATAGTTAAAATATTGTTATTTAGAAGAAAAAGGCGATGGTGGCATAATTGTTTCATTCGCATTGTGGCGCCATTTACACTTGTCAATAAAGAATTAATATCAACGTTTGTTTTATTTAGTAATCAAATTAGTTAATACAAGCGAAAATCTCTCAATTTAAAAATACCTTAGACAAAGAAGACTGTCCGTCATAAAATTCTGTGTTTTTTTCGCATGTACTGCATTTTTGCTTAGAATTGCAACATGCACGCGAGAAACAGACAACAAAATGTTTAGATAACTACTTTCTTAAAGTGAGATTTATCTATGATATAAACACACTTGTGTTCGCTTCATACACAATATAATATAACAGTGGATATCTCGCTTAATTCCCTGAATTAAAATGACAGACGAGATTCAAACCCAAAATAAGTAAAAAGAAAGTGTATGGATTAAATATATTTAACGATTTTAAAAGACATATACGACCAATGTTTGTATAGCAGGAGCAGAACGGCAGCAGCGGCGGTATCACGATGCCGGGGGCTTCGGCCTCTCGCCCGAGTCTCTTCCAACACTACGAAGACGATCGCCCTCCTAGCGCCGACGTAAGTGTGCTTTACCTTTATTCAGTATCATCCAATACTGTTGTATTATGAGTAAATGTCGCTAGTAGTACCATGTAATCAAAACACTTTTAATGGTGTAGAACGCGAAAGGTATTAGTTAATTTTAACTACGACCCGACTTTTCGGATGCTCTGCACCAGCAATGGTCCGTAATGTTAACGCTTTTAAAAAACCTGCTGCGCTAGCGCCATCTGTTTCGTCATAGGTGAAACTGGCCGGGGTCTTGCAGATTGACTTACGGTATCCTCGCGTTAGCCGGTATTCTGCTTTTCGCGTCTCAAACAGTTAAAAGTGTTTTATCTAAGTCGTTGTCAATTCTTGAACAGCCCTTATTGATAGAAGTAGTTTCTTGGTCTAAGAGTAACTTTGAATGATCAACTTGTAAAAAAAAAAGAAAGATTGTAAGGATAACCCTCTTAAATGTATAAATTTTTCAGCAAACGGATCGTGAAACCGACACGCTGATGGCAAACAAAACAGAAAGCAAAGGCAGCAAAGAAGAAAACAACAAGGCGGAGAGTAAGAAGGGTGGTTGGCTGGGCGGCATCCTGACCAAGCTGTCTCTACGTGCCCCCAACCAAATGATCCTACCAGACGACAAGAACCCCACAGTAAGTGCCCGGTCTCCACTCAAATATCGTCCGATGCCTACACTTTTATAATTTATGTTGTTGTCTGTAGTTGACGCTAGTAGTACACATTTAAATAAAACAGTTTTAACGGTTTAAAACGCGTAATGTTTTCTTAAACTACGGTCAGACGGTACCCCGAAACCCCCCATGACCACGGATGCAAACGCCGTAGTTAAAATAAATTGTAAATCAGTTTAACCAATACATTTCACGTTTTAAAGCGTAATAATTGTTTTATTTGAATTATTTATCTTCTTTTCTCTTAAAAATATTTATTTAAATTCTTAATTTGTTTTTTATTTAATATTGGTATATGTATTATGATACCCAATCATAAAACTTTGTATGAAGCCTTTTCTTTTCCAGACATTTGTTAATTTTATGTATGTGTGCATTATCTTTTTGTTATATTCTTATATGTTATATTATTTATGTATATATTTAAATAAAAAATATACTTTTGTCAGTGTTTAATTTTACCTATTATTATTTCTTAACTACTGTTTGATTTATTAAATAATCTTTCATGTCCTGCATCATATATCTAAAAAAAAAGTCAAAAACAATAAATCTACCGACTTTGAGATTTATTGTTTTTTTATTTATTACTTTTTTTTATTTATTTATTTATTTATTTACTTAAAGTATTGTCTGTAGCTTATGCTAGTCTAAATAAGTATACAAAACCCGAGTACAGTTGAACCGGATAACTTAATTATTTTGACTATCTATGGGTATGAGTTATCTTACAAACGGGGAAATGGAACTGGCTTCATTATCCTTCAAACGTAGGGACGTGACACTTATTCACGTATTTATGTATCTAGATCGTGTGGGACGAAACGACTAAGCGGTGGGTAAATCGGGACTCACCCGATGACGAGCCTAGTGCCCCCCCGCCCCCTCCGAAGATGACGCCTGCGCAACCGTAAGTGTGCATTCAAACTTTTGGCTTACGAATCGTATTTATCTATTATGATAGAGGAGGACAGACAAGCATGTCGTTCACTTGATGGTAGGTAAAATACCTTAGCCATTAAATATCTAAACAAGACATGCTGTCCACCTATTTTGGCTTTGGTAGGAGTATTGAAAGCGGAATTTTGAATATTCCTACCGAGACGAAGGCAAAAACGTTTCAGAAAAAATATGATACTAACTTATTAAAAATATGTTCGACCCGTTGATTATTAATATATTACTATCATTCTACCAACGAACCCGATTATAATACATAAAATTGGGTTTTTGCTTTGCTTATTTTTGTTGCGATATTTGATAGTATAACATTGCTTATGTATATTTTATACAGAGTAACATCGACGCCGCTTCAGTCGCCTATGGCGGGTGGCGCACCTCCGGGCGGATCGGGGCTGGCCCCCGGAATCCCCGGGGCAGGGGGTGGCAATTTGCTCAGGATGCAGAGGGGCAGAAGTAAGTCCTTTTACCAGCAAAATCAATTTGTCTGTTTCGTGATATTAATGAAGTAATTCAATGTCGTATATTGTATTTTTTTAAATCAATTTAAATGGCGAATACAGAATTATATTAATGAAATAAAACATTTGACGGTTTGAAACGCGAAGTATATCAGTTATTTTTAATTTAATTTAACAAGTACCCAACATTGCTTTTTTTTTTGAACAAATACTGTAATAATCCAATATAATACTTTTATTGCTCCATTACAGCGACGGTGTGAAATAATCTAAAACAATTTCTTTTTAATTTGCTTTAAAGTAAAATTAAATTTCTTTATAATGTATCGCTGGCAGAACTGACTAAATATTTATAAATGTATTAACGTAATCTTTTCAGATATAAAGAAGTCGTATGTGGACGTATTCAATCCAGCAGGTGCGCCCGCGCCGTCGGCGTTACCCCCTCCCGACCTCCCTCCAGCGCCACCGGCACAGGCTCCCACATACTTTGTGCCAGCCCCCGTACCACAGGTAATGTTTATATCTTTGTTTTAAGTTGGTGGAAAGCCCAACATACTACTAATTATTTATATTATTCTTTCAAAGAAAAAAAAACTAACAACCAATTCGTAGATAGAAAAGCCGTTCCACGTATCAATTCCTCCTTCCCCCAGTGATTCCCCTCGACTCTCCCACACTTCTCAACCCCCACAGGTATAATCTATTTATTGTTTTTTTGTTGGTTCTTTTATTATATATTGATAATTTATAAGCAAAGTTTTACAACGTGTAGTGTTGTAGTAGGTGTGGTTTGATTTGATGTAAAAAGTGGAGATAGCTAAAATAGTTTATTTAATAGTTAGTACTCGTAAAGTAGTTAAAACAATAGGTTTACTAATACTTAACAAAGTTAATTAATTTAAGTCAGAAATTTTCTATATTTGTTACACGCAACCAGGAAGAAACGGTTCCCAACGGCCACTGATACGGTAGTTACATTTTTTTTGTCTGTATTTTAATTAGATATATTAAGTTACAAACTTATAATATAATTTCATTAAAATTGTATATCTTAAATTCCAGAGTGGTTTCTATGACCCCAATGCAATGGAACCGGAACGCAGCGCCATCTAGCGGTACTAAAGACGTTCACGCATTATTGCACTCAAGTTAAATTCATACTATCTCTTAATTATACATTTTGTTTATATTTTACGTAATACATATAGATTGATTTACATCTTTAGGTCTGATAACTTAGTTTCAGTACCAAATGACCAACGTCTATTATGTATACAAAACCTATATTTATGTTCGTGTTTTTATTGTGTAATTGCGTTAAACATTCGACAGATGACAACGAAACAATTGTTTATAAACAACCGTAAAGCGTCTATTTATTTAATTTTAAATATCTTCTTTTTCTGGTGTTACTTTGTGTATAGTACTAGTCTATAGGTTTCTGACTTTCTCAAATACATTCCTACTCTTTTGACTAGCTCATAAAAAGACAACTTCATAGCAGAACAGTGGTCTTCCACGCGATACTGGTATTTTATAGGAAAATTCGACGTCAAACATGTGAGTAACGAATATAATTGGCGCTTATTTTTTATAAGGTTAACAATATGACGTTTGAACATTTTGTAGAAATACGCTGTAAGGGGAAAACTTGTCAACTAAGCGGTTTAGTTGTGGCAAAGTAACGATACACTCCACTTCAATCGATACGTTGCTCATTCATAGCGCAGAGAACGCTCGGCGAGACGTCAAATGTGACACTGACAATTGACACACATGTGCACTTTGTCAGATAATAAACCATCGATCCAAATGTCGTCGAGTATCCCTCGCTTTAGTTATAGATTTTTCGTTTGAATTTGTGATTATGAAACAATTAGTATTATTTATCATTGGAATGAAATATTTTTTAAAAATTCCTGGGAATAGAATTTGTATTGGGCAATAATTTTATGTATATGTTGTAATATGTGGTGCAATAGGTTCTATCTTATTCCGTCGCTATTTTATTGAATCATTGTTTTAAAACCTTGTAAGCAGCGAGATGTACAGATTATATATGTATCGAAATAGCTCAGGCAACGCTTTGCCGACTTGTATAGTACGCTATCTGTATATAATGTGAACTCGCTATATATTGACATCAGAAATGTATAATTCAATAGTATCGAAATATTTAAATGAATTGTTGTTATGCTTTCGCTTTTGTTTTATTTCTTAATACAGCTCTTGAAAAAAAAGAAAGAATCAACTTAAATACTACACAATTTCATTACATTCGTGATAATGTGTAAATTGTCGCAAATGAAAAATCTTCCAAATAAGCAAACCTTTTTAATTCAAATAATAGCATCGATATTAACTATATATCGGTTGAAGTATCATTTCCTGCAGCAGCTGTGATGAACTGGAATATCGAGACTGTAAGCGTTCCAGCCACCAGCGCCGCCATCACCAGGGAACACGCTAGCAAACCTTTATTTACCGCCATCATCTCATATTTAGGGCTTTATACACCTTTCTATTTGCCGTAACATCTGTCAATGTCTCACAACTTGAGGACATCTGTCATAGATATGCTAAAAAGTGTTTATACTAAGCACAGAGTAAAAACAAGAGATATGTCAAATTTATTTATTACTTTTGCATTAATAATAGAATCCAACCAATCTCGTGTACCTACCAAGTTGACGTATGAGTTGGATTCACATGCTAGTCCACAGTGCTTGTTGTCGCTCATGATAGCAAGAATCACATGTTTCCGTAGCAACGGTGTGCCTGCGCAGTAGTTACATGCTCCCCCCTTTTTTGGGACTGCACAAATGGGTCGCCCTATGACGTCGCATCCTGCGCGTGAGACTGTCTCGCCCCCAGACAAATGTCGGAGTGACCAATTTTCATCTCCAGGATCACACTGTTGCAGGGGCACTACATTTACAGCTACACTACGAACCTGGCGTAATTTTGGATTTTTGTCTATACTTCTGTAAACAGACAATTAATTACTTCAAAAAGGATATTACTTTTCTAGCCTCGTCAGGCGCTTTATAAGAAATATGGTACTAATTTTCAACTCACCTGAACTTACCAAATCCCAAAATACTCAAATCTTCACCAAAATTAATTAAAAGGTAATCTAAACTACTGGGCAGTGTAGCCGTTTTTAAGACATTCATACCATCTTCAGACTTTATAGCTGCTATATCATAGCTTTTGTTGTTCCCTTGGTAAATAGGATGGATATTAATATCAGATATAGTATGTAAATTCCCATGGCTTTCCTCTCCAAAACCCTCCATAATAATAAATGAATCCAAAGAGTCTACCTCTTCTACAGACTCTATGCAACTAGCTGCAGTTATCGTCCAATAACTATTCACTACAGATAATGTACAACCAAAAATTATGTTGAGCGGTGGTTTAACCTTTACAAGAGCTACAACAAAGCTTTTTCTATCATCTTCAATGTAACCATCATCAATGGATGTTAATGTAATTACATCATCCTTTATTTTTGTTTCCTTGTTGACAGTTTTACTGTAAAATTCTGTGGTTGTAGTTAGCATGGTAGGTTTTGATTTCGTATAGTAGTAATGAGTTAGGGATTCTGTTTTTTGAGATGGTTCCCATGTACATTGCACATTTTGTGCCTTTGTTTTTAGACTTGCCATTGTCGATGTAGTACTGTATTGTATCTCCTCTGCTCCGTGTGTTGTCGTGCTGTGATTCCTTTCCGAAGCAGCAGTTGGTCCATCTCTTTTACTGCAAGCAATGAAGTGTAGAATAAGAAATATAAGAAAGGCAATAAATAGAGCAAGTAGAATGCCCTGAGCAACACTCAGATAGAATTCCGTTTTTGTAAAAGATCTACACCATCCTTTAAACTGTCTGCAGCATTCATAACACATGATTCCCTCATTCTTGTCATTGATGACAAAGCAGGACCATCTTGATTATTTATATAATTGTAAAGTGTTATTATAAGTTAGTAATTTTAATAATACATTTATAATGATTTCTATCTTCAATGAGAGCCTCTATTTCTGTTTGGCAGTTTTATAAAACATTAAAATTGCCTTCTTGAGTAGAAATGTCCAAATACTTAAACTTACTTTGTCATTCCTGTCGACTTGACCCAGATTCACTTTTAGATTGCAATAATAGAGGTCTTTTGAAAGGCCTATTTATGCAGCCAAATCTTAGTTGTCCAGATTCTTTCTTTCCACCAAAGCCTCCACCAAGTCTTCGAGGTTTCCATCCTTTAAGCCTTCTCTCTGCTTCCCTTTCAAGAATAATTTCAGAACCATCTATGTACTCATAGCACATCTCTTTCAATGCTTTGTCCACACTATGTCTACTCTCATACTCTAGGAAGGCATATTTCTTTGATATACCAGTAACTATGTCCTTAACAAGGCGACATCTTTTCACTTTACCAAATTTTGAGAATTCAGTCTCAATAGTATCCTTAAACAGAAAGACATTTTAGTAGATAATATAAGAGTAACATGCAGGTAGACTATAGAATAATTCAGTTAGATTTCAAAAATGCTTGTTTCATACATATAATTACCTGGGTTGTCCTAGGATTTAGTCGAGCTATAAATATTGTGTGTTCTGGATCACCTTTTACTAATTTATTTGGAGCATATTCTGAGGCAATCGCTCTTAGGATGGCCTTGTCGTGAGGTTCGGTGTCAGTTCCTAGGAATGGCGCAAAACAATGAAATCTTTTACTCTGATTAAGTATGTTCTAATAAATTGTTACATAAAATACAATATGTTACTGTTAAATTATATCACTTACGATCAATTGATCCCACTTCTATGGGATCATACACGTCGTAAACGTATTTCTCAAATGGTTTAGTGTGTTTTGCCATTATTTAAAGAGAACCAAATAACAATGTTCACTTCTCATTAAAGCATACTCATTTTCGTACTGAATTCAATGTTACTAAATATAAATACCTCTGCTTACACGTGCGGTATTATTTTATAATACTATTTTATGTAGATTCAATATTTACAATATCACAATTGATCTAAATGAAATTTCTTTAGGGTCTACAAAACATTACCAATTTATGACAGTTTCGTATAAATGACAGCTAGTAATTGTCAATTGACATTTGAACTTTTTTTAAAGTATTGTACTTTGGGTTATTAAGTGTGAGAACAATTTGATATAATTCATAGGTTACTAAATAAACCTTATAGAATTTTAAAATTCATATTTTATATATTTTTTAAAGCCTTAAGTATTTTATTTATATATTAATATTTTAGAACTTGCTGTTTTTAATTTTGACATAAAAAAATAAAGGATGGCAACAAATAAAATCTGACAACATCTGTGCGCGAATGCGCGTAGAAAATTTAGGAAAAAATAAAAAGAAAAGAAATGGCAGTTACTAGAGAGAAAGAAAATTGTTCAAGAAAAATTAATGGAAATATACCTGCGCTATCTCTTAACAGTGACAATATGTCGACATCCACGGACAGCGACGATGTAGCGGACCCGACGTACGAAATTAGGAACATTCAAAGTATCATAAACGTGACCCGTGAAAACATCGATGCTCTCAATGCGAAATTCGCTGGTCTGCAACATCCACCGTCATTGTACCTTACAGAGTACCAGGAGTTGACTGCGAAATTGCATAATTTGGAGCTTAGGGAACGGACTTTGAGGGAATTGCTACAGTCTGAATCGCCGGACCGGAGTGAAGAGTATTCTTGGCAGGATGAGTCCAAGAAATTTGACACGCTCACGCGGCAGCCGAAGGTGTTCTTACGGGCGCATCTGCCTAATCAGCAGCGAACTAGTGTTCAGGTGAAGGAGGGCGTTACTCTGCGAGAGGCGCTCTCCAAGGCCCTCAAGTTACGGAACTTGACTTGTGAATTGTGTGAAGTAGTGAGGACAGGCAATGACGAAGTGATACCGTGGGATATAGATATAACTTTGATAGATGCAGAGGAGGTGAGTACAGTATAGGTTATAGTTTGCAGCAATTCCTTCTGTTTGTTTATTTAATTTAGTATAAAAAAAATATATTCCAAATTGTTATTTTTTGTAGTATAGTGTAAACATTTAATAAATTTAAAGTCTAAACAATTAATTGCACCACTGTTATCATATTTAAAGCAATATATGTACATACTTCTCTTGACAAAAATGGAATCAAATCCTCAAGTTGGATTCTACTTTAGTATTTTATGTGTGCACATGTTACACAATAACCAGCTTAGTGGGTGTTTATTAATCACTCGTCATTGTACATACAGCTAATTAATATATTATTGATCAGTTGTTTTTTTACTTTAATTGATCAGGTGATTGGTCCATATAAAATGCTGACAATTGCACCTAATTCTATGATATCCAACTTTTACGGTGTCCCCTCAAATACACCTTGTTATATACAACGACTTATCTAATCTGGAGTTATATCAGTTCCTAGATGTGAAGATTTAGGAAGCAAGAACACTTGTCATCGTCATTACAGGGTCCAAAAGTTTTTAATTCCTATTTAGATTATTCTACATTTACAGTCGTAATTTTCTCATTAACAGTCCTGTAATCTTATTAACAGGTGTTTATTTTCTTATCTATATTATATACCAAGATTTTCAACTGCTTCATGTATGTTGTTTGTTTTCTCTGTAAAAGTACTTCTGATCTTTTATTTTACACAATAAATTTGTATCTATTTTAGTCTCAGGTCTGAAAAACATATGTCTGTTACAGGTGACAGTCAAAATAACTGATAAAATGCCAATAATGTCACATATGTCCCACCAATATACTCGCAAGACATTCTTCACCTTAGCCTTCTGTGAGTGTTGCAGACGGATTCTGTTTAATGGGTTCTACTGCTCTCAATGCAATTTTAAGTTCCACCAGCGGTGTGCTGATAAAGTGCCTAGTATTTGTCATCAGGTAAGATCGAAGTACCACAGTTGACTTATTATAAGATACTGTCTATAGTTTAGGCGTGTTGTACACATTTAAATAAAGCACGGGAAGACATAATACGGGAATCATGGAGGGTGTCTATGACGTCAAAGTAAAACACTACTACACCTTCGAAGTTGGCACTTGGGGAAACTGGTTGGGTCCCTGGAGATTTGACTTACAGCTAAGGACCCAGCCAGATAAAAATAATATTCAAAAAAGTTTAACTAATATATATCACGTTTTAAACTGTTAAAGTATTTTATTTACACTATGAAAAGATGTCAAATATTAAAATCTCTCATTGAATATAAAATGTTGAGAGAAATATTAAGATTATATTTTTTAACATAGTGAGCTATAAATTTTCTATTTTCTTTATAGGTTCGAATGCCAGACACATATTATGCAGCCCTTCTAGCAAAAAATCCAGAGACGCAAACTGGGATACTATATCTACCCTCTCAATTTAGTTATAATCAAAATAAGTAAGTTATAATATTTCATTATTTATGTCAAAACTAAGAAACTTGTCATTGTTATAAGTAGAGCAATTTTTGATGACAATTGTACATATTATATCTAAATGAACAGGTATCATGAATAATACCCCATTTCTTCTTTGTATAGGATGTTACATTATAACCAGTCAAAGTTACTGTGTCATCAAACCTTTATTACTTACTAGCTGTATCAACGACTTCGTCGACTTTATAAATTTAAGCTGTTACAAACATTGTTGGTACCCTTCCGTCGTTATTGCAAGTTCATCTTTAAAGGTAGACAGTGTTTCTTCGCTCCTATTAGTCACAGTGCGATGTTTTGAATCTATAACTGTCCCCGATAAATACTGTAACACAAAAAAAAATCTATTCAAACCAGTAGTTCCTGACATTAGAGCTTTCAAACACACAAAGAAACTCTTCAGCTCTATATATTAGTAGAGATTACAGTTTAGCGAACTGTTATTTTCTTAAATTCAGAAATAGATTTAATACCTCCGTGTCGAAGCACAGTTTAATATGTTGACCATTGACAGGTCTGTCTCACCAGCCAAGAAGAGCAAGGATTACGATATCAACTGGTGAATATTCACTTGATCGTATCAGCTTTACGCTGTATATAATGCTCATTCTGGCTTTACATATTAGCTGTAAACGTTAGGTTAATACCATCTTGTTCTATTAACACTAATTAACAAATGCTATACTATGTGTAATGTATGATGTTATGTTTATAGTTTACTACCTATTAGGTAGCTAAAATCCTTTTGAAGAATTAATATGAAAAAAGGATTTAAATAAGTAAAAGTATGTTTGTTACCACCAGGCAACAACACCCTCGGTCCCTAAACCAGCAGGATCGGTCAAACTCGGCTCCCAATGTGTGCATCAATATGGTGCAACGGCCTCTCACACTTGCCGAGCATCAAAGAAAACAGAATCAGGTATTCTACCATCAAATGAAGTGCTGTCTGTCCTCCTCTAACATAAAAAAAAGAAAACTACGTAAACTACCTATCGCAATAATCTATAAATCTACCAATATCTTACAATCGATCTAAAAATCGAATCACTAATTCTATTATGTGTTAATTTCAGAGTAACAACTCTCCTCAGTCCTCAAATTACTTAACGTCGAGTCGACATTATAAGGACGACAAAGATCGAGGTGACCAGCAACACAGTCAAAGTACACAGGTATTGACTTCGATAAATATTTTATAATTTATGATTTAGCTAATGAAATGCTTGGTATGCAAAGTCAACAAAATTGGACATTACCATACTTATAGACTTGTAATAATAGAGTACGTATAGAAAGTGCAAAAATGGAAAAGTAATACTTATGAATAGAGTTGCAATCAAGTTCAATATTTTTCGAATGGCTATTTAGTATTTGTGCGTGATTTAAAATGTATCTTCAAAAGGCGTCCCCGACGGGCACGTTGCGACCGCGTCGTGCCCGCGCCCGTTCTGCGGACGAGTCGTGGAAACACGCTTTGTCGCCTCGAGAGAGTTATGACGACTGGGTGATACACGCTGATGAAATTCTTATCGGCGCTAGAATAGGTACATATTGCTTTTAATTATAGTTGACTGTCACACGACTGGCCGGTAGAATTTACAAAACAACATCAAAGTTTCGTGGAATAATTTATTAAAATAACAATGTACTTAAACTTTGTGATTTCATCTTCAATGAAGTCTGTGTGGATTTAGGAAGCTTTATTATTGGGGGGGGGGGGGGAAGCTATTACATTACACTAACATGAAATAGAATACATTTTTAAATAAAATAAATATTATTCAGGTTCCGGCAGTTTCGGGACAGTGTACAAGGCGCATTGGCACGGTCCGGTCGCTGTCAAAACCCTTAACGTCAAAACACCGACACCTGCGCAGCTGCAGGCGTTTAAGAATGAAGTGAGTATTTGTGTACTCAGGTCCTTTGAGCCGGATAGCAGTGATCTTCACTAGTTTATCAAAACTTGACGAAAAGGGTATTTTAGTTGGTGGAATCGTTGTTAATATATCCTTAAATACGTTATAAGAGCGTGGCTTAATATCTTTTCAGGTGGCAGTGTTAAGGAAGACGCGGCACTGCAACATCCTTTTGTTCATGGGGTGCGTTTCAAAGCCTTCGCTGGCCATCGTGACGCAGTGGTGCGAAGGCTCTTCGCTGTACCAGCACCTGCACGTGCTGGAGACGGCTCTGCCGATGATCTACCTAATAGACGTGGCACGACAGACCGCGCAAGGCATGGACTATCTGCACGCTAAGAACATCATACACAGGTAACAGTTTTAAAAAATGGTAATTCCTCTTTGTTTTTCACATATAAATAAATAAATTAAAAAAGCACTAATTCAAAAAAAAAGAACATTGACATATCACGAGGGAAAGACGGTGTGCCATCTTCAAATCTTTAATATTTTCATAAATTTTACAGAGACCTGAAGTCTAACAACATATTCCTGAGGGACGATTGGTCAGTGAAGATCGGTGACTTCGGGCTAGCCACGGCTAAAGTGCGCTGGTCGGACTCGTCGACGGCAGGTGGCGTACAGTGGCAGCAACCCACCGGCTCCATTCTGTGGATGGCGCCCGAGGTGATCCGCATGGAGGAGCCGGCGCCCTACACCTTTCGCTCAGACGTCTACTCGTACGGTATCGTGCTATTCGAGTTGATGGCCACGGAACTACCCTACGCGCACCTTAACAACAAGGACCAGATTCTGTGGATGGTGGGGCGAGGGCTCCTGAGGCCCGACGCCCGCAAGTTACGCCAAGATGCCCCGCAGGCGCTCAAACGCCTCTTCGACGACTGTATAGAGTTTGAACGCGAGCGGAGGCCGCAGTTTCGGCAGATACTGGCCGCGCTGGAGGCGATGCTGCGCGCGATGCCAAAGATCACCCGCAGCGCTTCGGAGCCGACCCTCGGGCGGCCGCTGCACGCCTCCGACGACTACCTCACCTACAGCTGCGCATCGCCCAAGACGCCTGTCAACTTTCATTTCAACGCCGACACCAACTTCCCGGCCTTCTACGGGTGAGCCAATGTACCTCCTATGTGTGATTAATGCATCATGCAAAGACTTTCCGAAGAAGCGTTACTCTCTAACTCTGATTCCCTTGGCTTTATTTTTTAAGTTTTTTTTTATTGTATTATAGACAAAATAATGAGCAGATTTGATTTTTGTTTACAATGTTACTTTATAAACATCATATTATAGTTCGCAATTAAATTTCCAGGATACCCGTCCCGAACCAACGACATAACTAAGAGAGGAGGGCTACGGCTGGTCCCGTGTCAGCGACCTTTGATCTCACCCATTCATTCGACGGCGTCGGCTACAAACGCTTACCCTCGCATCTGCACCAAGTATTAATTTTGTTAAGACTATAAACATAATTAATTTTTATTTAATTTTAATGTTTTCAGTATCTTCAGGACGAATTTTACATTTAATTTGTAGCATGTAATGTGACCGATGTTTATCTGATAATATACTGAAGAAATTTGCACTTGTTCTTTTGATCGTGAAAGTTGAAAAAAAATACAGCTTTAATTTTATTCACTATATTGTATTAGACACACAGAATAACTTTTAAACAATGCTTTATTTGAGATTCTAAAGTAAGATTCTTTTTTTCTTTTTAAAAGAATTTTAAGGCATTTCTTGTTTATAATTTTAGCACGATTGCATGGTCACTTACATGAATTTCATCGAAATATCTTAGGAATCATAAAAATGAGATTAAATTAGATAAAACATTCGAATTAATCAACTGTAAATTATACATTTTGTAAATAAATTTAAAGCTAAGTTTGTAACATATTTTTTATAAGAAAACGAGACTTAAATTATGATTTCCATTCTGCGTGATATGTTACTTTGCTAGATTTAATTAGACTTTTTGGGGTATTGGACTCCTTTCTTGTTTACACTCTACAGACTAACAAAATGCCTTTGTAATTGAATGTGAAGAATTTTACTATCTTCTCCGACTCACCAAGCAAGGACATGTACATTGTTACATATTTTTTTTCTTACTACCCTCGAATTTAAACTATATAATAAAATTCAATGATTAATTAGGCACTATGGGTCAAATATGATGGACTCAGATAAAATAAATAATTTTGTAAAGTACAGTTGTACAGCGCATAATATTGAAAGTATTATTTATATAGAGGTTAAACTTGTAATTTATTTTTATTGTAAATATGATTGTAAAAGTAGACTATTATAAGGCAATGTGTATACAGTATAATGCATAATAATTGTCGATTTCAATGAACACAATAAATTATTGTTTCGATTTAAAATCGTTTTATTTAAAACTTTTCCAGAAAATCATTTGTCATGTATATTATGGGTTTAAAAATGTGTTACCAATAAAATAAGCCTTCAGCACATTGTCAATGGATGTGATAGATAGCTGACAGGCATTTCACCTACCAACAAGTAAATTGCATGCTTTCTGTCCTCATCAAGTTTTAAATCAAAATATATTTATTACAAAAACCTAGGATGTTACTTTGTCCATGTTGAGAAGAGAAGTGAGATAATCTTTGAATCATAGAAAACAGCTAATTTTGTGATTTAAATATATAGTAATTACATTTATTTACACAAAAAACAAATTTTCATTGAAATAAAACACTTTAACGGTTTAAAACGCGATATATTAGTTAAACTTATTTAAAAAAGATCTAGTGATAAAATAAATATCAAGAATCTATTTAAAAATTCTGTGCGAATTAAAACGCTCACAATGTTTTATGAGCGAATACTATAGACATTAAGAATATATTTGATGCATATATTATTTACTCAATAAATACTTAGGGCCTTCTCCTGAAAGATCTATTTATTCGAATGCTAAGATTACAAACACACAAAAACTTATGTATGTTTGAACTAAGTCTACCTACCCCTATTGATATACAGTTGAATCCATTTACAATGACATCGAAAGGAATTGACAAACACGTCATAATTATAAGCGGATGTCATACAATGCGTTTTGTAGAAAAAAAAACCTTTTCTATGTTAATATGTATGTAATATGCATTTAAGTATTTTAACAGAGGAACATAGTAACTACATAATATGTATACACACATATTAAATCAAAACAAAAATTGCACGTAATAAGTAAATTAATACACATACAAATGTATTTTTTAATGTAAATAATCTATAATTTTTGTTTTTTTCATTTTATTGTACAAAATATAGTATCTGTTATGATTGTGTATAGAAGCCATCACTATGTCAAATTATCATTTTTAATATTGCTATGAACAAATCGTGATAATAATTCTGCAGCTTGTAATGCCTCTTCTACGGTAGGTAATGGTTCTTCCTCGACTTCTTCTTCCCTATCACTTTCGAGTTGTTCCTTAGCATTAATGTTCTCTACGATATTTTCATCGGTGGGTTCTTCGGATGTGAGCGTTATCGATGTCAACGTAATGTTCCCACATTTCCGTTGATGCTAAAGAAACTAAATTTAAGTTTCGTAACCACAAAGATAAAGGGACGTCATCTTCTTCATCAAATTCATGTTCTGCTATTTGAATACGTAAGCCGTCGTGGCTATCAATGAATCCTGCATGTTTGAAACAGTTGTGAATGGTACTTTGTGACATTTTGTTACCAAGCATCATTAAACATCAAAATTGCATCCAGCACCGTTATTTTTGTAGAAGAGTGGTTTTTATTAGCTAAGTTCATACTATTATAAAAAACTTAAAGAATAAATCTGCATCTGGCAAAGACTTAATAACTAGTAGTATTATAAAAAGATACTGTAATACATTAATTAAACCAATAACTTATATTTGTAATCTTGCAATGGAAACTGGAGTATTCCCAAAAGCCTTTAAAGAAGCACTCGTCACTCCTATTTTTAAGGGAGGTGACACAAATAGCCCCAATAATTTTAGACCAGTATCAATATTACCCACATTATCAAAAATACTAGAACGACTAATGAATAACAGACTTGTGAATTTCCTAGAGACAAATAAGATCCTCTCTCCAAATCAATATGGTTTCAGACGTGGTAAAGCTACTAATGACGCTGTACATGATCTCATAAATACTACTATACTAAATCTGGATAGTAAACTAAAGTGTATTGCTATATTTTAGACCTAGCCAAACTTTTGATACTATTTCCATTCCTTATCTGATTAAAAAGCTTGAGACAGTAGGAGTTAGGGGTATTGCTCTAAAACTTTTTGAAGACTACCTACAAGACCGAACTCAGAGAGTAAGGATTATAGGGCAAGATCTACTAAGCGATAGCCTACCACTAAATTACGGCGTACCACAAGGCAGCATACTCGGCCCAACGCTATTTTTGGTCTATTGAACGATCTATGCAGTCTTAAGATACCCCAGTGCAAAATTATTACCTTCGCGATGACACTGCACTTTTATTCAAGGAGAAAATTGGGGACGGTCTTTAAACGCTATCAGGACTAGATAAGTTTTAAACTGGTTCAATTAATAAACTAACACTAAACGTGACAAAAACGAAATATATGGCTTTTGCCCACAAACCTAACCTATTACCAGGTCCAGACCTTAACATTAAAGCTCATACTTGTACTAAAATGACGCCAAACTGCAAATGTTATTTCCTGGATAGAGTGGAGCATTTTAAATACCTTGGCGTAATGGTTGACCAATGTCTAAATTTCAAATCGCATATAAATACACTAGTTATTAGAATTCGAAAACTTATATACATTTTTAAAGAACTTAGACACATCTCAGATATAAATATTATCAAAATGGTCTATTACGAATATTCATCCGTAATTGGATACTGTATTATTTCCTGGGGAGGGAGTGCAAAGACTCACTCATTGAACTAGAGAGAACGAAAGATTATCCTTAAATAGGCGCAATCTTCCTTATCGTTCTCCTACAATGAACTGTAAAAATGTGGGGTGTATCATGTGCGTCAATTATTTATCTTACAAATCATATTGAAGAAACATTCAGAGCTACCATACGAACCAAATCTCCTAAAAAATAAAGACGAAAATATAATTCTGCCCATCAATACCTACCGTACCTCACATTCCCAACACTTTTACTGTTATCTTGGCCCTTTTGTCTATAATAAACTAAATTACAACCTTAAAATATATAGTCAAAACTTATATCTTTGTAAAAAAATATCACAAACTTCTTAAAATCACTCAATTAAAGAGAAGAAAGGTTTCTCACCCCTATCAGCTAAATTCTAAACATAACAATTAGAACAAATACGGATATTACACCCATGCAACATACACATATACATACCTACACACCAACACAATTACACTCTTATATATATATAATAAAAACGCAGAGGCTTTTCTAAGTTGTAACTCTAGGTACTAAGTTCTTTTTTATATTGTCCAAATAATTTTATAGTGACTCGGGAGGGGGGCTGGTGACTGTATAAGGTTATTATACCTAAGCAGGCACCAGGCTCTCACAACGTGATACATGTAAAATTAGTTACTTGTAAGTTTATTGAAACACTGTAAGTTGTGAGTGTAAATAAATAAAATAAATTATTATTATTATTGATCAAGGCAATTAACCATTTTGAGCACAAGGTTCTTTCTAAAATTCGTTTTGAGTGTTCGTATTATTCCCTGATCCATTGGCTGTAGTATTGATGTTGTATTCGGCGGAAGGAAAGCAAGTGTTATAGACTTTATATCAGTAACATTTGAATGTGCCGGACAATTATCAACCAGCAATAAAATCTTTTTCTTCTTCTTCACCAAATCACGATACCAATCTCGGAGTCATTTTTCAAAGAGTTCTGAAGTCATCCAAGCTGTAAGATTGTTAGCATAATCGACAGGTAATGATTTGACACTACTTCTAAAACATCTTGGTTTTAGTGACTTTCCAATAATGAGCAATTTCTCTGTGCCACTCAAATTAGCTGCTACCATGATAGTTAATCTATCTTCGGCAAACTGCATTAATTTGTAAAACAGTCCTGTTTCATCAGCATTAAATATCTCATCAGAAAAATGGCCTTCGTAGATGCGGCCACACAGATGTCAACCAGTTAGTTGTTGAAGTTTAACCAATAGACGAAGTTTCACCGACAATTTTTCCCGCCACAATGTTATGTCGAACTTTAAAACGACTGATCCAGCTTGCAGAACAATTGAAATCGAGAAGACCAAAACGCGCGGCAAAGACATTTGCCTTTTCCTGTAGCATAGGGCCGCTGATAGGTATTCTTTTGTTTCTCATGATTTCAAACCACTGAATTAATGCTTCATCAACATTTTGTTGTCGCGAAATTCGAAGCCTCTTCGGTTTCAAAACATTTGAATTGAACGATTGATTAATACGGTTCTTGTTTTTAAAAATCATCGAGATCATCGAATGACCCACGCCAAATTCCTTTGCGATAGACGAGTTTGATTCTCCATTTTCTAATCTGCATATTATTACACCTTTCTCCTCCATCGTAAATGCCTTACGGCGTTGAGATGACATTTTTTACACAGTATTTACATTTACAAAACAATGCGTGGCTTTCAAGCGTTAATTACTCACTGAGATTTAAAACAAAAACGAGCCACGTGCCGAACGTCGTCGGGAATCAACGAACAACGCCGAAAACCCGGAGGTAATCATGTCGGTCATTATAACCGGACATATTGAAAATGGGTCATAATAAGCAACTTGTAAGGGAAGTCATTAAATCCGAGTTTTTTTTAAAGAATTTTATATGAAAACCAAACATCGTAGTGTAATGATGTCATAATAATCGGTTGAATACTGTGTACAGTTTTCGCGAGTAGTACACATTTAAATAAAACACTTTAACGGTTTAAAACGGGATATATTATTAAACTTATTTAAGACTCTCTCCCGGTGAGGTCTCCCCGTACACCGTGCCACCGTTGCTGCAAAGCATCGGAAACGTCGGGCCGAAGTTAAAAATGATTTTCAAATAAGTTTAACTAATATACCCTTTTAAACTTTTTTATTGAAATAATCGGTTGGTCTATATAGGCGGAGTCATAATAAACGGATTTAACTGTATTATAAATGGGGTAGGTAGACTTTGTTCAAACTTTACTTTATTATACTAATATAAAGCAATGTGTTAACTATTGATATAGGTAGTATATTATATAGTTTTAAATAAAAAAGGAAACTTGTTTCAAATATTACTGCGTTACATAAAACAATTACAAATTTTGAATACTTTTAGAAAGGTTTCCGTGGTGTAGCGGTTATCACATCTGCCTAACACGCAGAAGGCCCCCGGTTCGATCCCGGGCGGAAACATTTTTTGTTTGTAAATTACTGGTATTCAATCAGACTTACAATTTTTACCTGTTGTTTCTTGCTATAATTTTATTCTTCACAAAATTTTTAAGAGTATTTTTTTGTAGCATTGCGACAACAAGACGTTTTATATTCTGAAAAAGTAGGTATAGTGATTTAAACAAAATTAATAACTGAATATACATTTAAAAAACTTTAATTCAAATTATTTCAAAAAAAATCTGTCAATATTCATCTGATTCTATTTTTTCTTCAGTTGAATCGGCCTTCAATACCCCTGATTTGCATCTGAAATAAAAGACAATAGCATTAATTATTCAAGTTTATTGTAAAGATTAAAGAGCCCAATACTAAACATTGTTTAGTTAAACTGTCTATAGTTTACGCGAGTAGTACACATTTAAATAAAACACTAACGGTTTAAAACGCTTTAAGTTAAACTTATTTGAAAACGATTTTTAACTTCTGCCCGACGCTTCGGATGCTTTGCAGCAGCCGTGGTCACGGGGAGACTAACGATGGAGGATGTCTCTGACTGTTGGTATTTGTCGAATGTCTAATAAAGATAAATGTGCTTACTTATTGGCTCTGTTTGCCCAAGGGCCAGGCTTAAATGAATGCTTTTCCATATTAATAAACTTCTTAACCCGTATTATACTATTTTCAAACATTGCCTTGTCTTCTTCTAAAGCCTGTAAAATGAGACAACATATAATTAATAATTCATCAATTTTTTACCTCTGTAGGTGAATGGTTAAATGGATGGTCTGTTAAAAAATATTTCAATTTACCGCTGTTGCCTCAGCTTCTGTTTTGAAGAAAACTCGCGTTGTAAACAATGGTTGAGGGTCTTTATCACATGTCAAATCTGCAATACTGAAAAAGAGACGTTTGAAAAATATTAATTTTATTACGACTACTTAGGGGGATCAGATACCATTCTATAGCCTTTTTGGAGCCTTATTTCATTAGAACATTTTTAATAGCAAAAGAAAATAGAAAAGTTCATGGTTCATGTGCTAGAGTCAACATTATTTAGTGCAACATGAACATATTTTTTGTTTTAAACATTAGAACATTAAAATAATTTATTTATATGTACCCAACTGAATGAACTGCACCATAGGGAGAAAACAATTCCTTAAGTTTCTGCTTGTAATTTAAAATAATATTAAACGGTAAGTTCTGTACTAGGACAGCAGCATTTGCATTCCTATTTTTACGTTTTTTATTATTCTTTTTTTTGCTTTTCGTGACTGTTATTCCCTCTATAAGCTTAGTGAGACTGTGAGGATTGTCTCCTATATTAAGGTTTTTAATTCCCTCTGCTATGCCTGGTGGTTTTTTCTTTATTGCCACCTTTTCTGGCACCTCCATGTCTCCAGTTTCAACTTTAGATTTTTTCTTTATTTTTTTAACTGCAGCTACATCTTTATCTGGTTCTGTTTCAGTTGAGTCAACTTTATCACTGCTTGTTTGTTTTTTTATATGTTTATTCTTCTTCTTTTTTTTTCCTTTCTCAGCAACAGGTTCTGATAGTTTCTTATCATCTCCTTCAAATTCATTTTTTTCTATATCCATTGCCGCTTCATTCACCTCACACTCAACTATTTGACTTTTAGGTTTACGCTTTTTAACAATATTCCCCGGGACTTTTTTTCCAGTGCGTATAGGTCTCTGTGTATTTTCTTCACTAGAACCGACATCAATTTTAACATTATTATCATTCTTGTTTTCTTTTTCATGTTTAATCTTTTTATTTTTGCTTTTTTCATTTTTGCACAATATTGTGTCATTTGATTTAGTTTTTTTAATGGCAACTCCTTCATTCTCTTCCAAAATAAAGCTTACTGACTTATTCCTTTTCTTCCTTTTAATTTGTGGAACATTAGTGACATCTAAGGAATTATCGGGGTCTGCTCCTCTTAAAATTGGCTTAATACCTACTTTGGCGTTCCTGTTAGGAGTAGAGTTCACTTTAGGTACGGTTAGACGTCTATCAGGGACAGAGGTTTCAGCTGGTCCATTGATTTCAACATTAGTAATGTTTACCTTTTCGGCCTTAAACTTTTTTTTTGCCTTTTTGGTAGAATACTCGTGGCTATTGAGTGGTTTTGTTGCTTCAGTAGAATCATTCTTATTTACACTTGGATCACTTTCTGGAGATTTTTTTGTAATAATGCACAAAGTCATAGTAGTGTTATGTTCGTGTTATTTTTTTCACTTGGAAGACTTAATGATTTCGATTTCATTATTCTTCAATTTATTGATATTCTATTGAATGGTTGAGCACAATAACACGCTTTGATTAAACATGTCAATAATTCACATGTTTTCATATAGTGTTCACCAAATTCAACGAATTTAAATATTTTAGGTTATACCATAGAGTAGGATAATATATATATATATATATATATTGACAATTTGAGATTCGGTATACAAATTTATTGTTTTAAAAATGTAATGTAACAATAAACCGAAATGAGAATAGTTTTTTTATTTTATTTTTAGTGACTAAATATGTGTTTATGTTACTTAAAAGCATACTTTTTTTCCAGTCGCTTAAAAATAATTGACTATACATGTCTTGCCCGCAAAAAAAAGAAAAATAAGTATTTATTAATTAATTATTGTAAATAATATTAAATTGGAGTAATAAAATCGTAATAGTTACTATAAAATCAAAATTGATAACAATTGATTATTATTCTTGTTTCGGGCAACCCTATTAATGGCGAACCGACTCGATAGCTGAAGCCGGCTGCGCGTTATTTATTTTTGCAAAAATTAAAGCGTGTAATTGTTTAGTTGTGTGTGATTTCGTGTAAGAGTGGGTAGCATAAGGTAAGCTTTAATGTATTATTAAATTATAGGCAAATTTACACGTTATAATGTTATGGTATTCCGGCTTAGTCATATAAGGGGTTCTTGAATTTTCCATTGAACGCCATGTCCTCATGGCGCCGTTAAGGAGTATTGATGTTTATGCTGTTCTAAATATTACTAGTTAATAGTAAGTTTATCTTTGTGTATTTAGTGAAAGGAAATTTGTTTTGACATAAATAGTATATGAGGATGGGCGCGAATAATAATGTCATAACACAACATCGATATGAGCGGGAAATCAAAATGTTACTAATTTTTGTCGGTGTTATCCGCAGCTATTCGTAAAAATGGTCGCGAAAAAAGGCCGAGGCGGAGCGCAGAAGAAGAATCCAAAAGCCGTTGAGGAGGTGAGTCAACCAGAGCCCCAAGGTGAGGAGGTGCAACAGGAGGCTGAGGATAATAATGGGCAGACACAGCCTGAAGGTCAGGAAGAGAGCGCGGGAGTTGAAGATAATGTACAAGAGACAGATAATACAGAAACAGCTGATGGAGACCAGAGCACTGCAAATGATGAAGCTAAACCTGAAGAACAAAAAGAAGAGAAAATTGAGTCTGGTAAACTGCTGATTGAGAACCTACCTGCAAGTTTTCTCTTTGAATATCAAGATCGCCTCAAAGAAGTCTTCTCGAAGTATGGAGAAATCAACATGGTGAAGTGAGTAGTGTCGTCTCTTCTACACAACCTTATTACAACACACTTGCTAACATTCAAATATCAGTCCGATTTTTAGATTACATAAACAAAACATAAATTGTTAGTCATAAAAATTAATTGTTTTGTAATGCATATGCATTCAGAACAACGAAAAGCGGAGTATTAACTAGAGAAATTTTCTTTCTTTTTAGACGTGGTCCGATCATTGTAACTGAGTTGACCACAACTCCGACATTATCGGCTATTGTCGAATTCAAAAACAAAGAGTCTCTGGAAAAGGTAAAAAGTTTCTTAACATTATTTTTTAATTTGTATTTAGAGATTAATTATGTGACAACCATTGTGGATCAAAGTATCCGATTTGGCTTAAAGCTGGACTTTTCCAAATTTCCTTATTACCCTTAAATCGATACGAATGACTATTTGAATGTTTTGAATGGCTGGTCTTCTACGAATAATGCTATTTGGTAATGGTTTTCCTGTTTTTCATATTCACTCTTCAAAATTATTATTTTGTCAACCCTGTAGGAGATCAGCTTGCATTTTTTATTTTTATTTGTATTTTGTGAGTGTGTGCATCATTATATCATCTTATACCATTTATTTATATTACATATAAAATAAAGTAAATTGTAAGAGTTAAAATATATATTTATTATACACTTTATTAGCATATATAACATATAATACAAAATGTGCATACCAAATATTCTCAAACAAATTTGACACTTGCCAAACTCGGATAGTAAGTCGGAGTTTGGTGACCTCTACCCATGTTACGTCATGAAATTTTTGCAATTATATAATACTTTTTTGCAGGCTAATTTCAACTTTCTGTAATAAGGCTCCAGATGGTTTTTCAATTTAATTTAAAAGTTGAACTAACACCTTAATATGTGTAAATTATGATGCCACAAGAATCATTAAGTATTTTGTATAATGAATATTGGCCAATATTTGTAAATAATGTGAAATAACAAAACTTTTGCCTATTCCTATAATGTATGCTTGTTTATAGAAATAAACATATGTACAATCAGCATTTACGAACTCAAATACCTTAACTACACAAAACACTGCAATTTTTTGTTGTATAAGCTAAACAACAATCACAGCGGAAGTGTTAATTTATAGGACCTTCGAAAAACATGTTAATAAGCAGAACAATATAGCCTCATTATGAACTTTATATGGTAGTAGAAAATGGAGCTGTATATGTTGATCCACATATGACTGCAGATTATCCTGTAGTCGGTACATATAAAGAAATAAAACAAAGTAATAATTCAGTTTCAATTCCTAAGTTATATTGTATTTTGGCCTGATATTGAAGGCTCATTGCAGGCTCAAAAACAATATAAAAATAACTCTTATCCATGATTTCTTTTAATTTTACATAATTTTTAGTCAATTACCAGAAAAAGTTAACATCAACTTGATATTAGACTATATAAACAAATGAAAACAGTTTTATCCTATAGGGGCTTTAGTACTTGTATGATTTAAAGACATTGGGATTAAAAGGTAACAAATGGTTTATTAAATACTGTCTATATTTTACGCGAACACTTTAACGGTTTAAAACGCGATATATTAACTTATTTGAAAATGATTTTTAACTTCGGCCCGACGTTTCGGATGCTTTGCAGCAACCGTGGTCACGGGGAGTCTCCCCGTGACCACGGTTTAACTAATATATCGCGTTTTAAACCGTTAAAGTGTTTTATTTAAACAAATGGTTTGATTGCAGGCTCTCACCGAAGACGGCACAGTACTGGATGGCAGCGCCATATCAGTGCTGGTCGAGTCATCAGCAGATACAGCAGTACTAGTCGGTGTGCCCTATGAAGCCACCACAGACTATGTGAAGTTACTTTTCGGCCAGTGTGGGGATGTGGCGCATATACACGAGTTTACAAAGACCAAATTTAAGATATGTGAGTATATTTTAGTTGTGTAAACTACAATATTTGTTTACAAACTAAGGCTGATTTGGATTAATGGATGAAATTAGGCCAGACCCAAAGCAGCCTAACTGCAATTTTTATGACTTCACTAATATTTTTAAGGTCTAAAAATGTTAATCTACAGTGACCGAAAATTGTTAACATAATTCCTACGTAAATTATAGTACACACACATTTTCGTCTAATTCAATTGCACATTTTTATATTCCTCCTTATTGAAAATCATGTTTTCTGTTACTAGGCCACTCTGGCTCTCTCAGCCTCAAATGACCTGGCAAGGAACTCTTAATGTGTGTGTATGCTAATGTTGAAGTTGTATATGTTGAGTGATTAATGACATTGAACGTTGACAGTGCGTGTCACATTCCACAACAAGGACGCGGTAGGGAAAGCGCTGAAGCTGGACCGGGAGCTGAGGCTTAACGGTTTCCTCGTCACTGTCTCCAAGTACAGAGATGAAGATGAGCAGAAGGCGCTCTCGAACAGTAACAAGGTGAGACATATCGAGGTCTAGAATTACTTACAGGAATGTTCTAGTGAGTGAGCATGGCTTTTCTCATCTGTAGAACAGAAATCTACAATATGCATTACTGGCTTAACTATTAAATATATACAATCTACATTTAAATACACTTAAAACGGATTGAAGATCGAAATATATAAGTTAGCTGCTTGTTAGTAAGTAGTCTTGGTCAAGCAGGGACACTGGGAGTATGACATCGGTAACGTCAAGTCGTAGTTAAATTAAATTCTTAAGAATTATTTAACAAATACATTTCTTGTTTAAGCCCTCAACTTTAAATTAAGTGCGTACTTCTCACGTAGACTGTAGAAAATACTTACCACATACATATTCCGTTTCAGGGCAATAAGCGACAACACGGTGGCGCGGCCAACCGCAACAGCAACTCCACAAACAACCCACCAACGCCCCCAAACACGCGGAACAACTCGTTCCGAGCGAGGGGCGGCCCCGGATTCAACGCGAGGGGCAATTTCAGAGGTACTTTCTCATAACAATGAGAACATCTTGAGATTTGATTCTTTAAATAAGCTCTCTTCATACCATGCTATGATGAGAGCAAGCCTAAATCAAACTCGACATTCATTGGTATTGGACTATGTCTACTTAATGAGACTGCATTTGATACATATTTTTAATTTCTCCAGGTTAAAACATATTATCTGTAACGAAAGCTGTGAAATCTTATGTACTTGCTTACTCCGACAATGCCCCAAGCCAAAATTCTCAATTGGCCATTATATGAAGGGAGCATTTAGTCTTCTGTCTTTACTTATACATTCATTGTTAATACTAAATTTACATTGTATAAAGGAGGTGCCCGTGGACGCGGTTTCGCTGGTCGAGGAGGAGCCTTCCCCCGAGGCGGCTTTGCACCCGTCAATACGTATCTACCACCTCAAGGATATATGGCGCGCCCGGTATGTTTCTCCTACTATCATTTATACATTCCTGAGGGTAGTTGACTTATTGGGACTATCTGGAACTTTTTGCTTGTTTCAAGCTTTGGTTGAATGCAACACTTCTATCAGTTGATCTAAACATATTAGGTGTTAGAGAAAAATTGAAAAATTCCAACAAGGCACAAAGATTCCGATAACATTGTTTTTTTTTGTAATTATAGTCAAAAGTAGTCTACCAAAACTACATTTATTTTAAATGTGATAAATAACTTGTTACAATATTTAGTTATTGCAGTTCTAAAACAAACCACACTAAGCCACGTATATGAACGTCAGTACAGTTTAGAACAAAACTACATTACATTTAATATAAGTTTTTAAATAAAGAACATATTTATTGAGAACAAAAATATTTCACATTTGAAAAAAGAACAGAACGAACAAGGAAAATAAATAAAAAATATATTTTAGATAGTAGGTTACTCCAGGAACCGTTATTTCAAAATGTTTTGGTGGCACTAAACAAGAATAAAATTGCCGCCTTAAAACGATAGAACTGCTAAGAGTACAGTTATGCTAATTGTATAATTGCCACGAGTTGATTGCTCGACGCCCGCCCATTTATAATTTCACGGTCATTTCGCCTGTTTAAATACAATTTACTTTCCCTATAAGAATAATTGTTATGTCTACACAAGTTGTTCTTATTCACTGGCTTTCTTTCCCGGTTTCTCTCGCTTTTATTTAAGATTAATGACACAATTCCTTTTTTTAAATTATACAATTTAAGTTTACAAGTTGTCTTTTGTTTAATGACCTGGTTATTTAATTGTTACTATGAAATTACTGAAGTACTGTTTACGCGAGTATTACAAATGATAATAAAAATTTTAAGGGCTTAAAACGCGATATATTGTAAAAAAATCAAATTAAAAATCAAAGATTTTTTTAAAAATAGATCCCGATGTTTCGGATGCTTTGCAGCAGCCGTAGTCACGGGAAGACGAAACGTCGGGTCGTTGTTATAAGAATTTTCAAATAAGTTTAACTATACAAATATATTTCGCGTTTTAAACCGTTGAAATCCTTTATTTACACGCTTAATAATAAATATGGTTGTAAAATAATATATATTTTGTTAGCAGCAAGGCGCCTTTATGGACGGTCAGCGTCCGACCAAGCGACTCCGGCCGATGTAACATACGAGAGGGGACGAGAGCGAGAGCGGACTACAGTGCGTGTGTGTGTGTGACGGATAAATCTAGCCAATTTTATTTACTAAGTACACAGATAAATTTAATTTTATTGTCTTTTGACAGCTAAGAAATAATATGACTAACAGAGGTCGTTTTATTCAATAAATAATCACTTGTCCCTAACTTATTCTTATTTCCTTATATATACATTGACTGTAAGAGGAATGCTTCATTTTAGACTAAAGAAAATTATAGAGTTGAGGAAAAATACTTCGTCCAAAGATCTCGCAATAAGTAATAAGTATTTAATCTTGTAAAAGGAACTGGTAATGTTACCTTTTCACTTTGAATCCCTCGAAATTCAGTCTTAATTTTCCTTGAATCTAAAACCTAAACTACTAAATAGAAAGGGGTAAAATACTAAAGTAAAAAGTCCGTTGTACAACAACTATGTCACTCCTATAATCATATAACACGTAAGCAATTACGCGGCTGTTGCCTCTACGACGACGGTACCAAATAGTTTCAAATTTATGCGTACGCCGCTGTAATCTTCGTATTTAATATTGTTTGCGATCGCAACGAACGCGCACGGGCTATTACTTATCTACCATTTGTAATATGCCTTCCAAATTGCGTATAATTATAATCTGCCTAACTTTAGTTATCTGTGCTAGTGCCACCCGCCGAAATGGTGCTAATTCAAAAAAGGAACCCCGCCCGAAAAAGGCATTGCACCTTCACGAAGAGTTAATGGACAATCTGTTTATTATCTATGACCCGTCCTTTTTTGCGGTCGTTTGGCCGAAAATTAAAAATGGCGTACACCTGAACTTGGATAGATATTGTTGGGGTGAACTGAGTGTATTATACAAAGATTACTTGGATGGGAGGGCTTGGGCATATAAAAGTAAGTAATTGCTTATTACATATAAGGAGACTGTGTACATTTTTGAAATCTTCTTTGTTCTTTTATTAAGTACTAGCTGTTGCAGCGACTTCGTCCACTAAGAATATTTATTTTGGGCATCTAAATTCGTTTTTCAAACCTCCTTTATCTTTATAAACTTAAGCTGTTAATTACGACGTCGGTCACGTCACTTCACGTCGTTCTTGCAAGTTAATCTTAAAAGATTGACATATACCTATCGTCGCGGACTTTTTTTTTAGATCATTTAAAGAGAAATTATTCTCTAATACATATATATCTTGGTCATAAGGTATCTTGAACTGTCTTTGCAGCGATGAATAATTTTCCCAAAGTGAATGAAAGAAATGTGAATTACATTTCTCGTTTTTTCTTCACTTGTATTAGTCACGGGCCGATGTTTTATTTTGCTAAAGATGTTTTATTAAAGAATATTTCAATTCGAACCCGTAGTTCCTGAGATTAGCGCGTTCAAACAAATAAACTTTTCAGCTTTATATATTAGTATATAATTATTATCAAAATCCGTTGAGGAGCTTTTACTCAAAAAAGTGACGCCCTAATTCCTAAACTTTTGAATGAATGAAAGAGTGTAAAAGTATGCATTTTACTTTTCAACGAACTATTATTAGACAGTAAATTTAAATTAAAGATAATTTGTATTGAGTACTGTTGTTTTGAATAAAATAGAAGATTACGTAACAAATGAAAATTATCTAGGAAAACATAATTCATCTCTACGTAATGTAAATGCGATGCATCGAAAGCGTGAGTGTTACGCGCGACCGCCTTCAGATGCACTGTCAATGACATCTCCATCACAACACGATATGAGACGAGAAGAAATCTTCGCTTAGGCATGTAACTAATGTACTGAAAAACCTTGCGTAGGACGTTTGGGTATAGGGATTAGGCATACATTATCTGTTTGACCAGTAACGGGACACGGAGTATTGGGTGTCCATCATTTAGAGCACTGATGGCCCGCCGACAGCAAAAATAATACTCAAATTAAATTCTTTTACAATTTTACTAAATATTAATACTTTATTATCTATTCTTTCTTGTCTTAAAATACCTGAATTTTTGGCGGTCCGCCACCAGTTCATGATTGCCCGAGTGGCCCCTAGTCTCAATAAGTCTATGCATCTCTGTTCTAGAGTGTGAAATTAATAGAATATCTAGTAAAACAAGAAAAATAAAGTTAAATTCTGCTTCTCGCTGTGGGGCATGGGGCATAGGTACACATTATGTCTGCGTTTCACGTTTTGATTTTATTATGGTCATGAAAGGAAATTGGTAAGAAACTCGAATTGAGTAACTTTAGAAAAAAATACCAAAATTAGAAATTTAGATGACCATTTTTTCAATTGCGACGCCCGAATAGCTCTAATAATGTAAATCTAGTAAGAAAATAAGCTTTCCAAGCGACGCAAATATACCAATATACTTAGTTTTTTTTTTATTTCTATATAAGTTCTTCGGTAGGTAATTTTACACATTGCATAGTAACGTTACGCGTGATTACTTAGTGTGCAACGATAATGTATCTGGTTAATTATGTTTTTACATTACTTAGATTTACAATTTTTTTTTAACTTGTCTTTGCAATTTCAATTATGTATTTTATGAGTGTATATTTGTAGCTGCCGATGCAACGGGGCGATACTCGTCATCGTTCTTCGCAGGCAACAAATTTTGGCTTGGATCTAAACAACAATGTCGTGTGCTGGTAAGAAAAAAAGACTTTTCTGCTTCATCTACATATCATATAATATGTCGAATCCATTTCTGTGACGTCACAAGTTACAATTCAAAATCATGTGGTTCACTTGATGGTAGCCATATAACATCTAAATAATATCTGTTGTCGACCTATATTGGCTTTGGATATTCGGAAAGCCAGATTGTAACCGAATTACGCGATTAAACTTGGTGGCTACTCTTCTGCGGGCAGCGGTTCGTGACCCGGACCTAATTTCGGAATTCCTACCACTCAATATATACCTAGATTTCTGGACGAATTCAAAAATGTGAAAAAAATATAAATTGATTAGAAAAAAGTTACACCCGGTGGTTATCGAAACCTGCACCCGTTGATTATTAGCCATAGGCTGCTACCATTATACCATCGAGTTCATCGGAACTCGTAAGATGAAGAATGCTAAGAATTATTCGTCCTTTAGAACGAAGCTTTCGAGTCAAGAGAAGAGGACGAGACGTGGGGTGAGTTCTACAGCGGGGATTACCTCAACACCTTATTACGGAAGGAGAAACGATATGGTAATAGTAAGTAGTCAGTTATGTTAAATTTGGAGAAGAAATTAAGTTATAACTTGTGAACTATAATAGACACAGTATCGAAGTTGGTTACGCCGTTTGATAGTTTAAATAGCTACTATACATAAAGATTGGTAATGATTTATGATACCACAATTGACTAGACAATGTGATAAAATAATTAATTTGACTGGATATTATTCATAACAGCTGGTCAAATATTGTCTATAGTTTACGAGAGTATTACACATTTAAATAAAACACTGTAACGGTTTAAAACGCGATATATTAGTTAAACTTATTTGAAAATATAGTTAGACATGCTTATGGCAAGTTAAATTATAATTTAATAATACCCATTTACCTACTGGTTTTATCACGTTAACCAAGTATTTAAAGACATTATATAGAATTGCTAGTTAATGTGATTTATTATTACTAAGTGTATTATCACTTATTTAAATTGACTTACTTACTGCCCTGGCGCAGCGACCCAAAGTCTTGGCCTCCGAAACTAAAGAGCGCCACTTTCGTCGATCTTGCGCGGCTATTCGCCATTCGGCCATACCGAGCTCACGCAAGTCCTCCTCCACGGCCTTCCGTTGAAAGTCCGATATACGCGTTCTTGACACCCCGATCATCTCCCATTCTCTCCAACTGGCCAGCCCAGTGGAGTTTTTGGGACTTTGCTTCCCCCATTTAAATAATGACTAGATAATAATAATATCTAATAAATTATATCCAGATTTATTACTTTGGCTGTAATATAAAAACTATACTGATCGAAAATAGTTATGATATGAGGTTGCTAGAGGCAGAGTGGCCTAATAACAAATGCGCCATTAACTTAGGCAAAATTTGTACTATTATTTGTAAGAATTATGTTAAAATTTTTGGTCACTACGGTTTTGTAGATTAAAATTATTAGACTATGAAAATATAAATAAGTCAAGTCATTAAATTGCGATTAGTCTACTCTGCCTCTAGCGACCCCATATTTGAGTGTGAAATAAGAAATATTCCATACAAATTTGACCTTACAGTTTTTTTTCTGTCGCTTATCTATATCAAATTTCTCAAGATCACCAGGATTGGCACTCTCTGGTGGAGAGAGACGAGCTGATGAGGCGAGTTGTCCAGTCGGACAATTCACCTCCCTTCACCCTCGAATACAGCACGCTTCGGATCGAGTTGAACATTACCAAATTCTCTTTAGCGAAGGTATTAAATCTTATGTTACAACATGTAGTGTCTATTCCTAAATGCATGGTTTTATATTTATTTAATTATAATTATTGTCCGAAGAAATCGCTTAACAATATTTTGTAATAAATGGAACAATACATTCATAGCTATTATTAATAATAACAAATAAAATAATAATACTTATCTATATTAATATAAGAAAGCTAAAGACTTTGTTTGTTTGTTGGGACGCGCTTATGCAGGGAAATTTATAGGTTAGAATTGAAAAAAAAAAAAATTGTTAGTTGTGAGGGAAACTTTTGGCTATAAAACATCAGGCTACGACCAATAGGAGAGAACAAATAGAGGGAAATGTAAAAAAACGGTGAATTATTTATTTTTGAGGGCTTTAGTTGCGTGCGACCCCGTTACAGGTTAAGAAGCCACAAAATATATATAAAGGAATAATTTTTCTTTACAAGATAAAAAATGAATTTGTCTATCGTTTATGATTAACTCGCAAGCAACGACGGGACGCGGACGACGTCGTGGGTAACAGCTATTATTGATAAAGCTGAGGAGGTGGTTTGCAGAAATAAATAGAATGATTCCCAACATAAAGTCGCGGGCACAGCTTTTTACCTATATTGGTAACGCCTCCGTGATTCAGTACTTAAACACATTCTTTCGATCTGACAGAGCACAGAAGTCTGAGCGATGAGAAAATATAGATTGATCAGTGAAAAAAACACAGAAATATACGACGTAGGGAAAGCAGGGTTTATCCTATATCTTGTACTTTTTTTTACTCAGAATGGAACTGCGCCAAGTGCTATTTAAATAAACTAACGTTTAATATACTTATAAGTTTGACTATTACCAGTCATACGAGGTGACGCTGGGCGTGTGCCTTCCAAGATCCTGTTCACCTGAAGATGTCGTCTCCATAGTGAACTTCTCCATTATGCTGAACCACCTGAAGACCAACAACTCACTGAGTCGAACCGTTCGTGTTGTGTCCGTGAGACAAGCGGCCGGCTACGACATAAAGAACGATGTAGTGGCAGTATTGACTATTCTGATGAGCCTGGTCTTCGTACTATTGGCTCTTGTTGCTACCCTGGTCGATCTGGACTTCGCCAAACATGAAAAGATTAACTTTGCTGTTACCCCGACACATAACATTTCGGGTAAGTAATCGAGAGAAGGGCACTCAAAAGTGCTTTCTCCCACATTTGTGTCCGTTTCCGTGATCGGTTCTTTTACAGACAAGTAGTTGATCAGAGTTCTGTGCCCTGCCCGACCGAAATAATCTATATTTCCCCGGGATTCGAAACACTGGAGTTTCGTGCTTAACGCAATGCTAGGCAATGTAGTCAATAACCAGAGGCTAAAATAACGTAAGATATTATTAATAGAACACAACACCTCATTCGTTTAGTTGTCTATTGAATTCGCATATACCGCGTTTTAATCCGGTAAAATTGTCCTGATTAAAATCGCGAGTTTCTAACTTGTATATGTAAGCTGAGCAATAATTTTCAAGATACCCCGAGAAGTAGATCGGTGGATGTCAAGAGTCTGAACAGCACATTGAGGATCAGCGACGTGAAGGTCCACCGTATGGTTCCCTCAGTATCCTCAGAAGTGTCGGGCAACTGTGTCCGATGCGGCAAGTACAGAAAGCAGTGCGCGATTTCTAGACAGTTCGAGACCTTTCCACCCTGTCCAAGAGCCAAATTCGACTCTTGCGCAACTCAAGAGCGAAAGAAGGGATACTTCAAGGGCTTACTGTTGAGCTTTTCGATAAAACAGAGCTGGAAGAGGATTTTCAATACTAATATGGCGAACAAGGATCTTTCTGTCGTGCACGCTGTTAAGGTGGTACTCACGTTGTGGATCATATTTGTCCACGTGGCCACCGTTGTTAGTTATTTATCAGGTAAATCCAAATATTTTAATAGTGGTTATATTTGTTACAATTTCCCCCCCTCCCTCGTTCTTCCCCCTTCTTCCCCCTCCTTCCCCCTCCTTTCACCCCCTGTCTGGACTTACTCCTTTTTACTTCAAAATCTTACTTTCACGATCAGATCGACATATCTCATATGAATAATGAATTATTGAAGTTTAAATTTCCATGTTATTATAAGGGTAATGTTGATTACAACATGTACTCGATCTATACTAATATATAAAGCTGAAGAGTTTGTTTGTTTGTTTGAACGCGCTAATCTCAGGAACTACGGGTTCGAATTGAAAAATTCTTTAATAAAACATCTTTGACAACATAAAACATCGCCCCGTGACTAATACAAACGAAGATACAGCGAAATTGTGAAAAAAAAAATGGGAAAATTATTCATCATTATGGGTTTCTGAGGCATACGCTGCAAAAATGGTTCAATATACCCAAAAAATATGAAGGAAAGAATGATACCTCTTTAAATGATCTAAAAAAAACTCAGCGATGCTATATGTCTATATTTTAAGATAAACTTGCAAGAACGACGGGGAGGTGTTTGCAAAAACGAATGGTTGGATGTTCAAAATAACGATTCTCGCGAAGTCGCTGACACAGCTAGTACAAGATAATATGAAAATAATAAATCTATATCTATACTAATATATAAAGCTGAAGAGTTTGTTTGTTTGAACGCGCTAATCTCAGGAACTACGGGTTCGAATTGAAAAATTCTTTAATAAAACATCTTTGACAACATCGCCCGTGACTAATACAAGCGAAGGTACAGCGAAAATGGGAAAAACAAAATGGGAAAATTAATCATCATTATGGGTTTCCGAGGCGTACGCTGCAAAAATGGTTCAATATACCCAAAAAATATGAAGGAAAGAATGATTCCCCTATAAATGATCTAAAAAAAGTCCACGACGCTATTTATCTATCTTTTACGATTACCTTGCAGGAACGACGAGAACGGACGCGATCGACATTGTGGCTAACAGCTTAAGTTTATAAGGATGACCGGGTTTGCGAAATCTTATTGGGATGCCCAAAATAACGATTCTCGCGGACGAAGTCGCTGGTACAGCTAGCACTATACAATAATAATTTAAACTGTTCTAATTGCGGAATACAACATTTGGCCGGTCTTTAGTGCCTTTAGGCCTTTTCGGATGATTGCTAGCTCAAAAGTAAATTAGCGCCTGTGCTTAAGTTATAAACCATTGACTGCTTATTTTCCAGATAGCGGTGACATCAACGAATATAACTTAATGTACTATATTCTGACGAGTGGGACGCTCGTATTCGACACCTTATTCTTTGCTAGGTAAGGACTACATTCGCGTACATTTTAAAACAATTACCATGATATAAAGATCCCCATTATTGATCAATGATTTATATAAAGAAGTATGAAGTATCAAATATTTTTATTTTGTCAACGAATGTAGTTTTTTTATATAAGAAAGTATTTGTTTGTGCATTTAAATAAAACACCATTAACGGTTTAAAACGTGAAATATTCTAGTTTTCACCTTTATTTACTCATTTCTTATGTCCCGGCGTGTCCCCCCCCCCCCAAGACCACGGCTGCTGTACAGCATCCAAACATAGGGTCGTAGTTATAACAAAAATAACTTTAACCAATACATTTCACGTTTTAAATTGTTAATAGTCTTTTATTTGAATTATAAGTAGGATTAAAGACATGGATGACATAGGCGGATGACGAATCCGAGATAGACAATGCGTCGTGCCAGTATACTGTCGCCATCTAGCATAGTATAAATTTCAATCGACACAGAACAGAGTTGATGGAGGATGTTTTAAATGAAGTATTAAAAAACGAGACTTATAAAGTCTTATTGACTTGACTTTGCAGAGGAATGTTCAGCGCGCACCACTTTTTCTACCTGAAGGGGCGTTACTCCGTCAAAGAGCTGGTGGCGTGCGGAGGACCCTGTGGACAGGCTTCTCAGCTTCTCTGCTTCATCGCAAACCGGATTATACGGTAAATATCAAGATTAATTTTTGAAAAACAGTATTCATTAATTTTTGAAATTCGTTACCGTAACTATACTAAAATATATACCAAATACCAACTAAGACGGAATAGATGGCGCTAGCGTAGCAGTTTTTACTTTGACGTCAGAGATACCATCCATTTTCAACCCAAAAACCTCTCTCTAGGAGGACATGGGAAAATGGGTCGAAATGGTCAGCTGCTGGTGTGGACTGATCACCCAGCATGCTATTGGTGTCCCCGATAGAAAATAAATAGTAATAATACCCTCCGTATTTAGTCTCCCCGTGGCCACGGCTGCTGCAAAGCATCCGAAACGTTGAACCGTAAAAAATAATTTTCAAATAAGGTTAACTACTATATATCGCGTTTTAAACCGTTAAAGTGTTTTATTTATATTTTCATGCTAAAATATGTGAAAGGAATATAGTATCTTATCCCCGGTAACGCAATCACTAACCCCATACGTAAAGGTTATCCTTACATAGTATAGGCATTAAAAAATAGAACTTTGAAATTTCACTCCGTTTGGGTTCTTCTTATATGTAAAAACTTTGGTTTTAACTTTTTTTTATTTGATAATTGTTTCGATAATAATAAAAAAAAACTGGTATCGATTTTTACTTACTTTTTAGATTACTGCCCCCCTATATCTACACGATATTCCTAACATCCGTACTGGCGCGAGTCACTAGCGAGAGTTCAGTGCTGTCCCTTCCCGAGAACGATGCGCACAACTGTCACGAGCACTGGTGGAGGAATTTACTCTACATCAACAACTTCTACCCTGTGGGTGAACAGGTATGTCGCTAGACTATGTTGTGGAAGTTATTCTTAAACCTCGATTTTATCTTTGAAATTATTTAAGGGAATATCTGTACTTTATTCTTTTGTTATGAATTTCTTATAATATTTCTGTTCGTTTTACTGTTTACCTCCTTTTTATACTTTTATTATAAAAAATATTTATTTTCGTTAGATTTGTATGGACAAACCATTTCTCTTGCTCTATTTAAACTGATATTATACAAATCTGAAGAGTTTGCTTGTTTGAACACGCAAATCTCAGGAGCAGTTCGCGTTACGTTAAACCGTTTTATTTAAATATGTACTACTCGCGTAAACAACAGACAGTATTTAGCTAGTTACAGTACAAACTTCTGTGTCGTTAGTGCCCCAGTACTTTTATATAACGGGCACAGGCAGGGCAGTAAAATATTTTTGTGTACAGTGCATGCAGATATCATGGTACCTTTCAACGGAAACTCAGCTGCATATGCTTGGCGCCTTGCTCTGCCTCCTTCTCACGACGCGAAAGAAGCGCTGGTTCGCTGTCTTCGCGCTGCTTTTGCTGTTACTGCCAAGTGGCTTCGACATCTTCACAGCCTATTCTTCAGCCGGACATAATTATAGGTATAATAATTCAAAAATTGTTTTATGAAGAAGGACAAGCGCGGAGTTCACGTGGTACGCTGTTGGTAGGAGAAATACCAGAGCCATATACATATATAGCTATCTCCTTTAGATGTTGACCTATTTTGCTTTTGGATATTCGAAAATTCACAAATTTTGCTGCTGACTTAGAGTGGGGGTTATATACTTTGTACCTTATTACTTTAAGCCCCCCTAAAATAACTACATTTTTATTTGAAGGTGGAACAGCGCATACGCAGCGTATGTTGACATAATCATGAGCCCTTGGTCTCATATTGCTCCTTATTTCCTCGGCATCCTGACGGGATGGATGATTTACAGGATCGATGGTCTTCTCACGGTGTCTAAGGTAGGGGAAAAGATACATAAACACCTTGTTTTTACCCAAGAACTTCCATTTTGTAAATAACACAACTAATATCACTTAAAGTTATGTAACTAAATTTTACTTGACTTAACTTTAATGGTTTGAAACGCGAAATGTATTTGTTAAATTTTACTTATTACTAAACTTGTACCCAACGTTGGTGGTTTGTGGTGATGGGGAGGCAATTACGGAAATAATTTTTAATTAGGTTTAAGTAATATCATTCTCGTTTTAAACAGTTGCGTGTTTAAATAAAACACTTTAACACACGCAACTGTTTAAAACGCTAAACCTACAGACAATACTCCCTTGAAACTAATTAAAATCTTCATAAAACGACTTAAAAAAGCAAAGTATATTTTACGATAATACGTATTATTGTTAAGGCAACCGTTTCTTTGTCTTCAAACGTATTTTTTATTGGTATATAGTAAGCTATTAACACTATGAGGTGGATCTTTGATAAGATGACTATTATCTGTATTTAAAGCGTTGGTCGCTTTGTCTATGGACGATGTCAGTGGTGGGGGTTGCGGGGTCTTGCGCAGCAGCCAGCGTGGGTGCGCGTGGTCCACCCGCCTTTTTACATCTCATCTGGCCATGCGTTTGGATTTGGCCGAATATCGTCTTTTCCACTAAGTTTGCTTGTAAGTACAGTTCTTCAATATTTATAATAAGTTTAAACGGCTCCAAACGCGAATTTCCTCCTTCTCCTGTAACGTCAGGTTGTACTTAAAATAAGTTAATACATTTCGTTAGTGTTTTAAACAATATTATTTGAGTAAACCAAAGACAATACATACTTATTTTTATGTACATACAAAGTTTAATAATATATATTAATAACAAAAATAAAGTCATTTACTATGAAAAACATTATATTTAGTAACTTATAATCACTTATTGACACTTTTGACGAGCTCTTAGGTCGTTAGTTAGATCCTCACCCGGTCCAACATGATTCTGATCTGATATGTTAGAGTTCGTCTCCTTCTGGGTCATGAACCACCGTCCACAGATGAAAGGTCGTGAAGTTTAAACGCGTTTAAGTTTCTGTGGATTTCTTAATATCCACAATAAGCCACGCATCTCATTTAGATATTTTATGGTTGGTGTCCTACGCCTACTGTAACTTCACATTTTTAACATACATGAGAATATTCTTTGTAAATATATTAATTCTTAAACTTTGAATAGTTTATATTAAAATAATTTGCCCGATAATGAAAATTACTGTCAACTTGTTTAGACAAGACTCGCGAGCTGCTGAACAGCGCAGTAGCTGCTGGCCTCAGCCGCTTGTGCTATTGTGCGCTGTTGCTGCACGGCCCGCTGGCTCAGTTTATTCTGTTGAGTCTAGACACTGCCCTTTGCTCTGACTTCGTCTGTATCGTAAGTATTCTAGGTTAAGGTCATCGATCTTTTAAACGTTCAAATACAAATACAATATTTTTCCCCATATATAACAGAAAATATATTTTTCGCGGTAAATTAATATGACTTGACAACGTATGTTTATTTAATTGCAATGAGTAAAAGACTCAAATAATTAGAATCTCAAAGGGGGTAGCTTAAGTAGTAGATCAACCGCACCGTGCTCAGTTGGTGGGTTTGAGTCCTGCCCTGGGTCTTACTTTTTCAATGTATAAATTAGCTAGGACTAAAGTATCGTATTTTGTCATTTTTGTATTTTGAGTGAATTTTAAAACAACTTAGTTTCGATTACCACATATGTTTTTGATTTTGCTTACCTAATTATATTTATTTGAATTTATTTTTGAGAACGAGAAAACACCGTAAGTATGCCCTTACAGACTTACGGTTTTACCCCGCTGTTTCTCCAAATACCAATTACGAAAGACAGATGGCGCTAGTGTGGTAGCGTTGAAAATGTTATATTTACGTAGTTTAGTGTACTTCTTTGATCAAATATTTTTTTATAGTGTTTTTACTTCTTGGGGGTGCTGGTGTGTACTCTCGTGGCAGCGTTAGTATTGTCTCTACTGGTTGAGATGCCGACCTGTTCCTTCCTCAGGAGATTAGCTGATCTAGCGCATCGGTGATGCATTACTGCCTATACAATAAGTCTAGTCCCTGGAAATATTTTTGTAATGTAATCTCTCTGTCTCTATAATCTCTATGAGTTTAACCACTACACACTTGTAGTCTGAAAAGATTTTCCGATGAACGATAACAAAGACTGTTAAATAGGTTAAGATAGATTAATAATTATATTTACGTTACTGAAATTATTTTTATTTTGCCCAACGGGCTCGTTGGTCTAATGGTAACTAATGAACAAGGGGTCGTGGGTATGATCCTCACCAGGTCCAACTGAACAATTTATCTGAAACGTTCTGGACTTCCTCTGGAAATCTGGATATTGAATGGGCGGTAGGAATATAGGATATTTCCGATCACGAACCACACACATGAAAGCCGTGAAGCTTGCTCGCGTTTTGGTTCCAGTCTGTGCATTTCTGACTATCCAAAGCCGAAATAGGTTGATAGCGCATCTTGTTTAGATACTATAGGGGTATATCACCTCCATCAAATAAACTCCATGCCACGACTGTTCTCCTCTATTATTAAAAAAATGTACTTCTCTATATTCTCAGGTCTCGTGTAATACAAACTTATTGCTAGACCGTGAAACAGAATGTAAGGCCCTTTACGCACCGAGCGGTCTATTGTCGCCGTGTATTGTGACGCAAAATCGCTAAGGTTCTGCGCGGCGCGGAATGTCACTTTTCATACATATTTTTGCTTTCATATATACATAATAAGCTTTACACTGCTTGGTGCGTGTGGGTGATAAAACAACATCGACGTCAATTTTTTTTCTATATTTTTTAATTAGAGTCACTACGATTACTGTTCGGGTACGACGCGAAACGTGAGGAGAGGCTTGATTTTTAATCGATGGCCGAAATACCTGATATGCCAAAAAGCTAATTAATTCCGAATGGCTTATGATTTGATAATGGCGACGTGTGGCAGCTGGGCGGGGCGTACTTTAGCTCATTGATTGTTGTATGTGGTATAAAACCTGCTGTAAGTAGTAAATAAATTTATTCATTTATTTCTTTCTAAATTGCTGAACGGGCAAATGCCCACAATCGCAAAGATTTTAAAAGACGAGTGGTCTTTAAAAATCCAAGTTTTCAATACAGTATAATCTGTAACTCGGAAATAAAAGACAGACAGACATTAATTATTTTATTACAATTTATAAAAATCTTAAAGCTAAACTATATTTACATCATATTTACAATTTTTGGACTAAACATTCTATATAGAAATAACGTTCGTTTGTTATTCAATATTATATTGAACACAGCGCAATTAATGAAATACAAAAGAATACTTATAACAAAAGTAATACAGATAATTATTATTGTATTTAATTGAACAATTATTAACAATACAGTCTCAATTTTATCAAAATTCCATGAATCGGAATTTTTACAAGAGCGTTTTCACCACTTTAACTGCTTCAACTTCAGCAAAATTCATCTTCATGTGGTTTGTAGGTCACTCAAATTGTGATGAATTATAAAAAGTCATCACGATCACACAGTTTCATAACATTTAATTCGGCTTCAAATTTTTCTTCAACTGGCTCTAATTTTTTTTACTTTGTACTCATTTATTAAATCTAAAATGTTCAATAAAGTTATTATTAAAGAGTATTATAACACAACAATCGCTACATTTACACATCACAAGAGAAGACAACACTGACTAAATATTTAGGCCCACACATGACGTCGAAAGAAAGACTTAAAATTTAAGAAAACGCGTGTGTATAATTGGCCTTAGTTCTAGAGAGCTACAGGACTTGAAAGTCATGTGGAATTAATCCAGTAGCTTATGTAAAGTTATACACGATGCGGTTTCTTTTGCGGTGACACAATCTTGAGCATCGTTACGATAGGCGCCTCGAAGGCGACGGAGATAACGAATGCGAGGAAGTATGATATCACAGTCAGACCCAGGAACAGCACGAACTGAAACGAAATATTTGATTTGATTAATATGAAAAAGTTGCAAAAAAAATAATTCTTTTTTACGATAACAATCTTTGTCTATTGAATCGACATCGTCCAAGCTTTTTAATTAATGATTTATTTCAACACTATATACAGAAAAATTATCAAGACAAAGTGCGGCCTTAGGAGAAAAATAGTTTATGCTAACTGGTTGCTTGGCCATTTCAAGCTTTCCGTGCTGTTGCTCTGAGCAAGTCCTGGTCGAAATTCATCGATTTTTAAAAAAAAAAGTGCCTTCATGTGCAAAAAAAAAAACATGTGAAAAATATTAATGTTTTCAATGGTTACTTGTAGTTTAAAACTAGAACTGTATGCTCTAGAATTTGCCTCTATTATGATAAAACAGCAGTAAATGCCTCGTACATAGACTTTTTGTGTTTTATTTTACATCTAAGTGTAGTCAAATGATTATGTAAACAATCTTGTAATATAATGTCGTCTAAGGTAATTGAATCTTGTCTCAACTATACTTCAAGTATCAAAATATTGGTTCCATGGCGAAAATAAAAATACTCACCACCAGCATCTCTCCTAGATGAATGGGATGCGTCAAGTACATGGCTACCACACGGAGTACCACCGGATGCACAAGGTACGCACAATACGTCACTCTTGAGAACGGGTACAGGATCGGCGCAGACAGCAGTGGCCTGATCCAGCCTGGGCACAAACAGTTACATCAATACTTATGTATAGGGTATTTTTTCTAACTTGACATTTTTAGAGATTTACGCACAAGGTAAATATTGATATACACTAAAAACACTTGGAGACACTGAACTATATATAAAACTACCTCATATTCCAAATAAATATAAATCCTAAAAGTGTATTTATGTAAAAGGACAGATTATAATTTTATTTATTTCGTTTGACATAGGGGATGAGATGTAAGCAAAGTCAACTATAGAACTATAGAAGGTGAAAGTCTACACTCATGCACGACCGCTGAAAAATAAAAAAGCTCATAAAAGTGATTTTGTATATTGAGCTCGTTTGGTCCATATATAATAAAAGAATTATTACCCCTATGTTATCTGTGGCATCAAACTCACTTTATAAAAAATCACTGGGTCTCTATGGTTTGAAATCGACCATATTTGTTGTTGTCTTTTCTTCAGAAAAAATACACTATACCTTGTCCTTTGTAGGGTATTGTTGGAAAGAGACAACGCTCTATTAACTCGTTTCGGTGATCAAAGTATGGTAGACTAGAGATACTTTTTTACTGTTCCTTACCTCCATGGCCAGTGGAACAGGCAATGATGATCCAACCGATGCAAGCGGCCCATAACGAGTGTGAAAGGGCGCTATACACAGCAGCGCTACCCACACTTAGCTCAGTGCGGTACAGACCAAAGATAAGGAACAGTAGAGTGGCTGTGCAAACTACCCACCCAACTATAGCCCATATCTGTAAAAAAATTAAAATCAAAAAGGCAATTTGGTAAATCTTATCAAAATTGTAGCATCGAGTTTGACTAAATTTTACGACATGGGCTGGTCTTGAGCCGGCTTCCACGGCGTTCTGTGCTTTTACTCTAAGCCATTGAGCTACTGTGTCCTACCCGTCATCGTCAAATTCTTTCACCCTATTGGTACATTTACCTCGCGCAATGTTATTCTTACCTTACCACTATTCATATAATGCCATGATTTATTAATTATATAATTTAAAATTTTCAATATAAAATAGATTTCTAACTTATATAAAGCCATCATGCGCAAAAATATGTGAACGATATTAAAGTTTTCAAATAATGTATAATATATCAAGTAACAATTATTTTATCCCGTTTCTTCAGATTCAGAAAAAACAGATTCGTTCCAACATATTCGATTTGTTTTCTTTTGTACTTCTGCTAATCTTTCTATAAAAAAAATCTTGTTATAAGGTAAAATAAGGAATTACTCTGTTCATTCTGATCTTCAAATTGGTTTTGAAGAGTATCCAACCGGTGGCCATGCCCACGAGGTATGGCCCAAGCCTGGTCCAAGGCTTGTCGTAGATCTTGTCGAACTGCGTAAAGGGGTCTTCGCTATTGGGAATGTGCTGGCTCGTCCAGGATACGTAGCCTGTGGTGAAGAGGGAGGACAGGAAGAACACGCCGGTCAGGATCAGGGAAAGCTTGAATTGGCTGAAATAATAAATGTTTTATATAAAGAGAAGTGTTTAATAGCCCCTTGAAGTTGTTATAAGCAATCGGTGATTGTTTATGGGTTATTTCTGAACGCTTGTTTGATATTTAAATAAAACATTTTAACGGTTTTAAACGCGACATATTTTTGTTAAAACTTGTTTGAAAAATATTTTTAACTACGGCGCGACGTTTCAGATTCAGCAGGCGTGACGGGGAGACAGTCTCTCCATAACCGTCAGGTTTTAAACCGTTTACGTGTTTTATTTAAATGTGTACTTGCTTGTCCATCCTTCACACAATGAAAGGTGAAATACCCCATTGTATAACATCTAAAGAGTATGCGCTGGCGACCCTTTTTTACCTTTGAAGTTTCAGAAATCTATGGATTTAAATTCAAACGCGATTCAACTCTAAAAACACGTGACACGGAAGGAATTTCAGATATTTCTACCACTTATTTAATATTCAAATTTCCAGAAGAACTTCAACATTAGCCATATATCACTCTCTTGGACTAACGGGCCTGTCAACTTGTTTGTTGGAGGTCTCTATTTTCTTTATGCATATGAAATAAAAATGATATAATATATAGTATAATTTCTTACCTTGTAGCCAATATGAGAAGGATAGCGCTGACTGCGTAGAATTGGGTGTCATCAGAGAGGTACCAACTCCATAACATGCACTAGAATAAATTAGTTTAAGAAGGGTAAATTAAGTAGGTTCGTAGGCTTTAATTAAAAACCTAAACACATCAAAGCAGGACCGTATTATAGTGCTATTTTTACTAGTACTGGAATTTGAACATTCACAAATTAATAATTTTCAACGCCTTATGATGAGGCTCTTCTGTCACATAAACAATAAGCGTCAATCAACCCTAGTTAAAATAAAAACAATAAGACACTAAGAACAAGTAGGTATTAATATCAAATTGGTGTTGAATAAATATCATACCATTTGATCGACTGGGAACAAGGTGTTGATGTAAAGTAAGTTCCTCCACCAATATTTGGGACATGTCTCGTGGTCCATTGCCGGTGGCTCGAATACAGCGTTGTTTGCGAACCATTTCATTGTTACTTCCACTACACCCAACATGAACAGATAGGGAGCAGTCAATCTACAACGAAAATAATTATTTGTCATCTTTAGGGTCAGGTACACTTTAAATTACATATTTAAATATTGAACATTTTAAATTTAGTACGACTTATTAGTGATAAGTTATACTAAACGTTAGTTTATGCTTTTACTAAATATTGTTTTACAATTTTAAATAGAGTAAAAGATAATATCTAATATCAGCTACTTTGATATAAGGGCATTTATAGCCCTTCGTAACTGACCACTAACTTCTGAGGCACCTTATTTTTTAAAAACATACTGTTAAAGGGAAATACTTAAAATATACGCGTTTTAAAATTAATTACCTCGCAAATCTGTAGCCCATGAGTCCAAGAAACTGCAGAATACCAGCTGTAATCTTCCTTCGTCCTTTTGTTAGACGCTCTAGCTTTCCCTTGGCGTTCGTCCGGAAATACAGGAACGACACCAACATACCACTGTTGTTTAAGATTCGCAATTAGACTGGGTGTATATAATTATAGGTGGAGAAATTATTTGTAATAGGGCACAAATCAATTAACGTTCACTTGTTAATTAGTAGAAAACACCGGTTAGTACTTTTATCTACTACTAGTCTAACAGCATATTACAGCTAAAATTAGTAAATTTAGATAAATATAAGTTGGATTAAGCAATAACTATATCTATCTATGTATTATTAATATTAATTCAAAGTGTGTTCATGAATTTTAAAAGCCGAAAAACATTAATTGATAACGCCTGATAAAGTTATTATATATTTTTTTATGTAATTAGTAAAAACTATTAAACTATAATATGTAGATGAGCAATCAATACACACTCGTATATACATACTTCTTAGTTACCTATACAATAATTACTATTACTTACTTACTTAAATATTAAAACCGTGAATGCGTTTATAAATACCCGAGACAGAAGAAAGTGTCGACACTGTACACGGCACTGATGATGAGCTGGAACCAAAAACTCTTCTCCAGGATAGCTCTTAGGGCTGTGTTGTCGGCGTACTATAAAAAAGTTTTAATTTATAATGATACCTTCGAATTACTAGTTATGTCTTGTGGTACCAGTGGTGTTTTTTATGAGAAAGGGGAACAGGCAAGCGTGAAGTTAACTTGGTAGAAGTTGAAATAGCCCAGCCATATAACATTTTGACAAGATGAGCTACGATAATTTTGCTTTAATATTAAATGCCCTTTTCTTTTTTTGGAGGGAATTTCGATATTTGGACCACCCATTCTGTCCAAATGTTTCAAATTAAAATTAGCTTACATTGGCGGCCGGGGGGGGGACCCTACGACCCGCTTCTTATTAGCGTTACTACATTAGACCATCCCGTCGCGTTTCCAATCGAATAATACAATTTTTCTCGTAATTACCTTGAAGACCACAATGCAAGTGTGGCCAAAGATTACCCAGACCATAGACAAAGACCGTAAGCCATGGACTACGGGCACTGTATCGGCACCCACGGTCTGGTCGAAGATCTGAAGGATGTTGGCCTTCATGGAGAAGGAGAGGAGCAGCTCTGACCAAACACCTGGAATACAATAACACGTCTCTTAATACATCCCTTTAAACTGAAAGTTTAGTACATACCTTTAGAATACAAGTTACATTTTGCTAGTCTGCGTAGAAAAAAATTATATACAGTTTTTTTATTGTATGTATTTCATTTATGGTAAAATACAATCGTTATTTAATAATCTAATGTAGATATAAATATCATTTCAAATATTGGCTCTATGTCTACTCTCCCTCCGACTTACGAATTTTCGATTTGTAATTTAATATTTTTTTCCCATAAAAATTCTTTTTGGTATTCAAGTTTGGTAGCCCCAAATAAAGTCTACATATGTGTAGCTGAGACTCAGTCATAATTAAACAGGCATTTAATTCCTTTTTTGAGATCATAAAACGTAGCTTAGTCTATAAAATAAACCCACTCACTGAGTTTGAGTTCCTCATCCGTAGATGCTGTCTCTCCTGTAAGTCGTTCTTCGGAATTATTACTGTTTATAGCGATGTTGTTGTTCACGTTGTACATTGATTTACCTATAGAAAGTAAAGTAATATGTGATAGAGAGAGGCACTCAATAATCCAATAATAAAGATTTGAATTACAATATTAAAGGACAGAGACACATTTTTATTATGATAGATGATGACAGACAAGCATGGTTCACTTAGAGGAAGATAAAGTACCCCAGCTCTATAAAATCAAATCGACCACTTTTGGCTTTTGATTAGAAAATTTTTAAGCTTTTTAAAATTTATTTTATGAATAGACTTTATAAGAATAAGGAGTATAAAATAAAAACTGATCATAAGAACAGACCTTTAGAAACAGTGATAGCATCCAGCGGGTGTAAAGCGCCATTTTCCACAACAGCCATGTTCTCGACGCGACGTCTGCGCGCGCGCACCTCGCGTGCTAGCATCACATCGTATATGGTAGACGTTACCAATAGCGCACCGACTATGCAGCAGACTCCACTGAAAGGTACCAATAATATTTATTAGAACTTCTTAAGGATTTTTGATTGTTGATAGAGGTCGTTCCAAAAAGAAAATATTTTGATTCGTATCATACGAGTATACATTTTCGCAATACTTTAACGATTTCAGCAAGACAAATTATGGTTCTTGATATATATGGGATAATGTTTTTCCAAGCGTCTCTTTACATACATCTATTGTTCTGATATAAGTGCGTTCAAGCAAATAAACAAACTCTGTATATACTGAGGGGTATATTTACTTACAGTAATATTTGGAAGGTAGGATCACCCAAATAGGTATATCCTCCGTGCTCCGGAGATCGTACAGCGACTACGCTCTGTTTCAGCAATGGTGCGTGCACTTCGTTGACAAGTGCTGCCACCTGCTGTCGACTACAGGCTCGTGGGAGACACAAGCCGAGGTGGATTGTTCGGCGCTATGAAAAAATAAATACATCAAAACCAATTTTGATTCCTCGTTTAAAATTTTGAGCAACACTTGAACAATAAAATGATTTTATAACTCTAAATTTAATATAATATATTGTATGTTTAGTTAACAAAATCACACTTTTAAATTTCGATTTAGGACTCATATCACACCTTTAATGTTATGAAAAAAGTTATTGGGGGAAAAAAAAAAAAAAAAAAAAAAAAAAAAAAAAAAAAAAAACCCCCCCCCCCCCCCCCCCCCCCCCCCCCCCCCCCCCCCCCCCCCCCCCCCCAAACCCCCCCCCCCCCCCCCCCCCCCCCCCCCCCCCCCCCCCCCCCCCCCCCCCCCCCCCCCCCCCCCCCCCCCCCCCCCGGGGGGGGGGGGGGGGGGGGGGGGGGGGGGGGGGGGGGGGGGGGGGGGGGGGGGGGGGGGGGGGGGGGGGGGGGGGGGCGGGGGGGGGGGGGGGGGGCCCCCGGGGGGGGGGGGGCGACTTCCGGGGGGGGGGGGCCGTTCCGTTCCCTTTCCGTTTGGGTGCGGTTGGGGGGGGGTTTAAAAAAAAACCTTTCGAAACGCCCCGGGCGTTTCGGTTTCCATCCCTTTCCGATCCCATACGTGTGCTGACCTAAGATAGAGCCTGCAGCATATCGTTTTACCCGATAATTAATTATCTGTACAACTGTAAACAGTTATAACGTGTTAGCTATTGTGGTCCTTTGAGCCGGATATGAACGAAAAATGTATCGGATGTGAAGAACTAAGATGTTAACACTTACGGTCTTGATGATTTCGGGTAGATCGGTAGTGACACTCATGCGCACGTTGTAGAAGGCGGTGTCAAAAGGCGGGCCGAGGCCAGACATAGATACATCTTGACGCCATTCGCTGAAGATCTGCGAACCCCCGCTTCCTGCAGCGAGAATTAAATAATTAAAAATAATAATAATGAATATAGTAAGCGACTACAATGAAAGGAACATAATATAGTTTGCAGTGCTTTTTTATAACTATTATATTGGCAGCTTAAGAAAGGTCCTAATTGAAACAGTATTTGAACCTTGATTCTTACACTTGCGCAAGATTCAATAATGTAATTCGTGCACTAAAAGATATTGAAGTTAATAAAGAATCTTCTGGAAAAGCCGAATTTTGTCACGCTCTAAATATTACAACAACAATGTTATTTGTTCACGAATTTATTGAGCTTACATCGCTGGACGCAGATTATATAGTAATTAGAATCAATAATCTTCTTACGAGACCTTGCATCTCAATGGAATATAAAAACAAAACAATTGGACATAAGTATTGATTTATACTAAATTTAAATAAACACTATTAACGGTTTAAAACAGGAAATTAGTTAAACTTTTTTTCTCCAAATTCCAACTACGAGGGTCAAATTCAAAATGTCCTACCCTTTAAATAAAACACTTTTACGGTTTAAAACGCGATATATTATTAAAATTATTTGGAATTATTTTTAACGAATATATCTCGTTTTAAACCATTAGTTTTTATTTAAATGTTACTACTCGCGTAAACTATAGACAGTATTGCTTTCCTACCGCCATCTTTTTCCTTTAAATTAATATTTTTTTTCATTCAATTAAAATTTCGCTTTCAAATACGTTAAAAGGGGTTTATTTATGTGTGGACATACATAAGAACTACACTTTTATAAGTCGCCCGTAAAGTATCATAAATTATTATTAACAATAATAAAATTATTTATTTAAAAGTTCCTAACAAAAATAATAACCATGAACTAAGATTAACTTAATAAGTATACTTATACAGATTATATAAAATATACAAGGCATTAAAAAAAATTAACTATAGCAACTCCTAAAACAGGAGCCATTTAGTAAAATGTTACTTGTGTTGCAATACTAATTTTCAGTGGCCTGATTTTCAAATTCTATTTGAACCTCACAGTTCATTTTGTAAAGTCTAAAACCCAAGCAGCTATCAAATTTCTACCGTCCTATTGTATTAATATTTATAAATGCGTATAGCTATTCCTTTTTTCCTGTACTAATGTTTCACTTATGTTTCAAATGAATCATACGTCCTATGAAGAAATTAGCTTGATGTGGAAACGCTTTAAGAGAATTTCCGAGTCGCGCCCACAGAGGAATGTACGCATTATGAAATATTTCAAAACCCTGGTTTAATTCGTAACGTTGCTTCATGTATCTTAAGCAATTGCAAGCGAGAAGAATGGACACTAGACCGATCAATTATTACAGGAAAAAGTATTGGAAGTCATTAAGATTGTAATAATATATATGATAGAGAAGGACAAGCCGGGTTTTACTTGATGGTAGGGGAAATACCCCAGCCATGTAACATCTAAACAAGATGTTGTCAACCTATTTTGGCTTTGGATATTCGGAAATCTATATACTACAATCGTAACGCGGTCTTTACGACTTTTTCATCTGTGGAATTTCTAGATCTCTTAAGTATTTAAGTGTAAGTACACTTGAAAGGTTTAAACCACGAGATATATTAGTTAAAATTATTTACAAATTATTTTAACCCGACGTTTCGAAATAGCTTTTCCCCAAATAGCAACTTCGACGAAACAAATGGCGCAAGCGTATTAGTTTTTTTTGTAGTTTGTCGTCAGAGACACCCTCCGCCTTTAGTCTCCCCATGACCTGCAAAGCATCCGAAACGTCAGACCGTAGTTAAAATAATTTTCAAATAAGTTTATCTATATACATTGCATTTTAAACCGTTGAATGTGTACTACTCGCGTAACTACAGACAGTATTTGTTACATTTGTAAACTTATTTAAGTCAAGATTTTATTAATTTATACAGGCCACAGATATAATACAAATTAACGCATTCATAACTCGTAGCGAGTGGTATTGGTGAGTATACATACTATGTAGCGCATCGACATTATAAACTTATTAGGCAATTTATTCAAGCTCTATAATCTTTGATTACCCGCCGTTCTATTAACCCACATAATGCCGACAGACTTCATTCTCGAAGGCTATAATTTGAGTGTCTTTTGTTTTAGATACTAATACTACTAGGTTGAAGAGTTTTTTTGAACGCGCTAATCTCGGGAACTACCTTGTTGCAACCGAAAAAATATTGTTTGAGAATGGCTTTAGGCTATAAAATATAAAGCTGCGACCAGGACGAGGAGGATTACATAGATATTATAGTGGGAAATCTTTAAAGATTTCTGTTGTGGGCGCTACGGAAATGGTTCAAGAGACAAAAACTTACTTATAGATATATATAGAATGATTCTCTTTAAATGATTCAAAAAACTGCATGACAGTATATGTCCATCTTTTAAGATCAACAAGAACAACAGGACGCGACCGACGTCGTGGGTAACAGATATAAGTGATAAAGACGAGAAGGGGGTTTGCAAAAACAAATTATGATGCTAAAAATAACTATTCTATGCGGACGAAGTCGCGGGCACAGCTAGTACTTACGATTGTGATGATGCGGTGCATGTTGCTCGTTCAGAATCTGGCAGAGCTCAGCCGATCCAGTCCAATAATTATTGCCCCAATAGAACATGGAAGTGTAGCGACCGCTTGCGTCCTCCACTGCAAAGAAAAAGCAAGGTTTTAAAATCAAATTTAAAAAAATGCGAAATATCATAACAAAAGAAATAAAAATCAAAGACATTTGTTGTGTTCATTTTAAATATCTTATTTATATATTGTGCGTTTCCAAGTAATCCGATCGGATCGATCATTTGTTTTGGACTATTAAAATAGTTTTTTTGTACCGAACAGTCGTTTGACTATCCCATCGGCCCTCCGACATCGCTTCGTCACTCTGTTAAAATATTATTTCTAAATGAAAATTCTTATTAAAAAAATAGTATTCATAATATTACTAATTATTTTTATGGAAACATAATGTTACTTACATTAACTTCATAATTGGATTTTTCTTAACAGCAATAAAATGTTAATAGAAAAATATGTTTTACTTTATTTGGATTTATAAATTAAGGTCACTGTCTATATATTTTACCTTAACAAATAGGCTTTTGATTATAACACAAATTTTGAATAGAGCAATAAAAATGCCAAAGAAGTATTTTACGAATAATAATTTTGAATATTTATTACCCCGGATGTTTGAATTGTTAGTTTATCAGTTTATTATTGGAATATCGGTAACAGCAAATACGCATTTGCAAGGTTTCCGTTCGTATACATTAAAATTTATTTATATATATAAATAATGTCATGATGTGCCAACGTTCTTACGTATGTATAAGTATTTACTAGTTAATTTTTAATTGTTAATAAGTAGTTATTTGTACGGCTGTGAAGGTCTTTAGTAGATACTAAGTTTGCAAATATTAACCTACTGAGAATCGAACCCGCGACCCGAAAATACATTCCTTCCACTAGACTCATCTTTCAAACCTACGGCTTAATCTGACAATAATCCAACATAGTTTTGTGAAAGAGGTCTTAGTACATGTGTACAATGATGTTTTCCTTCCGCACAGGAAGTGATGAGTGGAGAAAATACTTCCTGCTGTCGCGTGACGTCACTCGTTACATTACCGTTACCACTGACACTCAGCAATGATGACTTGCGGTTGTCATTTGAAGAAGTCATTGATGTAATGTGCTTGGCTTAATAAAAACGTCACATTTAGAGAGAGAGGGAGAGAGAGAGAAATTTAGACACGTGCGATAACAAATACGTTTGTCAGCTCTACTAATTTGTCGTTTGGTCTTCATTTTAGACTGAAAAAAACACGAAACGACACAAAAAATTTACGCGGGCGGGACTTGAGATAAGTTACTGTGGATGCCAGTTCAAGTCCAGTCCGTGTCCGTTTAAATCTAAAATCGACTCTTAATTCACACCAATATATTATCTATTATCAAATATCAGGAAATTAATACATCGTAAATAATTCAGCGGCGAGATCAATATGATTAATGATACAACCATAAAATACGCCAAGACGACCTTTAATGTCAGGGACAAGACTTGTATTTTCGTAACGATTTAAATTAAATTAATAGTACAGGAAACAAGTACACTAGTACATTTGAGGTCACCTAGAGCTTTTGGGGACTTATTTTGGTCGACGAATGTAGTTTTACTTAATATTTATTATTAATATAAATTAATATAATTAAAGTTTAAAACGCGAAACTTATTTCGAGCAGTAGATTAAAATTAAAAATAAGTAAACTATAATATTTTACGATTAAACCGTTAAAAATGTTTTCTTAAGCAATTGGTTTGACTCAATCAAAGCTCTAACTTATTGTTATATAGATAGGGGAGTAAAGCAACATCTATAATAAATATTACTTAGTACTATTCTAAAACTACGATTTAATGTAGTTCAGCGCATACAAAAGAGTTCAACGCTCAAATATTACACAGTAATAATTCGTGGTAGGAATATCGAATTTATTCTCGTTTTGTTTCAATCTGTGGATTTCCGAAAATTCAAAACAAAATAGGTCGACAGCGTAACTTGTTTGGATAATATGAGGGGTACTTCATCTACCATCGAGTGCACCTCATGCTTGTTTGTTCTCCTCTATCACATAAAAGAACTACCGTATTATACATATTAATTAAAAATATATTTAGATAAAAAATACGACAAAGCTCGAGAGGTGAATGTATAGGTTAAATTTTTTTACGATAACGTGTAGGACACGGTAGCTCAATTGAATAGAGCAGCAGCGCGGAGTAATGTGGATGCCACTTCAATTTCCGCTCCTGTCGTAAAAGTTTGAATCCAAATATATTTTTAATTTAGACAGAGTTATTTTGTGATATGGAACATCGAGTGTAGTAGAGATTTCCTATTTTGGACTTGATTTTTTTGGAACAGATAACATATGTCTACGTATGTACAACATTTTTTTTATGATAGAGACAGGCATAGGGTTCACATGATGGTAGGCGATATACTCCAGCCTACAGGACAGATGCGCGGTCGACCTATTTGTGCTATGGATATTCGGAAATCCACAGACTGAAATCGAAACGCGATTAAACGTGACAGCTTTTTCATCTGTGACGGTGGTTCGTGACCCGGACGGAATCTCTCCAACTCCAGCATGTTTAAAGTAAAATAATAATTGAGAAATAAGAAACATATTGAACCTGCTTGGGTTCCACGACCCGTTGATCATTAGCTATACGTTGCTTCTATTAGACCGACGAGATCCAATCTCGATATCTGTAGTTATCGATTTATCCGATTCGTTTTTATTATCCGATGACATTGTTTGGTTTAAACGAGTCGACAAGTTTCCATTTTCACATCCACCTTGAACCGTCCAATTCTGTTTCGTTAAGCGAATCATTACTTAATTGTCACTTTTGAATCAGCTGAGCGAGGCCGCGGGTTCTTTGACATTACAGTACTATTATGTCGAGTTAAAGATATTTTTAAACATCCGTTTATCGGAAATAAGCTTTTAAGATGTTATTTCACAGAAATAGTAATAAAAATAACATCTTCAGTATGAAATAAATGTGGAAATCATAATTCTTTAGCCTAAATACATATAGGGCCACAGATAAAATACAGACCTATTTTATCTGTGGTCGGTGGGTCGTGACCAAGACAAAATTTTCGATATTATATTTAATTACAGATTTACAGACGATTCAACAAGTCTTAGAGAAATTATAAAGTGTGAATCGAACGCACGGGCCATTGATTATAATACCACATGATACCATAACACCAATGAGCTCGTCAAATTTACATGTCATTAGATAATTAAAATATATTTTACTGACACTAATCTTTGGTTATCATTATTCAATTGATATTATGTCACGTTTATTATTGTTATTGAGAATTCGACTTCTACGGAAAACTTAAATATGCCGAAAATCTTGAAAAACAAATAAATTATATTATTATGTCACCAAGGTGTGGCGAGTACGAAGATACGAATCCTTAATAGCTTTAAAGGTTTTATTGATGTCGAATTTGATCACGATATCCGGCTACAATCAATCGTGCCATAAATGACATCTAATATATTTCGCAGAATATTTTTTTAAATTCGAGAAAAAACATTGAATCGTTTAGAATACATATAAATGGAGAACTGGTTATTTGACAGACCGATATACGGTCGACATAAAAACAAAACCTTTGTATTACAATTCGTAAGCGTCATAAAGAAACAGTGAAAAGAGAATTATAATGCCTTTCTTGGTTCAGTAACGCATACTGCGTTTATTTTTATAGTAATTCAAGTAAGAGTACAGAAGAAGTAACTCTTGGTTGGGTATATGCACGTTTTCATTTAGTAACACACAGTAAATTTTACATGAATTTTGACATAAATAACCTACTATACTAATATTTAGCATTATAAATATTATAAACATACTTCTAACATATAAATAAAAATCTTTACAAGGAGGAAAAGGGGAAATGGATGAAATAGTCAGCTGATGATGTGGACTGATCACCCGGCCTTGTATGGGTGTCCCCGATAAAAAATAATAATAAACATATTAATATACGGATCTCAACACAATGCAACAATAAATTAATATATATATAATCTTATATTAGTTCAGCTTATGGCAACATTGATGGAAATTAGATGCCAGTAGCATTGTTGAAAAAAAAAGAACTTATGTCTATCTATAGACAAATTTTCGAATAATTAATAAAAACATAGTAGGTTATAGTTAGAGCAAATATAGGATTGCTCTTTTTTTTTTCACAGACCAAGTCGGATGATGAGCTTGTACAATAGTACAAGCTCTAAAAACACCAAAGCAAAACTTTCATATTAATATTGGTAATTTTTAATCAGTCTACTAAAATGTATTTTCAGTAAAAAATGTAATACTTGTATCTTTAAATGTACAGTTTAGTCTTGTAATGTATCACTGGATGAATATAATCTGTGGCTTTTGCGAGATTGAGAACGGAACTTCCTTTCACAAATAAAGTTATTACGATTCGAGTCACGTAATTGTTTTTATATATTTATTTAGTACGAAATATTGACTCTAACGTCGGCCTTAGTTGTTCGTTCCTTTGCCCTTGTACTATACCGCTATTTGTCTTAAAATGCTTTATTATGTGTATTGCAAAAGGTAATTAAATACAAAATAAATGGCTTACTACACAATTTTAAGGGTCACGGCCGTTTTAAATATTTTAAAAATGATACCGATTTACAGCAGGAATTAAGGATAGATTTAAAATTGTGTGTAATTAAACTTGACACATTCAGTAACGATTTATTTACAAGGAATTAACTTCATACGAGAATTGTTATCAATTTTATTTCAATGCTATTTTAAACAGAAATATATACATAATATCGTGAAGTGGCTATTGTCATAGTGAACAAACGTCTCTAGCTGGCAACCACAATTGAACATTATTTTAGGGAACATTGAAAATGCAAACTATACCGCACTGGGCTTAACATGCCGGCCTCAGAAAGCCTTTAAACTCTAATGCCAAGGAGGATATCTCGATCCAGCAGCGGGACAGAGAAGTCTTATTATAAGAATAGTAATAGATAAGCCGAGCCCGTTGCTGTAATTATGGTAACAATGT